TTTAGCACGATGCGGTCGCGTGGAATCCGGAATTGTGCACCGAGGATTATCCATTTTAACCCGACACTTTAACCACGTTTAAAAGACGTTAAGGTCTTTGTTTTCGTTGGAACGTCTAAAGTAAATCGTAATAAACATTAAAGGTTCATAGTTCAAGTTGTAATCGTGGTCAAAAGAAAGTCGTAATTTAGTGTTGGGTGGTATAGTCTGCCTCAATCTTCCCGCAATTATGGAAGTTACCTGTCGACTCGCATCCGGTAGATATTAAAGGACAGAACGTTAGGGGCGGACTCTCAAATTGTTTTTGTTTATTTCGGTGGATGTAATCTTATTAAATTATACTAAGAAAAAACATTGACATTAAATAGATATAATAAATCCATACAATTGACTTCTGGATTCTGGATTCCTGCTACGTCGGGTGTTGTTGAGTCGAACTTGCTAACGTTTCGCCAATCATCCTCTTGAATTCTTCAGAGTTCGACTGAAACTAGCTCGCATTTTACTCTGTATGGTCTGTTCATAGATATAAGAAAGTGACCAATTGCTTTTGAATGGGATTATCCAAGGGTTGTCATTAATATACCATGCAACAAGATTGTTACCTAAAGTTTCGGAATTTAAATTCAGGTAAAATTGTGGTCGGTAATAGAAAATAATTTTATACCTACCTGTGTTTAATATTCTTTGGTTTGGTATACTACTTAGTTTAAGTTTATTAGTAATCATTCTTATTTAGTGTGTAGAATTGTAGAAAACACTATTCTATTGAGACTAAGGAAGTTATAACCAATGTTTATTTAACTCTCATTGAACGTGGTGCCAGCAAGCAAGCATCTTTAGAAGAAACGGCCACATTGACGAAAATTCCTGTATAGAAAATTGTGAATAATCCCATTTCAGCGAGGGAAAAAAGAAGCGATGCTGACATTTTCTCGAGTGTAGATGAAAGTGATCAAGATATAATACGGCGTAACATTTACCAGTTGTACGAAGAACAAAGCGTGCCTACATTAGATATCTTAATTAGGAGGCTTGAAAAAGATGAAACCGGTGTTAAATGTGCCAGAACTGCCTTATGGAAGTGTATTCAACACATCGGTTTTAGATTTAAAAAAATTGACAAAAGGCAAGTTTTAATGGAATCTTTTAGAATTCGGCGACTGGAATATCTAGAAAAAATTAGGATTTACAGAGAACAACAAAGGCCAATTATTTACTTGGATAAAACCTGGTTCGACACTTATGATACCCCGGAAAACGGTTGGGTTGACTCAACTGATAAGTGTTAAACAAACGCGCCATAAAAAAGAGGTAAAAGAATAACTATTTTGCATGCTGACTCTAAAGATGGTTGGATTTCAAATGGACTTTCTCTGTCTGCGAAAAATATTAAAGATTCTTCTCTGGATTACCATGAAGACGCCACCGCTGATTTAACTCCAATGTCCTCAAACTTGTAGAAACCGAAGTTTTTAACATCCCTCCACAAAGTTGGGCAAATTCTGTTAAACATATAGAAAAAGCAGAACAATCGTATATCCATATTGTAAATAATATAGAACAAATGATAATTAGAACAGGCGATGATAGCGATAGTGATACTGATATATTATGTGAATAATTTTAAGTAATTTAAGTAGGTAATAAAAATAATTTGTAATTTTATTTTAGATTTAAACATAAATACACACATAAATAAATATATAAATATTCGGCCATATTTCATTCTTACAGCTTGCCCGGGTCTTTCCTTAATTCGTATCAGTTAGTCACTTTCTTATATCTATGAACAGACTTTATCTGCTTATATATTGTTTGAGGGGGTGGAGGCAGGTAAGAGGCATAAACATATTGGTGAAAGGTAAAAACGACATTTATCCTCCTCACTTAGTTCCGTCCCCCTCAAACAATATATAAGCAGGTACAGAGTAAAATGTGAGCCAGTTTCAATTAAGCTATGAAGAAGTCAACAGGATGATTGGCGAATCGTTAGCAACTTAACAACAACCGACGCAACGCAAGAGGAATCCAGAAGTTTGTTAAATAGTTGCCTGGGGCAGTTTCTTTGAAAAAATAAAATAAATTTATAGCTAGGAATAACTGACTTCAAAGTGAACATAATTGTCTAAGAAATATTCCTAGATTTCAGTTTTTGAAATGGATGAGGCTGGTGCTTTGGGTAATAGACGACTGCGGTAGTTTGCGTTATCCATGTCAATAACACCGTTATTGGGGATATTTTTGAAAATATTGTTTTGAAACCAATTTTCAACAAGTTCGACACTTGTATCCTCATGATAATCCAGACTAGAATCCTTAATATTCATTGCAGACACCAGCAAGCTGCTTTCGTCTGACAGTTTTGAGTGGAATCAATTCATCCTTTGGATACAATGTATCGAACCATTTTTCATCAAGATAAATTATGGATCTCTTGTCTAATCTATATCTTTTAGTTTCTTGAAGGTAATTAAATCTCCAAGTGCGTAGTCTGTGTGATTCCATTACCACTATGGAGGGTGGCACGGCTTATATTTATATTGGTTTCATCTTTTTCTAGCTTCTCCTTTTCTTCAATTCGCCAGTACTAATAATATTCCTTATCGACAATATTGGGGTATTTGTAAGTAGACAGGTTTCTTTTTAAATCTACTGATTAAAGTTCCGTACACATTTTTCAAAACCTGTCAATCAAGTCACAAATGATTTCGACACGATATTGTTATATTCTCGTAAAATAACTTTTTTAAACGCACAGTATAAACAATTATTGAACACTGCTACAAATGGTCAACACTCAAGAAATATATCAGAAAGAAACAAATATACTTGGCCCACCCCTGCCTTGGCACTCACGTAAGAATAATTTTTTTGTTAATTGCATTACCCAATAACAATAGGTAATAACATTCGTAAAAGTTTTATTGGGGATTGTCGGTCGAAATCCAACAGGATGAAGACAGACTATAACCAACGGAGTATAACCTTCGATTGCAGTCGGTGAAGGGGAAAGTGCTTAGTAGTCGAACCCAAATTATGTTAGTGGAACATAATAAAGCAAAAGAAGAACGTCCTAATGCTCATACGTTAGCGATCTGACCGGTATTAATTTCCTGAGACAAATGTTATTTAGAGGAAGAAGGGTAGAAATGGGTAGTCAATTCTTTGTCATACGCAAGATACGTGTAGTAAGAGATTGTTTTATGTTATTTCTCAATTGTTCTAAGTGTGTGTAGTTTTTCTGTTTATTCCTTTTCTTTAGCAATAAAATATAAATCAGTATCTTGATATTCTCTTTCTATTGATTGTTTGGTGATTGATCGACTAATCTTTCCCTTCTTCAAGAAATAAAAAATATTGGTTAAATGTACATATTTAGATATTCAAGTGTGTATTTCAAGTTTTTTTTTTTTAAATAATCGTCCTGATAAAACGGATACTGCTTTTAGAAAAGACTTAAATATTTAAAATTTCTAAGGATATCAATTTGTATTCGCTTTTTGCCAGAGGTTTTTCAAAAGTTGGAATTCTATTTATTTTTGAGCATCAGAAGGACAAGGACTGTTCTATTCTATTGTTAAAGTTATCCCGCTTCACTATCACACCAAGACATTTCCCGTTTACTTCGAATTCACTGTCATGGGTTGAAATTTTTGACGAACCGCATCGATATAAAGTCCGGTAAAAGCAATACAATTTCTACATGTGTTTTTAAATGAACAAACAAGTTGTAATAAGTTTGGCAGCTATTTTTAAGTGCAAAATGATTTAGAATTAGTGCGTGAAAAGCGATGCAAAGCGTTTTCAGAAACTTAAGATTTAACATCCATGATAAATATAAATGAAGTAGGAATTAACGAAGGATGACGATCGAAAGTCGACATCGGTATTTTGTATGAATACTTTTACAAAGAAAATCATTTAGTTCCACTTTTTCAAGACTATAGGATGCTAAGTATTGGGCTGGAACAATATAAGTGCGTTGAAACAATTTTGGACAAATAATAATAATTTTGCCATCAGAAAATCCATTCCAATGCGATCTTTAGATAATTGTTTAGACAAAGTCCACAGGCTCATCAAAAAAATTCCAATAACTAAGTAAATTTAAATATTATTGTATAAATGCAGGAGGCAGCCGACCTCACTATTATTGTTATAAAAATACCAACGAACGTTTTATTTACAAATCTGTTTTTACAAAAGAAAAGAAACAAAGCACTATAGTTAAAAATAACACATTAATATATTTTGTCTATAAAAAATTGATTTCAATGTTGATGAAACCTAAATGTACTAATGCAAAATTTGCCAAATATTGGATTTGGAGAACACAAAAATTAATACAATTAAGATAATATTCTATTTTATACGTGACTTCAAACGTGAAACTCCTATTTTGGGATTATGCACCTAGGAATAATTAAATATAATATGTAATTTTCATCTGACAAAACTACATGTAGACATTGCATCGTGTCTATCGGGCTTTAGACATTTACTTTGAGTTTTAAATTTTTAATAGATAGGTAAATGAGAGCTGCTTTATTAAAATATCGAAAATCACACACGGCAGGTGGATGATGTGGAAGAAATGAAAGATTACACGATTACTGACTGGCCGAAGAAGTTTATCAACGTCTCTAGGAAAAATAACGTCACTCAGTGAATCTACTGAGTGAAGTGTGACGTAACCGCCTGAATTAACAAACATCAACATACCATGGCTAAAATCTACTGATCGCTCCCAAACCCGTGACTAAAATACCGGAAGAACCCGAATTTACTTGCAACAGTGAGTGGGTGACGAAGCTAACATTTCAAAGCGATACTTATCGTACGCTTAATCCGCGCAAAAGTAGGTATTTTGGTGTGGAGAATTATATTTTCTTGTTTCACGTTCGGATGACATTTATTTTTGTATATGATGTGATTCTATGTAGTGCGATATTTTTAAACCCTAATATTAAAAATTCCAACCTGGGGCACTGACTAACCTGCAAGGGTCCCAGACGACGATACCCAGACCGGGACAATCCACCTCGTTGACTACGTCGCACTCTCGTCTGTCGCAGACGCACGTAGGGGCCGATAAGCCGCCGCAAAAGGCCACAAAGGCCACACAAGCGAGCGCCAGCACACTATTCATCGTCACAAACTACCCTCTCTTACATCTCACAACTTTATTTCCAATATTGTTTTTTTGCGATATCCCGCAGAGCTATACAAACGCTCAAAGTTACAAACTAATGCCAGACTTGTCGCGTGGCATGTACATTTTCGATTTTCAGTCAAATCTCAGAAGCGGGATCGTGTCTATTAATACACACGTCGTCGAGTCTCGAACTGAGCGGCAATCTGGACGCCTCTGGCTTACAAGCAGAGAAACAAATGAATACTGCATATCAGGTATGGTCCGCTCCGTTCCGCGGCAAAGCTAAATTTGCTGGCGCAAGCGCCCGTTCGGCGATTTGGAAAATTTCGCAGGACTGAATTTATCATTAGGCGCGTACGAAGTGCTTTCTTTTTCTACCGTATTAAAACGATGCGCAATTTGGATTCGGAATTTTATTTATGAAAAATTATGGCAATTTTACGAAATATTTGTTCAAATTTGGAGTAATTCGTATACAAAGTGCTTTCAGCCATATTAATCACGGCATTGAATAGGCTTCGGCGCTTCGCCCCCGATGTCACCGTAAACCAAACCCAATAAATGCTCACACATTGGACAACCCAATTTTTTTTTTAAATAATATACTTGATGTTTAACCTCGACATTGTATTGTTTAATTTATGACCTTCCAAAATTAAGGAGTGATTCAATAAGGGTTTCCACATTAAAATAATAAAAAAAACTCGGAAGAATATAAAAATATACAAACATTTTTATTTGCCATTTTAGATTAGTGTATTACAATTAGGTATGAAAGATGATATCATTCAAATGACCCCCGCGACTCATGTGGCATGTTCGTTTTTGAAATTTCCTATCACTTATGACACAATTCAGGTTCTATGCCGGCTATTTCGCGTCTAATCTCCTGTTTCAGCTCTGGAATAGTGTTTGGTTTATTTCTATACACTATGCTTTTTAGATACCCCAAAAAAAAATCTAGGGGAGTAAGATCACATGATCGCGGCGGCCAATTGATGTCGCCGTTACTTGAGATAATTGGACCAGGAAAATTGCTCCGCAGCAATTGCATCGTTTCTCTGGATCTGTGATAAGTGGCTCCATCCTGTTGGAACCACAAATCTTCAATGTCCATACCTTCCAACTGCTTCCAGAAAAAATCAGATATCATGTTTCGCTAGCGAACACCATTAACCGTAACAGTGTTCTCCACATTGTCCTCGAAAAAAAAGGGCCAATTATTCCTCCGCACCAAAATGCCCACCAAACAGTCACTTTTTGAGGATGCATTGCTTTTTGAACAACCTCTCTTGGATTTTCTAATCCCCAAATACGAGCATTGTGTTTGTTTACAAAGCCACCAACGTGAAAATGTGCCTCATCGCTAAAGATGATTTCCTTTGAAAAATGAACCCCTTGTTCTCCTATCCATTCTGCAAACACGCGGCGCTGTTGATGATCTCGAGGTTTCAACTCCTGAGTTATTTGGACGTTATATGGGTGTAGATGCAAGTCTTTTGTTAAAATTCGCTGTGTGGTTGAATACGTAAGGCCCACTTGCTGCGATCGATGACGAATCGATGTGTTTGGATCTTCGGCTACACTTTCGCGAACAATGGCAATATTTGGATCTGACCGACCTGCACGAACACGTTGAGAGACTTTGACGTTAGTTACAGATCCAGTTTGCTCAAATTTTTGAACCACATTCCAAATTGTCCTCTCAGAAGGTCGATTTTTCGCGCCTAAAATTTCACGTAGAGCCCGAAATGCATTTTTTCTTGATCGACCATTTTCATAATAGGCTTGCACAATTTTTACGCGTTGTTCAGTCGTATATTGCTCCATGACTAATTTTGTTTATGTTTTGAGGTTATAACTCTCATATGATAATTAACAAATACAGTGGTGTTTCAAAAATATTTCAGATTGTAATGCGGAAACTCTTATTGAATCACCAGTTACAAAATTAAAAAAATTAAAATTTTCGCATCAAAAAATTTTTCGCACTTGCCTGAAATATGACGTTCCAAAAATGCAAATTCATCTCCCCCTCCCCAACTCCCCCGTCACAAAAAAAGAAATTCAAATGTATTCTTAGGGAAAGTTATGACCATAGATAATTTTACGATATCTTGTGACCAACATGGAATTTCTCTTAATCGTATATCTGTCCAGAGACGAATGTACCATAAAATGGCCTAACAATACCTCTTAGATTATCAGTCTGCGTATATAATATAAAACATTAAAAGTAATGTGCTTTGGTAACTAGTTTAATGCACATATTAGTTCACACATCATTATATATTATGATAATAAAATCTGAATTGTAATTTTCAATTTTCGGAATGTCATGATTTTCTTCAGATAAATGAGCAAAGTTTCAAATCAGTTGCGTATAAAATTTTATACTGATTACATAATATTCCGCAAAGACTCACGTTTGTTGAAGTGGGGGGACACATTAAGTTGGCCCCTTCATAAAAGTTGCATTTTATTTTAAAATGTGCGAAAAATTTCGTTTTAGTTGCACAATATTGTGCAAAATGTGCAGATTATTTTGATATTGTTTATGGTGACTTCGAATGACGGGAAAGGTGACGGTGCCCATTAAAAATAATATATTTGATTGAAATCTGGTTTTCCTGATTCGCAGGACTGGTCTCGCTATAGTGGATTAATGGATAGATGGAAAACCCTTTTATTGCTAATATTTAGAAATCTACAGCTTTTTTAAATGAGCAAAGTCGTTCGGGTTGAAAAAAGTGACTTAAAGATTGTTTAATTAACATTTTTAAAGTTTGTTTTTGATTACCTTGTATTTATTTATTTTTAAAATATTAACACGAACCACTAAAGAAAATCAATCTCCAATATATATAAAAATCTTTTAAAGGTTTTTAGTCAGAGAAATTGGTAGATATAATAGACATGCCAAACGTTAGACATAATAAACAATATAAACAATGCCGGTTGCAGTTATTTCCCATTAGTATTAACGTGTACGACAAAAAAACCGCCTCATTTTAAATAATATTCGCCTCATAAAATCTATGTTGCCTGCATTACCGAAATCGTCACATTTCGATAGTTGCAGTTCACTGCCAATAAGAGTTTTAATGAACGAAACAAACAAAAACTGTCCCGTTCCCGTTAATGTTGATTTGCCAGGACCTACCAATCAGAGTTACTGTTTTATTTTCGATTTAATTGGCGAAAAAGGAGAATAAGTGGATTCACGCAGGAGATCATATTAAAATTGGATTTAAATTTAATTTAACATTTTACTGTCAAACTCTTTCTTTGTGACATTCTAATTAATTCTAATCTATACTTTTGTCTCACTATATTTTAATTAAGTATTGAAATTAATGAACTTGAACAAAGCACAAATAAATTTTAGTGATAGAATTTATTTGGTTTTTACTTTAAATACTTAAAAAAAATAATTTAACAACAAGGGTGGTAAACGGCATTTGAGTCACAAGCGGAGCGAGTGACTTAAAAAGTTGGAATACTAAACCCGGAAATGTCCGAAGTGGTTCGGATCCGTGGGAAACGAAACTGACGTGGTAAAGTGACGCTTGCCGCACCCTAGATCGGAGTGTAATTAAGTATTTTACAAACGGGAGTAGAAAATAGTATATTATGCAACAAGTGCGATAAACGTCATTTGGCACAAGTTTATTTGACAGGAGCGGAGCGACGCGAGTGTTTAATAAACGAGTAAGTTAAAAAGATTACCAAAGGTGTTGCATACTATACCTTTTTTACGACCGTTAGTTTTTGGGTACATTGTGGTAAAATCCCGGAAATGTCCGAAGTGGCTCGGATTCATGGGAAACAAAACTGACGTGGTAAAGTGACGCTTGCCGCATGCTAGACCGGTGGGTAATTTGGAATTATACATGCATGCATTTATGAATTTACACAAGACCGGAGATTTTTCTTCTTCTTCGTTAGTGACAAACACTTGGGCAACATTACCATGACCATTCGCGTATTACCAATATCCATCGAGAAATTTTTTCTTTTGGTCACAGACCAACACGTAAAAATAAAAATATTTCCAACATTTGTTCTCAGCTTGCAAAAAGAACTTTGAACGACCAGAGAATTTATTATCTTAAATCGTCGATAAAAGAAACCCTGTAATCAGAGAGAAGTGGGGATATTCTGTAACCGTGTTCTCTGACTTTAATTCAACCTTTCATTTTTGGTCGAGTAACCTCAGCAATTTGGCTAAGAGGCATAAAAAAGAACCAGAGATTCCAAAGCTCCCGCAGGTATTTCGGCGGAGTTAGTAAGTTAGTTCGCCAAATCCATTTGATTTATTTCTATGCTTCATTCTGTGGTCGAACATTGCACGCGGCGGTTTAACCTACGTTCGCTCCCGACAGAATCCCTTGTATCCGTCCGCAAAAGTTTGATATCGGTTTCCACTGTGTGGATTTAGTGTTTTGAGTGTTCAGTGTATGTTTTAAAGTGATAATCGTCGTCGGCCCCGTCGGTTTTCCCTGTTCACGCCGCTATGGAGGCCGGATTGGCCCGGATGGTCCGGGGTGGAAGCGGGGGAAGTCGATTTTTTTTGGTATCAATCAAAATCGTTTTTTACTAGCCGAGCAAATTTTGGTTATATTTCTTCTTCGTACGTGTTGGTCATTGACCAAAAACGAAAATCCTCGACGGAAGTCGGTAATGGGCAAATGGCCATAGTGGTCTTGCCCAACTGTTTGTAAAGAGCGAAGGAGAGAGAGAGAGAGAGTATTTCTATGCTTTATCCTTTAACGAGATTGGCTAAACGAAACTGACGTCAGAGAAAATTAAACAATATATAAAAATAACAGTACAGATGATTCGTTTAGTCGTACCAGTCGTACTTAGCTTTTTAGATATCTTAGCTTAGTTAGGTAGTTTGCCAATTAGATTGATATTTGGGCTGAAAAATACTTGGAGGTCCAACCAGCTACAATGTCTGTGGAACACATAAGCAAGAAACAAAAAACGAGCCTGCAGGTAGCAACGAACGTGATAGAACAGAAACACCACATCACTCGATCGAAAAGAGGCCAAGTCGTAGGACAGTTACGCGGATTTAGACCATGTACGGTGTGGTTCACTGGTTTGTCAGGCGCTGGTAAAACAGCCATATCCTTTGAGCTTGAAGCCTATTTAGTTCTGCACGGAATACCAGCTTATAGTTTAGACGGCGATAATTTGAGAACGGGCCTGAATAAGGATCTCGGCTTTACAAAACAGGATCGAGAAGAGAACATCCGCAGGGTAGCTGAAGTGGCCAAATTATTCGCTGACGCAGGCCAGATATGTCTATGTAGCTTTGTGTCGCCCTTTGCTGCCGACAGGGAGCTTGCTAGAAAAATCCATGAAGAAAATGATCTCCCTTTCTTTGAAGTGTTTGTTGACACACCTCTGGACGTATGCGAGAGGCGTGACACCAAGGGGTTGTATCAGAAAGCAAGGCAGGGCAAAATAAAGGGTTTCACTGGTATTGACCAACCATATGAAGCCCCACAAAACCCTGATCTGGTTGTGAAGACTGTTAATTACAGTGTGAGAGAGTCTACCACAAAAGTGGTTGAAATGCTAAGGGAAAACAGGATAATACCAATGTTACAGCAGTCTGATGATAGAGTGCCAGAGTTATTTGTTCCAGCTGCAAGGGTTAAAAGTTTAGAGGAAGAGGCTCTATCTTTACCATCACTTAACATTCAAATTCTGGACCTGCAATGGCTACAGGTAAAATTATCAATTCTGTTATGCAATTTTAAAGTTTTTAATGTGGCATCTCTGATCAAATATGAGATAACAATTTCTTAATATTATAACTGTGTAAATATGGAGTGACTATTAACCTAGTTTAATGCCTAAAAAGTGTTTAATCACTGTTTGGCAACTTTTGATATTGTTTTTGATGACCTAACACTGATTATTTTTTGATTTACAGCAATTGTAAAATTGTATTACACAAAAACAGGTCATTCTAAAATGTTATCGTATATTGCCTGTAATATGACAAATTACTTACCTTGAGAACAAAACAAACAAAAACAATTCATGAATTCATGTTAGGCTTGTTGAAAGGCAGCTTTTTCTTAGATTCTGAGCGAAGGATGGGCCTATCCCTTGCGAGGGTTTATGCGGGAAGACCAATTATTACAGACCCTACATTTCAATTGCCTAATTAATGATGGCAACTTGGTGAATCAAAGCATTCCAATAGTCTTGCCGATTTCCACCCAAGACAAGGATCGCCTTCTAAATTCTTCATCGCTTGCTCTTTTCCACAATGGCGTTTGTTACGCGGTTTTACGAAATCCGGAGTTTTACTACCACAGAAAAGAGGAACGGGCAGCCAGGCAATTCGGTAAGTGACTACCCATGAAAAATCAGTTTCGTCTTATTTGGTAACACAGGTACCACCAATGAGAACCACCCTTACGTCCGCATGATCTATGAAAGCGGAGACTGGCTGGTGGGAGGAGACTTGGAAGTGTTGCGCAGAGTTAGGTGGAATGACGGCCTAGATCAGTATCGGTTAACCCCCAACGAATTAAAGGAAAATTTCAAGAAGATGGACGCGGATGTGGTGTTTGCTTTCCAGCTGCGCAACCCTATTCATAATGGGCACGCGTTGCTGATGACAGACACCAAGAGGCAACTCCAAGAGAGGGGATACAAAAAACCAGTGTTACTCCTGCATCCGTTAGGTGGTTGGATCAAGGACGACGACGTCCCATTACCGGTTCGAATTGATCAACACAGAGCCGTGCTAGAAGAAAATTTGCTGGACAAAACATCGACTGTGTTGGCCATTTTCCCCAGTCCCATGATGTACGCAGGTCCGACAGAAGTCCAATGGCACGCCAAAGCTCGAATGAACGCGGGGGCTCACTTTTACATAGTTGGTAGGGATCCTGCGGGTATGGCGCACCCCGAGGGCAAAAACGCAACCCCCGACGGCAACTTGTTTGACGGGACACATGGAGGCCGCGTCCTGAAGATGGCTCCCGGTAAGAAATTTGAAACTGTTTCACAGTGGTCATATTTTACGCAAACATGGCAGAAAGTATAATACTATAACCAACCAATTAAAACCAAATTAAAGTGCCATCTCCAATGAAGATTGGCATAAATTATGGCAAATTCTTCTCTATTTTGTGCTTTTCTTAGTAATGTGTGTGAGTCCAGTCTCGGATGTTCTTCAGACAAATGCATTGTCGACGTGCGGGGTCGCGTTTTCCTTCGATCTTACCTTCCACTATGAGTGGAAGGAAATTCTATTTATTATATCTCATAAGATGACCGAGATACCTTGTTCTTCTTTTCTTTATTGTATCTAGAAGCTGCTCACGTTCCTTGTTCACTCGATGTAGAAGTCCCAAATTTAAAACGTGATGAGTACATGGTATCCTTCACATTCTGCGATACACCCACATCTCAAACACTTCCAGCTTATTCATTGTGCTTACTTTTAATGTCCACGACTCTACACCATAAAGAAATGTGGAGTGAACATAGCATCTGACAAAGTTATGACTTGTGTGAATGCTTAGACTGTTGTTAAAATTAATGATGATGATATCCCGGAAAAAATATCCATCATTCATTTTAATGTGGAAATAGGAAATAGGTATCTACTTCAAAGCAGGTCAATTTTTCTATCTTAATGCAATTTTATTAGGAAATTTCCTTAATGATTCTCTTTATATTTAACTTTAAATATATTAAGTGCCACTTTTGTATGCAACATGTATAAAATTAAATTTAGGGTGATTGCTATGTTTTTTTGTAAATCCCACTACTCCGCACTCGACTAAATTGCATTGTAACATTTTCAGGATTAAGCAGTTTGGAAATTATCCCCTTCCGTGTGGCCGCCTATGACAAACGGAACAAGCAGATGACGTTCTACGATCCTGCAAGGAATGAGGACTTTGAATTTATATCCGGCACGAAGATGAGGACGCTGGCGAAAAATGGGGAAAATCCACCGTCGGGGTTTATGGCGCCCAAGGCGTGGGAGGTTTTGGCCGATTATTACCGGTCGTTGGCCAAAAAACAGTGATAGCTTTGAACCTCCAAGAGGAAAATCGAGAATTAACAGAAGTATTAATGGTAAAACCAAGCATTTAGAAAAATATTTTTACTACTTATTAGTCGCTAATTTATTGAATGTTATGTTGCTCAAATTGCCGGGGAAGAACACTAGTCATAAGCGGAAAAACAGAGGCTTTAATTTTGAATCAAATCAAGCACTGGCAAACCAATGTAAAAAAAAGCTAAGTTTTCATGGAGCGCACTATGTCCTTTCAATATCTTCTTTTTTAGTACGGTTGGGGTCGCTTTGTTAATTAACACGTTATTGTTATTGTATAGGTATATTTCTTTAATCCATTTTCTGTTTTGTTTTAAATATATTTTATTCATTGTATTTGTGGAGGTTTTGCTTAATTTTCCAAAGAGTTTCGCAAACTTAAGTTACTTATTTAAAATTAATTTATTTAATACTTATTACTACTTACAAAAATATCCTATCAACATTCGATCTGTTATCGAATTACATTGACAAGACTTTAGTCCACACTTACTGGCCATATGGTGTTAAGTAAATGGTACATACATGGAAAACGCTCAAGTATCATTTCATAAGCTGTTTACACATAGAGAGAACTTTATTTGAACTAAATTACTATTCAATTACCTTGGAACTTAAGCAGATCAACGAGGAAAACTATAAACAGCGAACGTTACGTTTGACCTATTCGGTTATTACATACATATATTTAAATCATTTCTTTGTTATATTTGGACGAAATTATATTTATTAAATTAAATAAACAGTTATTTAAAACGCAACAGCGGTTTCGAGCTGCTTAGTTTGAATAAACTACACTTGTCTTGAGCAAACATTACATGATGGGTAGCAGCTAGAAAGATGTCTTCGAAGGGCAGAAAACTAAACACCGAATAGTACATTTGACCTACCCCGCAGGGGCGCAATTTTTGTTTAAAAAATTGTCAAACAGGCCACATTAGCACCACCATAATAGAAGCTAATGGGATTGTTTAAAAAAACTGATGGATTTATGTATAGTATGGAGCAAATAAACTTTTTAATCATTTTCTAGTCATTTTGTTTCTAAAAAGGTTAAGTTTGTCCAGGAGAGGCATAAAATAATCAAAATTTCAACAAACAATAATAAAGAAACATTTTTTTAATAAAACTTTTGGATTTCTGCGTCGATTTTTGTTGATTCCAACTAGCTAGCGTTTGGCCAGTCATCCTGTTGGCTTCTTCGGAGCTTGACTGAAACAGTTAAGCTAGTTTGACTCAACAAAAACCGACGCAGGAGGAATCCAGAAGTTTTATAAAAAGTATTACAGTAGCCTGTGGAAGCTTCTTTGAAAAATTAATAACGAAACAATTCAAAAAAGTGGTCGCAGAAATCTCTTAAAATCCAAAGAAAAACTAAAATCAAAATACGGACCTGATTCGTTGACTGAACACCAAAATATATCTACATAAAACAATAAAAACTATCACTCTTAGTCGAGTTCTGCTATGTCTTCGTCATACTCGCTACCGCGATCCGAACAATAGTAAACCAAGTCGTTGTCGTCCTCATCTTTGTCGTCGTCACTGATCGGCAACTCCAAAAATCTCCTCTTCTTCTCGTCGTCAACATTCAAAGTATCGATGTCGAAATGGATATTCCTAAATCTGTTTTTTGAGTATAGCAAACGGGGCCACGTTGCATCGTCCTTGTGTTTGGCCAGTGTCACTTTGACTACTGCCCCTAGCGCACTGTGTTGAAAAGTCTTCTTCACACGATCAAACAGTATCAAATTCAGGAGATATTTCTTGCCCGCCTTGTACGTACTGTCGAAAAATGTTCAAATTTATTTTAGGTTACCGTCGATTGATCTGGTAGTCTTACAACCGACTTAACCTGGTAAATATAATCGGTACATTTGAACTACTTTTGTATAGATGGCGATACGATTTCCGCGTTTGATAATACACATGAACTGCCGACTATTACTGTACCATTGGCGATGCCAAAGACACGTGCGGCCAGCGTGTGAATTTGAAGAAGCAGGTATGGTTCATCGATATAAGAAAGTGACCAATTGCTTTGATTGGGATTATCCAAGAGTGGTCATTAACATACAATGCAACAAGATTATTACCTAAAGTTTCGGAATTTAAATTCAGATAAAATTGCGGTCCGTAATAGAAAATAATTTTATACTCACCTGTGTTTAATATTCTTTGGTTTGGTATACTACTTAGTTTAAGTTTATTAGTAATCGTTCTTATTTCGTGTGTAATGCAGCGTGCGTTGAATCGTGTGCGAATTATGCAAAATATGTGCGAGTCTAGTGTATCTCAGGAGATGCTCCCTCCCAAACGTAGAAAACACTATTCTCTTAAGACTAAGAAAGTTATAATCAATGTTTATTTGACTATCATTGAACCTGGTGCCAGCAAGCAAGCATCTTTAGAAGAAACGGCCACATTTGCGAAAATTCCAACATCAACTGTATGGAAAATTGTAAATAATCCCATTTCAGCCAGGAAAAAAAGAAGCGATGCTGATATTTTCTCGAGTGTAGATGAAAGTGATCAAGATATAATACGGCGTAAAATTTACCAGCTATACGAGGAACAAAGCATGCGTACATTAGATATCTTAATTAGGAGGCTTGAAAAAGATGAAACCGGTATTAAATGTGGCAGAACTACCTTATGAAAGTGTATACACATGGGTTTTAGATTTAAAAAAATTGACAAAAGGCAAGTTTTAATGGAATCTTTTAGAATTCGGAAATGGCCACTGGAATATCTAGAAAAAATTAGGATTTACAGAGAACAACAAAGGCCAATTATTTATTTAGATGAAACACTTATGATACCCCGAAAAAGGGTTGGGTTGACTCAACTGGTAAGTGTAAAACAAACGCGCCATCAAAAAGAGGTAAAAGAATGCATGCTGGCTCTAAAGATCCAAAACTACATGTATAATAACGACATTTATTTTCACGAAGATTATACTAAAAAGCAATTAATTGAGGTTCTACACTGAAATCTGACATTCGTCGTAACAATGTTTTTCCCTGTGTTAACTCCAATGTCCTCAAACTTATAGAAACCGAAGTTTTTAACATCCCTCCACAAAGTTGGGCAAATTCTGTTAAACATAGAGAAAAAGCAGAACAATCGTATATCCATATTGCAAATAATATAGAACAAATAATAATTAGAACAGGCGATAATAGCGATAGTGATACAGATATATTATGTGAATAATTTCAAGTAATTTAAGTAGGTAATAAAAATAACTTGTAATTTTATTTTAGATTTAAACATAAATAAATAAATATTGTTTAGTATCTTTCCTAACAAGACCCCAAATAATTAAATTCTAAGCAAAGTACGGACCTGTTCGGCCATATTTCATTCTTACAGCTCGCCCGGGTCTTTCCTTAATTCATATCAGTTAGTAGTCACTTTCTTATATCTATGAACAGACTTTATCGCGTAAAAAATTTTTGATCAAACCGGCCGAAGTTACGATTTTTCGTTCGTTTGTAATTAAAAGTTTGGTGGTAGCGGCGTCTCTGACCAAAACTTACCAAAAATTAAATACCCTTCCTTGACTGACGCTGACCGTGTAGTCCGAAACGTCCGGAATTTGGATCGTCAACCTTACGAAAGAATCGGTCTGGGACCAGAGGCAATCGGGCGTGAGGTAATCCACTTCCGGTGCGGCTTTAATCACGGGCAACTGTCTGGCGCCGTCCTCTACTTTTTTGGGCCCCGCTTCGTTTCGCTCGCTTGTCAAAAAGTCATTGTCGGTGCAAAACTGGCCAAAGTCTATTATGAAAACCTCCAAGTCGTCGCCCAAATTGAAATTCTCAAGAGTCTCTGAAACAACAAATCTGGGTATTGTGCGCAACTTGCGGACGTCGGTGCGACTATTAAACCAAAAAGTCGGAGCGTTCCTGGGGAGAACCAGGTTAAAAATCTCACCTTCGTTTTCTCGTCCGTCCTCGATCCAGTCGTCGCTGTCGTGGTCCGACTCGTTCCCCGACGACGGTTCGGAAACGGCGAAATCCTCAATCGCGCCGTTGATCGGCACGCCGTAACCGCAATCGACCAGCAAATTGTTGAGCAGGTGACGCTTGTTAAACCCGTCCTTCAATATCACCGAATAACATTTCTGGCCGGCGAGGTCGCCGTTGTCCGATTCGGACACGGTCTTAACGTAGAGCGTCCTGAAGACATCCGTGCCGGGCTCGAAGCCGAGCTCGTAAAGTAAATCGGTCGCGGCGTTGTCCCACTTCTCGTCCACAGGTCTGACGCCGAACATTTTGCACTGAATCGTCTGGAAAGGCAGCCTCTCGAGCAACACGTCCGACAGATGCTTCAGCTCGCTCAGCTCCGTCACCGTTTCGTCGCCGTAATCGCCGAAAAAACACAACGCGTGGTCTCCGTCGATATTTCGGACGATCGCGCGCGAATAATTGCCGCTGTGATCATCTTTCGCCAAGTAACATTTTCCGACTTCGATTTTTTCGGGGACCGGGTAAAACGGCTTTCGGATTTCCTGCTGTATATCCTTCTCCAACTGCGATAAGCTGAAACGCCGGAATGAAAGCCGTCATAGTAGTCATAAAAGGTAGCAAGATCCCCTCTCCCATTGTTTGTCTTAGCCACGCCCGCATGGCCCCTAGACTAAGGTGACCGATTTTGGCGGGACAGTGCCGATTTTTCACAATTTGTCTCGCGTCCCGCGATGTTTTTCAAAAGTCCCGATTTTTACAATTAAATGAAATTTTATAATTATAAAAATCATTGTTTTGCGTTCTAAGAATCCTACGGGCTACGACGAGTAACATATTGTTTTTGCTACACAGTTACATTGTATTTGCCTCTCAGATGATACACTTCGTGTCCATACTGCGTGCTAACAAGCTAATTAAACAAATAAATATTACAAATCTGCTATTTATCATAGAAAATTGAGGTAAGTAATTAATTTATACATTTCATAAAGACATAAATTCCGTTAAACTTATGATTGATTACAACAAGTATATCACTGACCTTAACCTTAACATAAATATTAACATACCAAATAGTACCTATCATTTTGCCGCACCCTGTATTTTAAGTCAATCAAACTACACTAGAACGCTTTGTTATATTTATAAATTGTACTTATGTTAAAAATAAAAAATATTACGATTTTATTTTTATTCTGTACGAAAATTTTTGTTGACACCCCCTCCCGCCCTCCTAAAAATCTGGTCACCTTACCCTATATTTAGGTTACAAACATAGTGAAGCGATGAGATTCGAGACTAGCGGCGTATTCCATAGTAGAGCGACACATTTTGGGACATTTTAAGGATTCAAAACCAAAAAATAATAAAGTTGCCAAAATTTGTATGAATAGTGAACATAAAATGCTTCTATCCGGTGTTTTACTGCTAATTTTGGTTCTTATAAATTATACTCAGTTCAAAGACCTAAAAAACATCGTGATAGATTTTGTAATAATTTTTAATAAAGCCTTCTGGACACGACTAAAATTACGGCAGACAGTTAAATTTTAACTACACTTTGAGAACACCAATATGCTGGAGAAGACATTAAAGTTTGAGTCCTATTGCTTCAAGCCCCGCACTCACCTCACCTGCTACAGGCCAACGAGGTTATAATTAATTTTAGCACGACTACGTTGCTTCTGCTTCCCCCGTCCATCGGACAGACTTGCTCAATGTCTCCGACATCACTAGGGCGCAGATTTCTTATCAAACAAGGGGGAAATTTAAAGCGATTTTACAAAATTTCGAATTCGAATAGTGCTGGATTCTTCCGGCACTATGTGTTCAATTTTTTCGCAATAAAAAAAAAGCACGCCCAGATTAGCGAGGCTCCGCGGTGAAACATTAAAAAACTGAAATAAAATAAACCACTCACGACTTGTGGAATTTCTTGAGCTTGACGTAGAACTCGTCGGGGGAAATGGCCGAACTGAATGTTACCTCGTTCACTCGCTGGGTATCCAAAAATGCCCACCGAGGTGTCGGCTGTTCGGCGACCTTCCTTACAACCTTTCTCCTCTTAATTTCGTAGTCGGGCAGCGATATGTCCGCTTGCTTGCACAATTCGTACAATCGTCTCAGGACTTGGTCGTCGCGTCGAACCAAACCGCCACGCAGCAGCTCTCTGGATAATTGGAACCCCATCGTCGGCAGAGATTTGTCAAATAGTTCCCTTTCTTCCACCACGTCTTCCAGCCAAAGGTTGTGCCCGAGCTGAAGTTGAATATCGGCTCGGAAAACCATGTCGCAGCACCTGTGCTCGTCCATCATGTGTTTTAGGGTGGTGAACGCCTTCGACGAAAATCCAGAATCGTGGTGGGGCGGCACGAAGTTTCCGAGGTACACTTCATGAACTAAAACAGGAGGATTGCTTAGAGAAAACGGTTCCGATTCTAACAAACCTCTACCGACTTTGGGACGGTATATTCATCAATTCTGCAGACAGCTGGAATAATTTGGCAACGTCGACTTTTATTTTTGTCCCTTTGTCGACCAAAACGACATTTGCGGAGTCTGCTTCCACATTTAGTAGTCGACACCTACCCGAAACATCTTCGTCCGCGTACATATACATTTGGCCAGTGATGGGCGTTTTCACGCATCTATCTCTAGGACATGCAGCCAATTGGTTCAAAATTTCCTGTTCTCGATCTCTCATTTTACCGACGCTGTTACCGTTGGTATCGAAACTTTCCAGGATTTTGATTGCGCACGTCGTTACATCCCATACGTCTGCGATTGTGAACTTAATCGACCCGTTCTGCGGTAAATGATCGTCGACATCGACCGTTTTATCCGCTAGATGGCGGTACTTGCACCGGAAATTGGCGCAGGTGCCGAAAATCTTGATCTGCGCGCACAGTTCGGCCTGTTTACTGCGCTCTTCCGCCAACTTTACGGCCTGAAACGTAACGGTTAGTATCGAAGTAAAAGAATAACGCGAGAGACTCACGTCCAAATACGAGCGCAAATTCGACCCCAGCTGGTCCCACAGTAACGAGGAACGCATAAAAGCGCCAAACTTTGACATGCGCGATTCGCATTGCTCGTCGATCAGCACCACGCTGCGTATAGATATATTGTTCTGAAATTCAATTGCGCGGCTTTAAAATGTTTGGAAGTCACGCGCGAGGCAAAAATAAAAGGCTCGGGCTTAGTTTAATATGGGACTTACCGATTTCATCTTCAAAGGTGACGCACAATTATCGAGTAAACAACTGAACCTCCTGACGTATTGAGACCAAGTCTGCGGTAGGGAGTAGTGAATCAGTAGAGCGACGTTGGTAATGGCGAACATCGTATTGAAAGTGTAGTCGGAACAAATGAGCACGTGATACGAGCCAGGTCGGGCATTGTTCCACACCTCTTCGAGATACATCGCGTCTTCGCGCTTAACGTCGTCCTTTATAGGGGTCGCGTCGATGCCTTTCAACATTAAAACATTATAAACCTCTTCTACTTCCTCCGGTTGGCAGACGACGAGCGACCTTACGATTTTGTGGTCGTTTTTTAACAATTCTGGAAAAATAAACAGTGGTACATTTGAACTACCTGACGCCCAACGCCGCGATCGTACGTTTCAATTCCTGCTCCTTGCACGCGGAATTCAAAAACTTGATGGTGTAAACCATTTTGCCATACAGCGCCGCCTCCATGTAATTGGTGATGCACACCAGAGGCGGTATGTTTAGCCGCTTCAACAGTTTCTCTATAGGAACCGTCCAGTGTTCTGAACAAACGACAAGCTGAACCGATTTGGGACAAGAACGGTGGGTCAGCATTTTGTCGCAGAGGGAAAGGAAACCGTTGACGAGAAGTTCATGATTCTTCAAAAGCACACCGGCGTCGTCGAAAACTAAATGGCACAATCGCTTGAAGTTGATCGCGCGCGACGTCAACAAGTTATTTAGCACCGACGGCATGGTTACCAACATATCGATGTTGCTCTAATAAAAAATTATTTACATAATATCTAAAATAAGTCATTAATGAAATGCGGAAAACCCAGCAACCAATATGAACAAAAGCTTAACTCCTTCCCGTTTAATTAGTGCAGCCGAGTGCATTCCTAGTTTCTCATGCTATCATGTACAGCATTATCAAAATGACATCTAATTTATATGTCAACATATAATTTGTATGTAATTATATATAAAGGTATAAAATAACCAGCGGATCTACATCCATTAACCCCACAAAAATAAAATTACACAATGGTTGGTGTGTCAAAAAACGATTTTCTCACCGTACCACGGGGATGGACTTAAACCTTCATTTATGTTAGTTAGCGACAAACTAACCAAATTGGCGTGTCCGGGATATGTTATAAGGCTGAGTTTGTGCTTGGTCCCTTTAAGGAGAACCTTGGCCAGATCGTGAACCTCTTCGCACTTCTTCGATTCGTTACATAATATCAAAACGATGGGGCCGCCGCCCATCTGGTCCAGTTGGCTGTAGCGGTCTCTCTCCAACACAAACGAGCACATAACCGGCAAATAAGCCATCGTCTTGCCCGACTTTCGATCTCCAATCAAAAATACGTGCTGATTGCGGGTGATGGCTGGACATGCGTGCATCTGGATACCCTTGGTGGCACGGTACCCGAGATTTGACAAAGTGGCGTATATTTTGTTATGCAGAAAAATCTGGGATATGCGTTCAGCAGGACTCGGTATAGATTCGCTGCAATGTGTATAGGGTGAGCCGATTATCTTGGGACCCTACCTTGTCTCAGAAACTATAGGGAATGGCACGAAAAATTAAATACAAAAGTTAATGGGGGTATTACAAACCTTCAATTTATTTTAATGTTGTATATGCAGGGTGTTTCATTTTTCGTGGGCAAGTATCAACATTCTTATTTTAAATGGAACGCTTGGTATATTACTTCATTTTTGAATTCTATACAAAATTCTAGACATACTTTATGTATAATATCCTATACCTAAGTCTAACCGTTTCTGACATTTTAAATTTTTTATGTGGAAAATGACGTTTGCAAGACGTAAAATATCTGTCAATTTCTTCATTCGGAAGTATTTATTGTTTCAGTTCTGTAAGTTTGGTTGTAGACAAAGGACTCAAATAACGGATTTCATAAGAAATTTCGAAACATAATAATACAGGGTACGCGAAAAATAAGATTAAAAATGAAATTAAAAAAATTGTCAAAAAAGACTTTTTTTAATGGAAACTACCTATTTTTATAATCTTGTCATATTTAGTATCAAAAATTAAGGAAATTTCATATAAAGTTGCATATGCCTAATATTTTTACTTTTTGAAATGTTTCTTCTTAAACATTTGTCTATCACAACTAATATGCTGTTGCCATATAAGTTCAATTAGTGGCTATGACAGCGTTTAAACAAAACAAGTGCTAGAAGGCTACTTGTGTATTATGTTTACCACAGAGGAAAAGATGTTAGAAAGTTACATATCGAACAATAAAAACCGGACCCTGGCTCTTAGAAGATTATATTAGAAAATTTCCATTAAGGAGGCGCCCCGAAGAAAAGATCTTCGACAGGATTTATTTTCAATAATGAAGAGCACCTTAATATTTTGTTGCATTTTGCAGAGACCCCTGAAGATTTAACCCGAAATGCGTTTTTTGATGTCAAAAGAACAACGCTTCGAACCTGCCTTTAAATAAACAACTGGAAGCCCTATAAATTCTGTCCAGTGCAGAAATTAGTTCAACAGGATTACAACGTCATATTAGATTGCAATAATCTTATGCAGAGACACTTTTCAAAAAGTATAAATGCTAATATTATTTGGACAGATGAGTCCATATTTACAACTTCAATTAAAATTTTTAATCAGAAAAATACCAATTACTGGAAAAACAAGAATTATAAAAAACATATAGAAGTTACAAGTTCAAGAGGGACTTCTGTCAAAGTATGGTGCGCCGTTTGGAGGTTCAGAATAATAGTTCCACGATTTTTTGATCAGAATGTAAATTCCCAACGCTACTGAGAGCTTTTAAATATTAATTTTTTCCAATTTAATTTTTTAAATTTAATTTGGCTAGCAGGATGACGCTCCTAATCATAGAAGTCAAGAAATTAGCACCTATTTAAATGCACACTATAGAGAATGGATTGAGGAGAATGGTAGTTACGCCCGGTCTCCAAGGAGCAACGACTTCACTAACCTAGATTTTTTTCTATGGGGTACACTTAAATATTTAGTTTATAAACACAATCCGTCAATTGCCGAGGAACTTAAACGTCGGATAAAAGAAGGTATCGGATATTTAAACTGAAGCTGCCATGATGTATTTAAAAACCCTTTATTCTGTTTGTATTGTGTTGACTTCTTCAGAGCTTGACTAAAACTGGAACAGTTTCAGTCAAGCTCTGAAGGAGCCAACAGGACAATTGGCGAAACGTCAGCAATTTCGACTAAGCAAAAACCGACGCAGGAGGAATCCAGAAGTTTTGTAAAAAGCATTACAGCAGCCTGTTGAAGTTTCTTTGAAAAATTAACCTCAATTAACTGTTGTATTTAACTTTTGGCTCCATCCCCTATAGTTTCTGAGATAAAGGAGTGTCACAAGATAAACGACCCTAAACAAGTGTACAATCATTTGGTTAAAACCATTTTTTGAAGAAAACCGCTTAATTTTTGAAGGTATTATTATTATTTATTTATTATATTAAGTGGCGTGACCATGCGAATGATTTTAAAACAAGCAGTGTATACAAAATGAAGCAGGTAAAAATAAATTTTTTTTCTTTGACCTCTTTCAAAAAACACAGTATTTTTTTAATGAAAAAAAAAGAACACATACAAAAATCAGCTAAAAGACTTAAGATAAGAGATTAAGTTTGTACTATACGAACTTTTCGCCTTAAAATCGAACAAGGAATCGTCGTTCCTACTTCTTCAAATCCCGTATTGACGTAATTTGTAGTGTTTTGATAAGAAAGGGAAAGCTATTTCCTCAACCTTATTATAATAGTTTTATAGGGAAATTTTTTGTTTCCCTTTATGGCCCTTTTATTTATTATTTTCGTGAAAAGATTCGCGGAGAACTCACCCATGAACCAACTTCTTCCGCGACGCATGGCGCTGCATCTGGGACATTTTAGAAAATTCCACTGACAATATTCCGCTTTCCTCTACCAATTCCTTGTCCGCAGGTTTGAGCAACAACGGCGGTTTGATAATCGGCACCAACTCAGACAATTGCTTCTTGCATTTGGAATCCGAGAATGTTATAGAACTATCCCAATCGTCGTCCTCGTAACGTATGTTACAATCTTTACAATTGCAACTCGTCGCGAAATTAGCAAAATGAAGTGGAGGCCTGTCCGCTGGCGGATCTTCACTCTTGGCGGTGTCAGTCTCAGTATTAGTTGAAATGCTTTGATTCTCCGCCACACTGTTGGTACTCGAAATGGTAGGCGTGCGAATCACCTTGGAGACCTTCTTTTTTGTTTTAAGGTTCCTCTCAGAACCGGCGGGCATAAGATTAATATTTGGGGGAAGTTTCCTCTTACCCGCCGTTTTTTCAATACATACCACCGGGGAATCGACCTGTTTCCAAGTTGCACCTGCAACAATTACACTAAAAATTTATTTACAATTCTACATAGCCGTAGAACCGAACAAATAAAACGATATCTCAACAAAAACCATGTTTTATTATAACCATAAATAAAAAATCAAAATACATTTTCTGTAAATAGTGCTAATAATAGGAACTGGTAAGCAGAGCTGTGACAACTCTCAATTCAACATACCTTCTTTGCTTTTGTTTTTTCTTAGCTCTGCAAGTTTCCTAAGCGTTTCGACAGTTTTTGGCGGACCTTTTCGTGAAAAAGTCGATGGTGCAAATGAACTATTTTCAGAATCACTGCCTAAAACATCGAAACAACATTTATATGACCGCCACAAATCGTTTAGAGTGCTCCTTTACCGTTACTCTTCATTTTTCTGAGGCTTTCCAATATTTTGCGTACTTGGCTCATATTCGAAAATCGTTCTTCAGGAGGAAGGTTACTGTGATTTTTTTCTTCAACACCCAACTTTCTTTCCTTAAATACATCTTTGCGCTTCTGTAACAAGCTTGCGATTATATTTTCAGAGGAGGAAAAAGACGAATTCGCCTGCTCATTCTCAGACATCGTTTCGTTGCTAGATGCATTAGAGCTATTACTGCTATCAAGGTTTATGTTTCTTCTCCTACCGTTAAGCAGAGGTTTCTAAAACATTGGTTTTGTTGTTCGACTTCCACCAACATGACATTGAAGGTTTGTGAATGTTATGGACTGCTTAAGATATATAAGTAGTTACCCCAACATTAAAATCCATGTCTTCATACTTTAAATCTTCACTGCATTTGATTTTGGAAGTTGTTTTGTTAGATATAGTGTTTTGCCTCCTGCAAATCTGGTGAATTGTACTCAAATAAGTCTTTTTATACAAATGAATGTCCTTTTTTATCTCTACAAAAAGAAATTAGAATTACAACCTGTCGGTTGTCTGATGTCTAAAATCAGAATTATACGCATTTGTTATCACCTCTTTTTTTTATATTTGGATAAAACGGATGTAGGATTTTTATTCACTTTTTATCGAGGAGTAAACCGTTGATGGCAATTGGTGTAAAAGATGAGAAAATACTGCGCCAATAGTGGCAATTCTGTGGCAAATAAGAATAGAAATTATGATTATACTAAAAATAATACTACAATAGTGTGGCAGTCACATATAATATACAATATAAGAATTATTGGCAAATCAGAGGCAATAGGCAAAAACAATAAATAGCAATAATGCAATAATTCTTCACAGAATTGGCTAACATCGGCAATATCCAGAGTGTTAGCGGTATTCCGACTATTTCCTTTCGGGATGTGTGTTACGGTAGAAGTACCTATAACTAAGGACTCAACCCTATATAACGGTAGATATTACGAAGCATATTGCATTTTGAAGCGTTTAAAATGAGCACGACAAACTTAATAGTTATGACATCTATTTCATCAATTACAATAACAGTATTTTTTATTTTTCTTTTTTCTGTATGCATTAATAGCATAGCCTTAATTTGATTATCGTGAATCCTACTACAAATATTCAACACCAAGTGTGTTCTAATGAAGAACACGACAACCTCGTCCAAGTGCACTTACATTAGTATATTATGCAACAAGTGCTGTAAACGACATTTGGGTCGCGAGTTCATTTGGCAGAAGGGGACAGCGTGTTTAATAAAGGAGTTACTTAAAAAGTTTACCCAATGTGCTGCATACTATACATTTTCTACGACAGTTATTTAGTTTTTGGGCACATTTTTGCAAAACAATACGAATACATTCACTGGCATGAAAAATCAGAATTCAAGCCGTGTGGTAAAATTTCCAAAAACATCCGATTGCTCCCAAATCCGTGCGGTAATATCCCGGAAATGTATACTCTAGTCTGTAATAGTATATTATGCAACAAGTGCGGTAAACGGCATTTGACTCACGAGTTTTTAATAAACAAGTGAGTTAAAAAGTTTAACGAAGGTGTTGCGTGCTATACTTTTTCTACGACCCGTTAATTTTTGGGTACACTTTCGCAAAACAACATTCACTGACATGACAGTCAGAATTAACAAACGTCAAAATTCAAAGCCTGGGAAATATCTCTAACAACATCCTATTGCTCCCAAATTTGTGCGGTAAAATCCCAGAAATGTCCGAAGTGGCTCGAATTCATGGGAAACGAAACTGACGTGGTAAAGTGGCGCTCCCTACACGCTAGATTGCTAGGTAATTTCGTATTTTACAGACGGATCCGAGCCACTTCTGACATTTCCGGGATTTTACCGCATTCGTGAAAAATACCACTGTTAATAAGTTTTTGGCAACCTGCATGATGTCACTACTAATGGGTATCATTCTACTATACCTTCAAAAACTTTGTCATCCTTTATCATAAGTTTCTTGTTACACAATTCCTCTGACAAAGACAAAACCTGATAGTCTTTGTAAATCAAAAGATCGCCAAACAATACACCATTTTGTTCACCTATCATTTCGAAAGTAAATTTTGTATAGTCTCTAAATAATTCCATTGAATAATCATAAGAGGCTTGTGAAGGAATGGCTGTAGCAACATTCTTAATTGAACCCGTTACTCCTAATTTAAGAACATCCTTTAGGTAGCAAATACCCTGCAGGCAAATTTGTTTTGATTGCGGTGAAATATCCTGAAGGTCCCTGGGCAGTTTATAAACTATGTCAACCTCAATTAATTTTCCATAATCTATTAACCAGCAAAAATAGCGATGCCCGTCAGAATTAGCAGAACAGAAAACTTTTTCAATACTAGCTCTAACCAACTTCTTGTCCAATGTAATTCCCACAATCTAGAAACAAAAATATCGGAAATACAGACAGACATATTTTAATCGATATATTTGTAATTACCTCATCAGTTTCAAAAATACCATTAGAATTCAGATTTACTTTCTGCAAGAGGCTAGAAATGTTGTTCAAAATATTGAGCCTGTCCAGAGAATTCTCAGTCACCCAAAATAAATGAGGATTTATGAACGTCGTAATGTTAACATCCATTGTGTTGGTCAGTAAATTCATTATATTTTTTAAGAAATACGAATTATTTTTTTAAATTCATTTTCGGTATAACTGAAAAAAAACCCCGCGCATCGAACAGAAACAAGACTAAAAAAAATCAAAAAATAGTTTTTCTTCTTTACTTCTAATGGCCAAAATTGCATAAGGTCACTCGGCCAGCTTACACAATTTTTCCCATTATTCAGATATCCCAAAGAATGCCTTCTTAAGAGAAGGGTCTGGACCAATCCATCATCCTCCAGGTTTATTGTTTTTTACGTATACAAAAACGGCTAGGTTCTTTTTCTTCTTTTATTTTCATTGACCATCATTGCCAAGATTAGTTGGCCAGTTTACTGCAATAGTTCAACTTTGACGAGAGTAAGGTTAGCGATGTCGGGCACAGACCGAGCCAAACACCCATAGGATGCTTCGGTTGGCAACTCAACTTGCCGGAGATTGTGGGTTCGATTCCCTTGTGCAGTGAAAATTATTAAAAAAATTGTTTCCTCGGACGCCGGAAAATTGGTGGAGATCTAATTAATTTACTCAATAAAATTAAAAAAAAATAAAACATGGCGCAACCTGGACTCCAAAAAAAATTTACTCCCTCGCTATCGCTCCATCCGGGTACCTACGTGAATAGCAAAACCGGAAAAACCACACGAAACAAATACTATAAACACAACCCACAACTAACTTTTAAAATTTAATTTGTAGCGATAAACAAAAGTTTAAACTGATTATAACGGATTCTGCCGGGAGCCAACAAAGGATACACTGTTTATCTTCACGTTCCTAACAAAACCTATTTTTAAACAGATTTTAATAATCACAGAAATGTTCTTCTTTTTGTTCCCTAATTAAATGGCCAAGGGTCATTGTCCACTACTCATACGTTCATGTAAGGGCAAGATTGCGAAGTCATTCCCGTGATCATTGAACTTATATGTCGCTTTCCATAGGCTTGGCTTAGCTGGCAAAAGGCAACTCTTGGATATTAAGGAAATTAAATTAAGATTAAGGAAATGCGAAGGAATAGTCGAATGTTTTGTATTTTGTCATTCCTTCCACAAAAAAGAGAACATTCCTAAAGAAAACCTCCCAAAAGAAGTTGTAAGCGGTTAATATACAGAGGATAAAAAGGAAGACAAACAGTCTACGACACATGTAATGAGTTGGAATCCTCTGTTTAGCTGGAACCATGAAAAGAAGGAGAGAGACGCAATTAACCCAACATTATTTTTAAATCGAACTAGTAATTTTACGTTTTTAATCATGTTTATTTTGTCTGAAATGAAAAATGTAACGAGAATACCCCCAGAGTTATTTAATATTAAATTAAACGACGCAATAGCTGGCGAACTTAACAAAAAACTGGCTAATAAAGTGGCGAACTTAACAAAAAACTGGCTAATAAAGTATGAGTATGATGAGTGTTCCAAGGTTGATGTTATCATTTGGTTTGCTATAGGTTGTTCTAAACGTGGGTCTTTGCATTGCTTTGTTCGACATTACAAGCCTCAAGGAGTCATTTATAATTCCAAGCGACGGAGCTTCCCACACAGTAGTGCATTTTCGATACATCGTATTTAGACCGTTTATGGAAGAAATTTTAGTAGGAAAAATTCGAACTTGCAGCGAGGAAGGCGTTCACGGTAAGTCTGTACAAATTTTAAGCGGGATGTTGAGAACGAATTGTAGTTACCCTCGGATTTTTTGATGATATTTTAATACCCCCAAACGCCTTGCAACATCCTGCAAAGTTTAACGAAACTGAACAGGCTTGGGTGTGGGAGTACGACATGGGCGACGGAAATAAACACGATTTGTTTATGGACGCGGGGGAGAATATCCGATTTAGGGTTACCGCGGAAACTTTTATGGAGACGTGTCCGACTGGACCATCCACTGCTCAGGACTCGCAGGAGAATTTGGATGGTAAAGTGCCATACAAATTGATTGTGAGTGTGGAATGAGTTATTATATATACCTGTATGTTAATATTGGGTTTTGGATTTCAGGGGAGTATAAATGAGCCTGGTCGGTTAGGGATTGAATAAAAAAACTGTATTATAAAATATTTATTTTATTGGCAAAGTATTTTTTATTTACAGTCTAAAATAAAACGGTATTAATTTGTCATAAGCCCGTCTATACAGCGATAATTCAACATTGTAAATTTAGTCAACTGTTTGGCATGAAATTTGTGGTTAAACAAACTAAAGTTTTATAAATAAGTTTATTGTGTAAACCTTCGATATGTCCCGCTCTTGCTTGTTGATTTCCAAGAACTTTTAAGCACAGGTGGGACCCCATATCAGCATCCCAATTTTATGTTGTTATGTTTCTTTAAGCATTCCTGGCGCAGATTTCTTACAGTTTTATTTTTTTTTTTTGCCATTGCTATTAAGAATGACAAATGATATTGTGTCAAGCTATGTTTTATCCTTTCCTGAAGGCTTATAATTAAATCATATGCCTTGCTGGGGCGCGTCTATGCTTTAAGGTCTCAGTTTTTCCCCACAACTTAACTTCATACTGTGCCCCTTAATATTAAGAACTAATATACAGCAAATTGACATTTGACATTAATTGGTATTTGAGAAAACAATAGTAATGTGAGGTTCGGTCGAAATAAAAGAAAGGGGGAACAGGTTGGTACACAGACATGGAAAATTAAAATATAGCAGCTCTCAAATTCGACTCTCAGGGTTGCAGTCTCGGAAACGGTAAATGATGCAGGGTATGCAGACAGTAAAGGATAAGGGAAACAAGTTAGGGTAAAGGTGTGAACGATTGAAAAAGTTAGTGCCTATCCTGTGGTACAAAGGCAGGGGTAAATTATAAATTATAATACATTGTTAGAAAGGCAATTAAAATTGCGAAAATCCAATTTGATGTCCTCAAGGAAAACCGACGGTGGTATATAGTAGAAACGATGAAAGAAAAGGTGAATTGTTAATGAGATGTCTAAATTCTAAAACTAGTTAGTTTTGGTTAGTTTTTAACCAGATGGTTAAAAAACAAAATCTAAACCCGCCAAGATAACTTCAATATGTTAATGGCTCAGAACTTCCAACTGTGAAAGTTGAATTTGAAACGCCCGATATACATAGTGGTGACTTTTTCAATGGTATTGTATGAGTAACTTATCATCCATTGGAACATACATCAGATAAAAGGTGATTGATGAAGCTGCCAAAATAAAAAGAAATGTATTTTAGAAAAATCAAATATTTTGATTTTGGTATTTCCTTCCTAGCACAAAACGACGGACTTCAGTAGAATACATAAGTATAAAAATATTAAAACTTAACCTAAGTTAGAAAGAGTTGCCACAAATAAGAAACATTTGGTTAATTGAAACAGATACTTCGACGTTACAATGTATAAATAAAATACCGAAATAACATAAATTTGTACACGTACCATGTCCATGAATTTATCGTACGGACTGAGATTGGCAAGCAAAGCAGAGCGGCGAGTTTAATGTTTAGTTTTTCGAACGATTTTTTTGTTTGGTTTGTGTACGTCATTATTATTATTTTTTATTTTTTTGGTTATCCTCTTACACATCCTAATTTAAAATAGTATGGTATATTTTGCTCAGGCCCTTTTAATTTTCAAAAACTAAAAATACTGAAGACAGAACCCAACGTTAGAAAAAAAAATTGTACGAATCAATCGAAATTCAAAAAAACAAATACGCTATAAACTATAAAACTGACTGAAAATTGCGACACCGTATAGGCGAACCAAGGAACCAAAGAAATGCATAATATAAATAAATAAATAAATATATATATATATATATATATATATATATATATATATATATATATATATATATATATATATATATATATATATATATATATATATATATATATATATATATATATATATATATATGCGTTTCTTTGTTTTTTGTTTTTCTATACGGTGTCGCAATTTTGAACTAAACAATAAAATTTTAAATGGAACGTCTCCTGTAGACAAAACATCAAAATACACAAACCTTATACAATACCATTGGAAAAGTGGTCACTCTGTATATAACAAGTTTATAAAAAAGAAAGTGATCGCAATATCGCGCAGATTGTTAAGACGATTAACTAGTATTGCACAAATAACCGCCGAACTCAGAATGATAATACGGACATATTGCACAGAACAGTGATGAGCATTGTATAGCGTTCGCTGTCCGCTCCCTTTGACAGGTAGCAGTAAATATCGTCTAGCGAGTTTTAAATATCGGCGCGCTATAAGGTAGTATATTGCGCTTATTCTATAACCAGGCAACGTGGGAGATGTTCTCTAAGGTAGTCGAAAAGCTCGCGGGAAGCGCCCGGGCAATTTGTCAGTTCCAGCTCGCGCATGTGCCGCAACTGGATCAAGCTGGATAAGCCGCTCGACGTTAGAAGGGGACAACCTAAAATTTCAAATTGCGATGGGTTCGTCCCACAGAGGCACCTAATAAAAAGAGAGCGATGCCTATAGCGCAACTCAGATATTCCAAATTTGAATTGAATTAGTTACGAGTTATGTATGCGTTTTCTTCTTTATCGATACCAGCTGGGATAGTAGAACAAAGGTATAGAACGTTTGGTTAGAAGAATTAATTAAACTCCTGATGGACGGAAAACTTTTAATTTAATTGATTTATTATTATTTTTACATTTGAAGACAAAATACCCATTGTATTGTTTGTCATATTTAGCGAAAGTGTCCCAAAACAAAAAAAAAACGTAAATTTAAAGTAAGGTTATTGAATATTGAAATTAAAATACGACTGATCAGGTGTGCGTGCACAAGGTGTCATTTTAAAACGTTAGGTTCATTAAACACTGTTGCGAGTCAATTCGAACGTTTCATGAGAGTCAGAAAAAGTACGATATGCAGTGTTTATAAATCTCATACACTGCTTTATTAAATTACAATTTAATAAGCGCGTGCCTGAAGAAATTGTTGCATACCATACCCTCACAAAAAAATTACTATTTAACAAATTTAAAAAAAAGAACGAATATTTTGGTTCGACATTTCAGAACTGACAAACGTCAGTGTTTTAAATATCTTCTAAAAATATCCGACCGTTTCCAACCCGTGACTAAAGTATCTGAAAAATGTTTAATGAAGCCGGCCGGATCGAATCGTCGCATAAATTGGGTATTTTAAAGTAAGGTGTAGAAGACGTACTGTTATTGTATTTCTTTTCCCCCACTGAGATTCCTTCTCGAATAATTAAAATCCATTGTGTGTGCAGAGTACATACATGCATACGCATATAGTAGGTTTGTTTTATTATTTGTTTAGTTTACATTAGAAAAGAGGAGATGGAAATGTTGCTATAATCCAGCTCCACTATTATAAAAGCGACTAATAAAAGTTTCACAATTTCGTGATTTATAAATTCTGAGTACGTAGTTCCTAATTATTGCTTATTTCATATTTATTTTTAATAAATTTTAAATATAGTGGGATAAATTGGGAAACACTGTATTTTAAAGCAGTTTTTTCTATAATTTAGGATAACTTCCAACAACTAAACGTCAGAAAATTAGGACGATATTTACTACGGGTATCTACAACTCTCTTTTTTATTAGTTTTCTCTATAGTTCGCATCTGCTCTAGTTTAGTACCTGCTAGAGATAGTATCTGCAAATTGCGCATGCCGCAAAGGTGCTGCAAACCGAAATCCCTTATCTGGGCGCACCAGCGCAGATACAACGCTTGGAGCGACAGCATCGTCGATATATATCCTATTCCTATGTCAGTCACGTGAACACACCTTAAAAACAATTCGCTTGTGGGCGTTTTTCACGGCACCTGTCGTCACGACTTTACCTGTCGAGCGTGAGCTCCTCCAGCTGGTTCAGGTCGCAGGCTATGTACTCCAAGGCAGCGTCGGTGATACGTGGGCACCAGGACAGGTCCAGAGCACGCAGCTTCTGTAGATTCTCCGCGATCAGTTCCACACCCTCATCTGTTATTTTGCTACACCCTGAGAGGCTGAGGACAGTCAGGTTCGGTAAGGAATGCACTAGAACCAAAACGGTCGTTAAGTGTTGATCCGAAATCGCGCATATACAGTATGTTTTTGGACCCGTTTATATTAAGGTACAGCGTGGAAAAGGTTTAATAATATACTATCATAAACCATCGTTAGAGAACAAGCAAGGTGACAAATGAGACCATGAAAAACGAGAGCAACTCTACAAAGTTCGGGAAATACAATTTTCGGTATGTTTATAATTTTTATTAAATGATCCGTATTTCGCTGTCTTATTTGACATTTTACTTGTTTTTATAATATCTTTAATATAGGTACAACCCAGACAAAACTGTCTGTGCAATGTACGTACATTTTTGATCCATATTAACATATACATGCGGGGATCTAATTTGTTCAGGGTGACCATTTTCTACACTTTACAGTTTTTAAGATCATCAAAAGTCGCAATTGTCTTGTATTGAGTGGTATTGAGTTTGTTTGATTTTTGAATCTAATGAAATTTGGGTTGTGTAAAAAATTAATTCTTTGACAACTGTTGTGTAAAATGCATAGTATCTGCTGTTTCTTCTTAAAACGGCCCTAAAAATTATTTTGATATTGAATTAATACAACGCAATAATGAATTTTGGATGTCCTGCCATCAGGATTCTGTCGCAGTGCCTTTAAACCCGCCCTGAGCGCAAATTGCTTCAAAATTAACTGTAATTAATCGAATCGTCCTCGTTTCGTTACCCTCCATTCAGGCTAAACTGCCCCATTGTTTGGAAAATCCGGATTATAGCTCAAGGGGTTGGGATTTATGCCGCGCCGTTGACAACGGTCGTATACTTTTAGGAGTGTCTACGTGCACCCGGGTAATTTTCGTGCCGGAACTAAGAGTCACAAAGTGGTTTGAGAAAAAAAAAACTTTTATGTTAAAATATAGTAGTGGGAATTGTTTTCTTTGTCAAACACGTTAATAGTGAAAGATAACATTAAAAAGGGATTGTTTAAATTATTTCTCAATGTTTCTACCTGTCATTTAGATTTTTTTGGGGGTAACTCGTTTGTTAACGGTTGTTTTTGCGAAATCATTTCAATGGGTTATCCTTTGATCTTAGTGGCTAATGGCTAATTCTTGTGTTGCTTTGCATTTGGTGGCAAAAAGGTATGTGTAACTGGAAAAAGATTTTGGGTAAGTACAGCATTTAAAATATTGTTATATGATTATTATTTTTATATATTTTAAAAAGAAAATTTTAAATTTTTCCTCTTCTCGAAAAATAATAAAAGTAGGTTAGTTTTGATTAGTTAGTATTTAAAGTTTTTTTTTTAATATAGTTTTACGTTAGCAAAGACTTAATTATTTTTAGTATCAGTTTGTATGCTTTTTTCGGTACTTTGTTTTAACACGTTAGATTACTATAAATTATTTTTATTACAAATATATTGGTAGAATTTTCTAAACGATATACCGCTTTTACAACCTTTTATGGTTTTGACTTGGCAATAAGTTTAAGACCCGTATGTTGCATTTAAAAGTAAGAATGGATTTTTCACTGCATTGACTAATAATAATCGAGGAATCCCACCGATGAAACTCTACACAAATCTGTCAGCTATCAACATTTGTAAGCATGAAGTACCGAAGTACGGTTCTGGAACGTCATTGTGGAATTGTGAATTTATTTATTAAGGGTTACAAAGAGAAACTGAAGTGAGGTAGGTCTGCGGATAGACCTTTATAAAAACTTACTAAGGTTAAATACCGGATTATGTCGTAAAAACGGTATGTCGTTTGGAGAACTCTAAATAAATTAATCAAACATCGAGAATACCTCGTTCTCTTAAACAAGAAGCCGTTTTCTTTCTACGTTAAAATTGGCCGCGTTGTTGCCACTATATCAGTTTAGATCGACTTCACCAATTTTCCCTTAATGTCATAGGCTACTAGACTGTCACCTAGCTCATCTGGTAAGCTTCTAAGTTAAAATCGTAGAATGTGATGAGGTTAGAATACGAGGTTATGTTTAGACCGTTGTACGCAAACGCGAAGCTTTGGACACAGAAATTACTCCGTTATACTTGAATAGTTTTTCTCACCTATGTTGACGACCGCGTGATTAGTGATCTCCCAACACGAGTGAAGTCTCAGTACGCCTAGCGTGTTGCTCTGTTTCGGTGAGAAATAGCCCAAAGCGACGTCCGTCACGTGATACGCCTGCAGCTGAAACTCGTAGAGGGCGGGCAAGAGCTGGGCGACCGCGCCCACCGCCTCATCCGCCACATTGATGCAATCGGTAAGCGTGAGCGAGACGATACGCGGATTGAGACACGCCCACAGACCTGCCTCAGTGATTTCATTACAGCCGGCCAGCTCTAGTTCGTAGAGAGCCTGCCATAAAAAAGTAAAGCTTATGTGAGAGGAACATACGTCGTGTGTTACAGTTTGTTACAGTCTTACGTTTAGTTTTTATGATTTAAAAATAAGTAGTAATAGTATATTATGCAACAAGTGGCAATAAGGAATTTGACTCACGAGTCTATTTGACACGAGCGGAGCGAGTTTTTAATAAACGAGTGAGTTAAAAAGTTTACCGAACGTGTTGCATACTATACTTTTTCTACGACCGTTAGTTTTTGGGTACATTTTCGCAAAACAAAATTCAAAGCATGGGAAATATCTTCGAAAACATCCGATTACTCCCAAATCCGTGCGGTAAAATCCCGGAAATGTCCGAAGTGGCTCGCATTCATGGGGAACGAAACTGACGTGGTAAAGTGACGCTTCCCGCACGCTAGATCAGTGGGTAATTAGGGGTTTTACAGACGGGAGTAGAAAAAAAAGTTTTCGTTCCAGTTCTAAATAAAAATTAATAATTAAAATAATAATTAAAACATTTTGACCATTTAATTCTTTACTTTGTTTTTTGTAGATAACGTTTACATTTTTCTTAATAATTTATTAAATATAGGTAAGCAATATAGCTGTAGATATCTGCAAGCAATTTTGAAGCCAGCGTAAAAAAAAGGACATTCTTGTGTCTCACGGGCGAGACATTTCAAAACTCGCTGTCAGTGAATGAGACCTATCATTTTAAATCCCGTTTTGGGCCGATAAGGCCTTGATGCGTTCAAAAATTAACATGCGGCATTTTTTCGGCAGAACTAAACTAAAGATTTTTGTTTGTTAGTAAATCGTGTGATGAATCAAAATGTGACTTGAAGAAGTTTTTTTTTCTGTTTCCAATGTTCATCTTTTGTTATTATTCATTACCGTTCGTCGATAATTCTGTGCCGCGATAATTTGTTGACCTTGAAAACGCGAATGACGTCGAACGTTCCAATGAAAAATCTATTCTTGCTAAATGTCGGATTATACCCGGTATACCACGAAGTGCGGACTATTGCTATTTTTTTTTATTTTTAGAGGAACCATATCTATTAAATTAACAAAGTAGTCGGACTTACAAGCTGATTAAAATCAAAAAATTGATTTAAAATTAAAAATAACCCCATTCGATGCGTCAGAAGATTGTTCTTGCATATTCTGCTCAGGAACATGACAGAATAGTTTTAAACGCTGCAAAAATGTGTATTTAAATATGCTCAAAAATCTATTATATCGAACAAAATGTCTTTAAACTTTAATCTCGTTTTTTTACTACCTACTCTGAAATACTTAATTATCACGAATCCAGAATGAAGCGCCTTATACATTTTTAAATTTAGTAAATAAATGTTTATTTCAAATTAAAACCACATTCGATACGTCCCAAGATTGTTAATTAGATTAAGATCTTAATTAGCATGAAAAATACTACTACTTTCCTAATAGCGTTCTAAAATAAAAATAAAGTTAGCACTTAATTTGGTACACGGATTTTTGTTCGTCCACGGAGTGGGAAAACCGCGTGTGTTAAGGTTTTCGGCTGGCGATGGGTACAATAATTTCCGTCGTAAATCGATCTCGCGAGTCCTGGCAAGGGTCCCAAATTCCGATCAGCACCTTTTTCCTTTGCCAAAGTCGCCTCGACCGACGCTTTATAGCTGTATCGATTATCGGAGACGACAATCCGTAGAAATGTTTTGCAGAAATTGTCTGCATCAAAAACGAAAAATTTCCAATTAAGATTAAAAAAAACTATTTTTTAAATAAATTGTGGTTGGTTTAAATTTGTCAACATTTGATCGTTTGGGTTCCTTAAACGCGTTGGTGAAATTAAATCACTCACACGCTGGCATTCACTAAGGCGCTCAACGGCCTTACTGTTCGACTGACTGCGTCTATTATGAGCAGTGCTCCCTTTTATAGTACGAAGCGTTCATCGTCTTCCAGCATCGGTAATCACGCTCCGATTCACGCGTACCCGACGAGGTTCTTGGAACGCAGACAGGGACAACCCATTCGGATCTCTTATCACAATCATCTTTCGCAATTTTAACTTTATTTATACCGGCCTTTATGGCTAGTTTAGGTAACGTATAAAGTTAGGTATGATTTTTAAGCAATAATGATAGTTATTCTGCCGATTTTTGCGCGTTTTTATTTAGGAAAGAGCGTGTTTAGAATGTGAATGTGATGTTTAGAATTTTAAATAAATCTTTGAACGCTGACCAAAATGAACAGTTCCTTCCTGTGTAATCCGTAATTTTTTTCTATATCTAAGTAGGGTTCGCGGGTTGTTGTTAGAAAGGGTTCTTTATTCCCTTACCTGCAAATGATCCATCAGAGATTCGAGTCCGCGGTCCGTGACGCTCGAGCATCGCAAATTTAACACGTGTATGTGTTTGGACGCCAACGGGAACGTGTTTATCAAATCCAGCACGTCCTCGTCGTTCGCCCCGACCAAACATAAACTGTGAAACCCGCGCCTCAACAGAGACGAATATAAGCGTGCACGCTCATTTCCCTGAGACCCCTTCATCTCGCGACACTGTAATACAGGCACCAAACCGGTCCAGTACTTCGGGTACCTGTACAGTACGTCTCGCCACTTCGCACACACTTGCGCCAACACGCACCTCTCGCAGGGACTGAAATAAAGAAAGAAGCGGACCAAAAATTTGTCGTCCGTCATCAGCTGATCCCACGTTAGGTACGAGGGTAACTGCTTCGGTTTCCGATTGACGGGGTGCGAGGTCGGGGGCGGTTTATGGTGATGACCACGCGACGACAACAGCCTGGACGGTTTTTCGGGCGCCCCGACGGCGTTATTGCTGCTGCCGCAGAAGACGTTCGTCACGCGTTCCATAACGCTGCCCTTGGAGGAGTGGTGCTTGCTACCTCTCAGGCCCAGGCCGTTGATACGTTTGGAGAGCTCCGCGGAGGCGCGTTCCACGACGCCCTGTGCCGAAATCGACGACATCGGACGGTCCGTTATATTAAACGATGTCACCCGTTTACGACATTATTTCGCCCGTGTAACAAAGTGGACGCGCCGTGACGCCCGTCCGACACACACTGGTTGTGGGGGAAGAGCGCGCTTGTATACCCTCGCGGACTATTCGCGGACGATCAATACTAGCCCTCCCCTAAGCGACCGGATTATTTGGTCGGTGCGCTTTTTTTGGGGGAATCGTGTATATCGCCGTACACGATGATTTTATCGTATACAATTGATAGACCGGATTGATAAATACGAAGATGAAATTTGGCTCCACGTTCCCCTGCATAAAACTCCGTCAAAGCCACACAACCGCTTCAAACGTTGTTTTTATTGATCGTTTGGGAGACTTAAAATGCTTATTTGGAATAAATCGTTTGGACCGGGACCGCTGATGACGTCAGGTTAAGCGTGATGACGCGCCCCGAGATTAACGTGTTTAAAATTATTCATTCGAATTCCAATAACGTGCGCAATGTTGTGTCCCCACAAGTCGATTCGTGTCGAAATAGGCTAGAGTTCGGTTCATTTTTCTGACATTGGTAAATTTAAAGAAAAACTTTAAATAATCATTTAAACTTTCACGCCCAAGATGTCGCAACCGAGTTATTTGAACGGGCGCATGCATCGGATATAATAGATACAGTTTGGGGTACTGGAAAAAGTTGAATCGAAATTAAAATGTTCTATGTCGATCAACAATTTTCATCGGTAGAGTTTTGAACCTTTCCATAACATGTGATTCGATAAAACAGCCCAATGTTACTGAAGCATAGATTACAGCACCATTAGTCTGACGGCCATTGTTCTCTGATTTGTTTATTTATTACTTCTATTTGCAACTTTATTTTCAATTTTATGTTAAAACTCATATGAGATTATTTTGTTGCCAAACCCGAAAAGATTAAAATGGATCAGTTAGCAGTCGAAAAGAAGCTGGCCGTGAGCTACACCCTCTGTGCCATAGCGGGGGCTGTGGCTAGTATTACCATGGGCATAACATGGGGCCATTGGTATCATACACTAGATAAATGCATCGGCAAAAACTGCAGTTGCATCTTGTACGGATTAAATACCCCATCAACGTTTCTAGGTGGCGATCAAGCGCCATGTATTTGGGTCACTTTTGGACCTTTGATTTATGTCTTTTGTTGCATATGTCTGACTTGTTTTCACGGATATAGAGTTTTGTTTACTACTAAAGCCCCACGTATGACAACTACTAGGACTGTGATAGCAAAGACTGAGTAAGTGTACTTTGTGTCAAACTTTGAAAATCAATTACCAAAATTTTAGACCTGGTGAAGCAGTAAGGATACAAACCATAGCTCAGGAGGACATAAGCCCGTTGCCTCGGACGTTTTGGATAGTCGTATCCGCCATATCAGTTTTTTTCTTTGTTTATGCTCTTGTGCATTTTTCTATATTTCTGGATGGATTCTACTCCACCTGCACCGAGTACAGAAAAGTTCTGGAAATACTCTTGGGTGTGGATGGAACCGCCTTGCCTGTTATCCATGGTAGACTTTATTGCCAAGGCATTTTTGATTTCATGGACTACATGCAGCTTGATAGTGTCAATGCATCTCGCAATGGTTTCCTCAATACTGGACTGGCTTTGGTGCTGGGAGTAATTGCATCTGCTTTTTCATGGATTGTATTCCTCTTTGCTAGCTGGTTGAATATACTAATGACCAGAAGACGTGATTAACCTTCACATTTTAAATTGAAACTTAATCATTCCAAGTACAAAAGTATTTTTTATCTAATAAGATTTTACACTTTTTTTAATTACGAAAATGCTGACTGAACTTACACAATTAGTATTTTAAGATAATAAGGTATGAGTATTGGATACTAGAATATACACACATTTTTTTAGGAGATTTATTTGCAAAATTCTAGCATTAATCACTAAATTTTTAGTAATGGGGGAAGATGCTGGAATCTTGCCATTTATTTAGTGTTTTATAAGCACCAATTTGTCAATATCACCTTTTTTGTTTAATTGCCAGTTTAAGCAATTATTGCCAAGTGTACTTAGCTAAGATAGGTCTAGTATTAAATTTATATTTATAACAATAGTTTTTTACTTTGTTGTTTGTACCAACTGATTTCAACAAAAATCCATAACAGAACCAAGGCAAAAGGAGTGTGACACCCCTTAATATTTTTGAACCCCAAAGTTGAAGTTAGATAAAATCTTATCTTCTAAAGTATAAATGGATTCTAAAGACTACTGAGGAAACAAATTTCGTCAGTATTATCACCAATCCATATTACAGAACAAAGTGGCCGGCCAGTGTTAATACTTTTTTAGATAGCATCGTCAACTTGCAAAACCTAATGAATCGAATAAATACATGCTGCAATGAATATGGTCCAAAGATCCACCTTAACAAAACTAAATTTATGATCATTACTAAATCACCAAGCATAAATATCTATATAGTAGTAAACAACATGAACATTGAAAGAGTGGACTCGTACAAGTACTTGGGAATAACTTCAAACGTAGATCAGACCAAAGAAATAAAATTATGAATTGAAACTGCACGATCAGCGTTTGTTAGGCTTGAAAAGTTCTTTACCAACACGGACTTGTGTTTGACCTCTGGTATTACAGAAGGATTTTGCAGATATCATGGACAGAAATGATCTCAAAAGGATGAGATGTGAGTCGGAAATTCTTATAAAAATCAAAAAGAGGAAACTTGGTGATTAGGGACTGGTTCGGCTGCAGCAGCTGAGCTATTTAGAGCGGCTGTCAACAAGATTGCCATGATGATTTTCAACCTGGGACAGAAGATGGAACCTCTATCCAAATTTCACCAACAAAATGCTCATTTCGTGCCCAGGCTGGTGACGAGATTTGCTCATTAAATAATGCCATGCCATTTTTAAAACACCCTGCATATTAAAGCGCAAACGAGGCACACAATATTCACTGCAGCAGTTTTGTGTTAAAGCTCTATGCGAAGAAATAACAGTATTAGAAAGCGAGAAAAAAGTTACAATCAACATTATTTTCAATAACGTACATGGTGTATATATATCTTTATTTTTAAATAAATCTTATTACAAAATTACATTTCAAGGCAATTTCAATTAACATAACGTCAATTCTTAAATGACGCGGTCATAAATATATTTTTGTGGAATAGGTAGCTTTACACTTACGCTCTTTCGTATGCTATAGCGGTGTCCTGATGGCGCATACGAGGGTGCATCGATTGCGTAGGATAGAACGAAAATGTAAAGATGCCAGTTGAGTGAAAATAGTATATTTGTAATCACAATTTCAGTGTTAATAATACTGCTGGGATAAGAAGGAATCGATCGATTTGAGAAATAATAAGCATAAACGTGAAAAATATAAACCTGTCGAAACAAAAAAAAAGTTTTCGCTACAACAGCGTCCTATTTAAGCTGGGATAGTCTGCAACGGTGAGTTAAAAATACTCTATGATATACTCTATATAGAAAAACTATTTTCTCTCCTAAATCCTATACATCCGTATTAAACGATTACAGCCATTTTTCCTTACCAAAACCGAAGACGAATCTCTGGAGGGGACATAAATCAAACATTATGATAGAACGGGTTCGCTTTTCTTTTAACGTCTATCGGGCGTCTTCCATCCTCCTGCTCTGGGCTGCGGACCACCTCAAATGGCAGTTCCGAGTCGTGGATAACCTCCCGATCGTCGGAGGGAAAGTCTTCGAAGCTCATGTTGCTAAATCCCTCATCCAGCCTCAATTTCGTTGGCGTTCTCTTCGATTTTTGGCTCGATTTCTTCGAGCCGCCGGACGTTTTCGCAATCCTTATAAGCTTTGGGGAAGTCAGATTACTGGTCTCGTCCGAGACACTGTCATCCATTAGGCAGTATTTGGATTTCTGCTCTTTATCTTTTCTCTTATCCTTTTTGAGTTTCGCATACTCTTCCAACGCGGGGAACTTAAAACCCGGATCCGAGACGATCAAAGTATTGCAATTGTTAAAATTAGATTCGAAATTCAGAGATGGTGTTTTATGCACGCTGATATTCGAGCTAATAGTGGGCGGAACGTCCACTAGTTGGTCGCTGGTATGAAAGTCCGGCGATAGAAACGGATTTAAGCAAGTCTTGGCTGCGAGTTTTGGCTTTTGGTTGACCTTCCTGGTCCTCGTTCTACCGAACGGCGCCATCGCGAACACGTCCGCGTGATCTTCAAAGCTACTCGAAGGCGGTATCCACAAACCCGCCGTCGGACCTTTGTCCTTGGACCATTTCGGTCCGGTTTGGACCTCGCAATCGGAATCCAGCTCGTCGTCCATTAGCAAAGGTCGATCGCCATACTGGTGTCCAATAAACAGCATATCCTCCGACGGCGCGGCCGCCATTTTGACGCCGCGCTTTTGTTTTGCCTTAATCATTCTACCGTCACTATCCTCGTCCGGAGCTGCCATACTTTCGCATTCCGCGTGATACGCAGACGACCCGCAGGTTTTTATACTCTGACTCACGGTCTCGCCGGTAAGTATCGGAGCCGGCACTATGTCATCGTCTAACCTCAAATCGCTCGCCGAACCTATGGAATCGTCGTCCGACTCCACCCCTTTCGGGTGGGAACCCTTGACAAGCGACTTTTCCGTGATATTCGCTTTGCGTTTCTTTTTCGGTTTATTATTAGCGTTTTCGTGGTCGCTACTATCCGAACTGGCGTCGTATACGCCTTGGATGAGTTTCTCGTATTTGGACCTATTCTCCAAGGGAGGTTTTACGTACGACGGGGACGTGTCTAGGTCGCTCTCGGTCTCGGTCGTTATTAGGGGGGCTTCGCCCTCCGACGAGAAGACCTGCCTTTCCGGCGAATAATTGTCGGTCGCGCTTTCCTCTATTAGAGGTTCCGGAACGTTTTTCGCCGCGTAAGCTGAAATAGAAACGCAAGTCTCTGATTGTACTACGCAAGACTGCAACGGTTTGTGTTACTGTCTCAATAGTTATTGTACCGCGTGCCTCATTAGTGGATGGAATATTATAGGAGTTAGGTTGGCGAACGAAATAGGGCGTCACATTTAAAAACTCCTAGTACCTAGAACTTCTCACGACTAAAGTACCAAAAAGTTTCTCCGCCTTGTCTAAGAAAGAAATAAACCATCATACTGGTTGAAGCTATCCCGAGTGGGGGAGGGGATATTTAAAATTTTCTTCAAATGGAAATGGTTTTATTGCCTAACCGCCACTAACGAATCACTCGGTACACATGTGTGGGATAGAGATTCCGATGTATTCCCAATGTTAGCACTATAGGGAGTCTTTCTTCATCGATAAGAAATATTATTTAAAGTGGTTTTTCAGAAAAACATATTCGTCGAACTAAATCCCTTGTTTTTCGGACTCTTCTGTCTTCAAGAAAGGACGTTTTTTTATTATTATTTACTGAGTAGAAAAGCAAAGACCGTTCTCAAGGAAAAAGAAAACAAGATAAAGATCACTCGTTGCCATTAGGGGCAGCAAAATCCTTAGTACCCGGTATATGAGACATATTTGAATATACCATATGAAAGGTGCGAAAATGTCGACACGAGTGTTTTTGCTTTTTTTTTGTTCTAGAACTCTATTGACTTATCTACTGAACTGAAAACGGGACGGACTAAAAGGGCTGTTTCAAATATAAGGACGGTGGGACTGTTCAAGCGCCGACTCGTTAGTAATAAAACCCACCACCGACATTCTGGAACAGCCATTTTTAGAGAGCAGGGAAATTAAGCGTACACTCGGGGAAAATAACAGACCGGACTGACTGGATAAGCAACTTTATTGCTGCACGAAATACATAACTATCCAAGGATAACTTTTCTTATTTAACTCTAGCACAATCACAATAACAATGTCGGTTTGATGCGTATGTATAAAGTAATTTTTACAAATGGAATTCCGTGGATATGCGTAGTGAACTTAAAACATGATCGCACGTATTGATAGTTTTTAGACTTCTAAAAATGCTGTTCCAAAATATAAATGAACTGGAAAGCGAGACTGATAACCAGTCGAACTAGTCGCAAAACACCAGTAATGTTTCGACAGTGTTGCCAATTGAAAGTGTATTTTAGAAAAATTACCAAACGAGTACTTTATTTCATAATGTATGTGATTCAAATGAACTTCCTTGATGTTTTATTTAGACAATGAATTCTCAAAAATAAATGAAAATTTGTTTTCGAAATTTGGAAACTTATTCAAAATTCTCCGACATTTTCGTGCCAACCCCGCAATAAAGGTACGCGGATGTGATTGGCAACACTGCGTCTTCGTTGCGGTTGCTGTAGTTTTCCGGTAAATTTTGAATATTTTTGGGCAAACTTTCAATTAGAGCGAAACGCTTATCATTTTTAGTTTAGTATTTTATGTTCAACAGTTTCAGTCAATTTTATCTGTCATGTACGTCTCCTAAATAATCTAAAAGATAAATTAAAATATGGGGATTTTCAAAAATAATAAATTTTCCTTTTTTTTCAATTTCTTAAATATACACAATATATGACTAGTATAATAATTGTCTTTTCAAATTTCTCGCTACAGGCTCTTGGATCCTGGAATGACTTGGCAAAATCCATATAATTTTTATCCGGTTTAAGTACACAAAAATATCGATTATGATTTATGGTAAAACACATGGGAAGAAAATATACATTTTCGTATGATAAGTATGCATAAAACTTAATAGGATACCATGCAGTCAAAAACGACGAAGGAAAACTTTGAATAAAATAGGAAATAGGGGTAATAAGCCGAAAGGAACTCTTCAATGTACGTTTGAACTAATCAAAGATTTCATCTGGTTTGCAGAGAACCGAACCCCTGTTAGTTATGTCGTATTACCTGAGGACTGCAACCGCGCCTTTGACGGCTTGCCGCGTGGCCGCGCCGGCAGGCTGAAAGGTGCCCCACCGAACGGGTCCTCTATAACCGGCTGCTCTCCCGTCGACATCGTCCCTTGAATACCTGTAACGGAGGTTTAAGGCGAACGATATTTCTCACAGTCGCAGGTCCTTACTGCTCTGACTGCCCCTTCTGATCCGGTCAAATTCCGCGCCAAAAATATGGTCCTCTGTTAAGTGACCAAACGAGGAGGGTTCCTCAAACGGGTTCCAATCCGCCACGTCAGCCGAAAGAGATCTGCTGTCTGCGCCCAACGGCTGACTCACGTCGGTCGTAGAGGCGGAGCTGCCCATTGGCGCCATCTGTTTCGTAACTTCGTTGGTACAAGCTTGGGTAGGGGAATCGCGGGGTCTTGGCTTAATGGACGACTCGAACGGGGCCAAGAATAGGGTCGTTTCACTTGCGAATACCCTGAAATGACAACGACGCTGACGCCATCTTAAGCCCGGCAGACACGATGCAATTTTTGTTTCTTAATTTATCATCGGTCGCGATAATTTGGTCGAAAACAAAACCCGAGGGGTCGTAATACGATAGCGGAATAACACGCGTTTCGTATATGAAATTATTATAAATAATTTATTGGTAGAAATAATTCGCTAACACTAAAAAGATTTAAAATAAAAAAAATCCGAAGTATAGAAAACCCAGATAAGGAATCAATATGAAAACATTATCCAAAACCTAAACACATAGTTTTTTAAATGGCGATCTTTCTATAGTAAATATTTACAGTTATGTTTGGTGATTATGGTTAACGTTATGAAATCAAACGCCTTGCGCCGATTTTCATGACTTAAAGGGCAAAATTTCCAGTCGTTTAGAATATTTATAAAAGCTCTTTGTGAACATAATTACTTATCTTAGCTTCCAAACGCAAGGAGTGAAATGACTCACGCATGCGCAGATTGAATATTCCGATCCAAAGAATTATCAGAAACAACAACTCACTTGTTGAAAGCAGTGGTATCGCTCATGTTTCTCCTGTGACCTTTCGGGACCGACAGCGTCGGGGACGACGGAGGTGTAGTTGTAGATATAAAGTTCGTCGACTCTGTAAACCCCGATCCGGACGACTGACGTCCCAGGTTACCGGATCCGAACAGCTGGTTCTCTCCGGATCCGGGTGACGTCACATTGACTACCGCCTCCGCGGGCGACCCTGACGACGGGTCATCTCGGAAAGGATCGGGATAGATGGACGACTGGAAAAGGGCATCGAACGGTTGCTGCGTTTGCGGAAAATAATCACCGGGAAAGCTGGTAGGTGTCGGAAAGGCGGAACCGTAAGAAACGCCGCTACCTGGGGCAGATACGGTCGCGATGGGGCTCTGGGACTTTTTCGAGCCGGGACTTGGACTGATCGTCAACGGGATACTGTTCAAGGTGAGGGGTGCCGCCGCGGTTCCCTTGGGACGTTGCCGCGGCATCACGCTCGTCCCCTCCACCGCGGGGGGCATGACGGTCGAGGATTTGTTTAGGCCCGGCTTGATTTGAATCGCTTTCTTGTGTTCGGATTCGAACAGAGGCACGGGCAGATCTTCTAGGTTAGGCGTCGGGGATTTCTAATTCAAAGAATTTCGTTACCACCGTTATCGGAAATTGGCGATCACATAGGAAATATTTTTTAAAAATTTCGAAAACGCTCTTTTCTAACGACGTTTTACTATTTTTGGGAAACATATATAGTAAGTAAGAAGTAAAAGAAGAAAAATTTTTAATGCATAATCTTTGACTGTGATCATGAAAATTTTAAAAAAGAGGTATCAAAGCTATGGGGAATAAATTAAACATGGATTAAGTTTAGTGATTAGTTTGATATACATTTTCTAGATCTTCCTAGTGTGCAAAAAAAAGTTAATGAATTTAAATGCTTCTAGGCCAGAGGTTTAAATTTTCACTATTTAATATGCTAGGTCAAAGATCTCGTCCTTTTAAAAATATACTTTAAATTCACAAAATCATCAAATTTGTTCATTAGAACTAAATTGGAATAAGTTAATCTAGAAATTTTGATATCTTGAAATCACCCCTGGCGGATGGGGGTGTAACATTACCTGACATAGCCAAGGCTACCTTTCATTTTTTTGCGACGCGTAAAAATTTCAGCCAATCAATACTTTTAGGCTCATCTTGCTAATTTCAGTTTTCAGTATTAAAAACATTGGCCAGTTATTAGTTAGAACCAATTGCTACATTAATAAAGGGCAGTACTTCAAATGCTATGGAGTTAAAACAATTAAACATATTAGGCATAAAAATGTGGTCATTTTAAATTATTATAAGTTATTACCCCACACTTAATATATTTTAATTTATGTGTTTCCTATAGTTTAATAAGCCACTAGCTTTTAGCAAAAATTCTACAAATAAGATTAGTTTGTAAATTGTTATCTGCTTTTTTAATAAGGGTTATAAAGTGTGATTATAAAATTTTAATCAAACAAAATAAAATCTATCTACCATTAAGTTTTTAACCGGGTTTTCCTTTCCTAGCAATTGAAACGCTACGCAACTGACTTGATATATATCCGGACGTTTATCAGGATCAGGCTCCAACATAAAACCTACAAATAAATAATTAAGGGTCAAACTTCACAAAACAGCTGCGTTTGTAACATACAAATGAGCTGATGCACGCCCCTGGAATACCGAGAGTTGTCTGGAATGAAAAAGTTTCCACTTTGAATTGCCAATGTACTTTCCCCAAAAGGTAGAGAGAAATAACAAAGCCTGTATAACAGGCAACCTAGGGCCTAACAAAAATTAAATTTGTAAATGTATTTATACATACAAAATCATAGAGAATTTTTACCCAAATATCGGCTTTTGTCGATATCGGCTTGCCGCAATACATGTCCACCATTTCAGGTGATCTGTAGCTCAAAGTCGTGTATCTCTTGATTTCTTCTTCTACTACAGCGACCCCCTTGTCAGTCGGATTCAGTACCCGCGCAGTGGCCGAACCAAAGTCACACAGCACATAGTTACCATTGTCCCCTACCAAAATATTTTCTACTTTTAAATCTCTATGAATAATGGGAGTTTTGCAGTGATGCAACCGGGACACCGCTTCGCAAATATCACAGAATATGGTTAGAACTTCGCCCTCTGTAAAATTGGGCTTGCCACGGGCTTTCATCAGACTGAAAACATTATCAGAACAATAAGGCATCAGGAGAAGCACTTCATAGACCCCGCCGCCAGTTGCAGTTAAACTAGAATCCACATAGCCAATTATATTTTTGTGCCCGTTCAAGCTACTCTGAAATAAATGATTTTTTTAACCTATGAGTTGTTCCAATTTAAAGAATGTCTTACAGTTATCTGAATTTCGCGTTTGGCGACATTAAGGTCTTGCTCATTATTGACGTACATTCGTTTAAGAGCATAGCGAACGCCGTTGTTGCCCTTCACGAGGTAGACGATGGCGAAACCACCTAAATGGGTAACCTGAATGTGAAAGTTCAACCCTCTGACCCCTGGCAAGTCTTACCTTCTGCCAACACTTCCTCGACGGTCACAGTTTGTCGGCCGACAGTAAACACTTTGCCCACTACCGTGCTGCTTTCCTTGGAAGTGTTGTCGATTTTCGTCTCGATTTTTGAAAATAGTTTTTTCATCCTGCTGGCGAGAAACCGACACACATTTAGTTTTGTCGTTTTCGGTTTTAAGCTTCAGCGATCGGAATTGAAGACGCAAATGGTCATCATTCAACTCGACCTCAATTTTTTTTTTGGGCACCCGAATTAATAGTTTTAATTAAATAATACTTTTTTCCGCATATTAGTGACGTTTCTTTCGGTATTGGGCGAAATGACAACCTAGATGACGTTTGCTGGACATTTCAGCATAGATCACAGAATCTTTCAATATACAAAAAATCAAAGGAATGCAGTAGCGCTTACGACCAAAAATCGATTCGTTTTGTGGTCCGTTTCTAGACATTTTTGTGCAACTATTGTTTATTTTCTTCAATTTGTATGAAAAATTAAGTTACGGAATTATCGCCAGAAGAAATTTTGTTAAGCGCAGTTTGCTAGCCCTGTGGAAGTTGATGGAATAAAACGAGTTAATAGCAACCCAAAAGACAAAGGACGCGCCGTAGAGACGCATAGGCCAATCAATAAGCGATTGTACTTTGTATCAGTAGATTTATACAGCACTGATTAACGAGCTGCATAAATGAACGACAGTCCATTGGAATTTTCTCAAAAGCTCCCTAGAGATGACAGAGGTGATAGTAGTCATAGTCCACATGAGAAGCGGTCCAAAAATACAAAAAGTCGGGACCGCAGGGACACCGAGAAGTCCCACGATTCAGACTCGAACATGTCCAGTTGTCAAGAGGTATTGCCAGTTCAAAATGGAAACATTGCTCACCCCAGTATGTATATGTTAGGTAATCACAGCTATAAATACCCTTGTTGTTGAGATTGAATAATGTGTGTTAAGGTATGGACGGAGTTATGATGAACATGTTTATGAATCCCAGCTTGATGTCTTTAAACAACTACATGGTGCCTCAGATTTTGACTCCAGATCCTAACCTAATCACTCAGGATCCATCAATGATGCTCAATCCTGTCAAGGAGATAATCCACTGCAAATCTTGCACTTTGTTTCCGCCAAATCCAAACGCTCCATTGCCAGCGACGCGCGAACGACCGCCGGGCTGTAGAACTGTTTTTGTTGGGGGACTGCCAGAGAACATGACGGAGCAGATAATTGGGGAGATATTCGAGAGGTTTCTGCTACCTTTATGTCTAAGGGGGATGTATTGAGTATTGAAATTGCAGATGTGGAGAGATAACAACATTACGGCTTAGCAAGAAGAATTTCTGTCACATTAGGTTCCTCTATGAGGCGTCAGTGGATGCGGCAATATTTCTTTCAGGTTACAGGGTGCGCATTGGGTCTAACGCGGATACAGCGAACACCGGAAAGTTGCACGTTGACTATGCTCAGGTGTGGTCATGTTCTGTAGTCAACAATCCGTATTACATAATCAAAAAGTTTAGGCGCGAGATGACCAATATGAGTGGGAGTGCAGGCAGCGGCAGCTGCAGAGGGAACAGCGTCACAGGGAGAGAATGGAAGAGGAGCGACTGCGTCCCCCATCCCCACCCCCCGTTATCCATTATACCGACCACGAGGCGGCCAATGTTTCAGAGAAAATAAAACAAGATGAGACTTTCGCAAAGGCCGTACAGGTAAGTCCAGGGCAGGGTGAGTTTGTCAGAAGACTAATAACTGTAATAATAAAATGAGGTTCTATGGTAATAACAAAATAGCCTAATTTAGAAATAAACCTAGGAAGGGAGGAGATTGAGAGAGTTCAGAACACAAAATATCTAGCTCTCATCTTAGAAGAAAAACTAAACTGGCTAGGTTACTTTAATATGTTATAAAATAAAATTATACCCATGATAGGTGCCATGTAGAGATGTAGACAATTTTTAAATACTTTATATATAATACTCGTACTTTTTTATCAATATTTATATACTTCTTCCCATATGGGGCAAGTAAAATGGAAAAACTACAAAATAAATTAGTAAAAATTGTATTAGACCTCGATTATAGAACACCAACCAATTTAGTATGTGGTATATTAAAATTATAGTATATATTGAAAAAAGAACAGAATAAGCATATTTGTAAAATTTTAAATAGCAAACATAAATGTAACATTTACATAAGCCTAGTGAACCAGCTTTAGGAGCATAATACACGTAACAATAATAATTTAATAGTACATAGTGTAAGAACCTGAATAATCCTATAAAAAAAAGTATTAAAACATTCAACTCATTGACCGATGACTTGTCAAAAAGCGTAAATATTAACAGACAGAACTTGTAGATATGAAAAATTTATGTAGGTATTGTAAAACTAACCACATTATCCCAAGCATAAAAAAAATACTTTTTTGCTCTGAAATTATTTATTTTGTTACACTTAAAAATACATTGCATGTGTCAAAAGAAAAACTGGAAACATTCAAAAAAATACTAGTGCGTAAACAAACCACTGGGAAAAAACATTAAATAATGTTTTGGGGCACATAAGACGTAACATATAATTTATACATAAATATACAAAAGAAAGTTCAAATTCTACAGAAAACAAATAAAAGTAGATTGTTTTCCAAATAGAACCTGATTTGATACAAGAAAACGCATAATATATTATGGTGCGTGAGCGCACCACTGGTAACACCCGGTTTCATTTTTGGTGATATTTTACAAAATCAATCAATATAGTATTTAAATGCGCATTACACTTATTACAAACGTAAATTCTGTGGCTGTGGCAGATTCTACATCTCCTGCCATTCCGTTGTCATGTAAATCTACCCCATCCATATATCTATTGTGTAGGGCAAATACATCTTTACGTTCTTTTCTATTATAGCGTTTTACATTTTTGAGAGGATCTACACTAGAAACATTACTTGCCTCAGTTACAACTGAATTGTCGTGCCAATGGACAATAGAAATTTTTGATTCAGATTCTCAAAGATAGGATTTTATTTATTTATTTATTTGTTCTATTTTTCCGGATAGTACCGGTGCCAAAATAACCATTAGTTTTTAAATGTACAAAATAGTTTGAATGATGAAAAAAAGTTGTAAAATGCGGAAATGCCATATTTAGGAACTATAACGTTCACTGCAAAAAGCACAAACTAATATTAAAGAACACGCTAATTGTTGGATGTTTATTCTGCATGCGCTGACTTGTCTAGACAAAGTTTTGTTTCACAGATAAAGCCAGTGGTGCATTCACGCACCAGTAAATATTTTCAAAAAATAAAGCATAATCAATATAGTATTTCCAATATATGTTTTCCGAGATGTTATCTACATGCTATACAAATACAAATCCAAATTTTTTTTTTTACTATTTTGGATTTACTTGAAAATGTGACTTAAGTTTTATCAAAAACTATTTATTCATCAAAATTAATGTTGTTCCCTTCAAAGTAATCCCCTCCAGATTTTATTGACGTACTGGGGCGCCCAGAGCGAGGTTCGTTATCGGCGTCTTCTCAGCCATCTTGGAACAGCTTGTACCACTTATAACCATTTCTCTTGTTCAAAGTAGATTCACCATATGCCGTTGCCAATATTTAAAGTATTTGGCCGCATTGTATTCCATTTTTTACACAAAATTTTATGTATATTCTTCGTTCCATCTTTTTTGACAGCGGAAAATCGTCGAGCACAAAAAACGCCTGTAAGGGTTCTGTCAAACAAAAAAAAAGTAAATTTGTAAACAGGGCTGAAACTGTGAATATATGTTAGGGCCATGCGTACAAATATAAAAAAAGATATATCGAAAATCGAATATACCTAGCCCACCTTACAAAAGTGACCTACTTTACAAACACACCGCATATATGTATTGTACATATATGCATTAAAGACACTTATTATTATTTTTTAGGTGGTGATCACTTGGCTCGAGAGGGGTGACTGCAACAAGCGCAACGCCAACAACTTCTACTCAATGATCCAGTCGACGAACTCTCACGTCAGAAGGTTGTTAGGTGAGAAGAGTCAGTACGAGGAGGAGCTGCGTAAGGCCAAGGACCTGCTGCGAGGTCGGATGCAGGGAATCCTGTTGCAGTGTAAGTATTGGATCGGATCTTTTAAGGGTTCAGTTGGGGCCGCGTTTTTGGGGATTCCCGTTAGTAAGTATTGGGTGCTTTGTGGAATAAGGGTGGCGAAACGCTCTGAAAAAGGGGGCGGCGAGACGTTGTAGAGCAGGTTCGTCACGCGTTTATTCCGCAAAGGACGATATTAGGTACGTCATTTACCCGGTAAGATCGCCATTTATACGTCACCCTTCTTCTTCGTTTCAAACTACTAAGTTGTAAATACTCTCCCGCCCCCCGGTATCGATTAGGATCGCTAGACGCGCGTCGGGTGGGCGGGCAGTGTAAACTTATTTATGAAAGTAAAAAAAAAAAAGAAAGAACCGTAAACCTTTATTATAACCTGAATATTTGCGTGTGCCTGTTAGTCAGTCAAATTGAGAGACTATTCGTGGCGGCCTGTCACAAGAAAGTCTGGGACCATTTCACGAAAGCGCAGCGAAAGAACATTGAGGCTTGGAAAAGGCAATCGTTGGTATGTATCGCGCCCTCGGACCGTCGACGTTCCATCTTCGTCATATTGCACACGTTATTGTCAAAGCGGGCACTTTTGGGCGATTTAAGGCACAAAAAAAACAACTCCATATTTGCTACGAGCTATTTCGGGTTTTGGTTAGTTGGTTAGCTGCCGAACCAAGTGCACTAGGGTGCGTTTTATTAGAAAAGAGCACAGTTCCTAGGCATAAACACTGCTTATCTCCCTTAAACCCGTACAATTTTTGTTCAAGCTTCTGCTGTCACTTATATAAACTGGTTCCACATTCGATAAGCCCGTGTTTTAGTTGTTAACTTTTAATAAAATTCAATTTTTGCAAAAGGAATTCATTAGTAATCTGCAGGTGGCTAACAATGAGAAATCTCACTCGAATAAAGCTACTGTTTTTGCGACATTATTTTCGTCACTCCAGATGTAATGTAGCCAAAAATAACATGCTGCACTTTGTTTTTATTTCATTAATATGAAACCGCTAGCAACAGCAATTTTAACGGCCCAATGTTTATGTAGTTATAGTTTACCGAAATTACCAACTGCAAACCAACGGGTTTTACAAACTGCACGAAACAATAGAGGCCTGAGAACAGGACCAAAAAAAAAACCAGACTCTTTTCTAGTAGTTCTGCACTACTATTAATTTATACCTCAGAAACAAAAATCTAGTTTTACGTTTGAATTTCTCAGAAAAAAAGTCCGCAAGAACGCATTGCGTCGGTGATCAAAGTTTTCACAAATAATAAATTTAAAATGCAAACTTTTCGGAATCCCCTCGCAGCTCGAAAACGTGAGTTAAACTACCCAAAAGGACCTAAGTTAAGGCGGTCTGTATGTAACGATTTGTACGAACGCGGACGTACAGGATGGAACTTGAGACACCCAGGGTTAAGGCATGTTTGTACGTTACTTTAGAGCTATATAATATATTTCTAGTTTAATTTGCGTAATATTAAAGTTTGAATTTGCGATGGTAGGACGGCAGGTAAGTAAAAGTCGATGCTGTCAGTCAGACGGGCCCAGATGTTTGGATTCAGCCCTAGTGGGCCCCACGAGTGTTGATTACTAATCCTATAGATGGGATGTCGGTTTTACGAATTTTTGTTTTAATGTTACGTGCAGTGTGTTTCTATGAAATTGGTCGGGGCGCGGCTTTCAAATCGAAATTAAAAAAAAGAGGTCGCACCAGATGAATGTGTCAGGTGAGTAGTCGCGGTTATGGTATCACCAACCCGGACAGCGATGGTAACGAATGAGATCGTATTTGGCAAATTTCTGTCTCTACATAACCCTTTGGTTTGTATCATGTTGCGGGGGCAAAGGCAGGAGGTCGCTAAAGTAACGTCACTTGATCATGCACAAGCTTCGGTCTGAAGAAAAACCTAGCAGCAAAGTTCATCGATAAATAAATAAAAGCTTTATTCAATTTTCCTCTGATGTTTTATTGAAAATATTTTTTTCCATATAAAACACCCATTTAGTTTATATTCTTTAACGAAAAAAAAATCTTTAATCGAAATTTTTGTCGTGGGATATGCCTATTACCGATGCTGCGCGTTGCGTTGGGACGCCGACTGCGCGGTAAGGAAATATTACTTGAAATACTAAGAGATTGTCGAACTTCCATTGTCTTTGTTTTTTTGTTTACACAACGTTTCTGGCAGATGTATCACTACCCGATAACCAAAAATAGAGACAATGGAAGTTCGAAAATCTCGTAATATTTCTACCGAATCATTGTCTACCATCTTCAAGCAAACGCAAAATTAGTTATTGCTCTCTGTTGTGAGACATAAGACGTGTGTGCTGTATTTCGGGTGCATTAGAGAATAGATTTTTTTGCAAAAGCATTTGCGCATCCAGTATATCATTTTACCCACTACTGATGTAGTGGTTGAAGTTTTCCAAATAGGTGGAGCGTCAATCGTTTGTGACATGCTTATTTCGACGCGCTGTTCGTTTGTTAATTTCTCAAACCCTCGCAACTTTTTTTTTCTCATTGGTCGAATCGAAAACCTTGTTGTGCTACCAGCAATTTTCAGAAGCTCAATTACGGTGTACTTTTACTACGCTTTTCTTGTCAAGGCCATTTGTTATTCGATTCATCATTATTGGCGGGCAGAAGCGTCGGAAAATGAATTTTTTTCTGAAAAAAAAAACACTTTCTTCTCTCGTCACTATTCGGTCAGGTAGGTGTCTCGTAAAAATTCAGCCGTCACCGGCGGAGAACGCGTCTCTGAAAGCCCAAGGTGTAAATTTCATAAAAACACACTGTAGGTTTGTCGAAAACATGTAGCTTGCGAGCGTATGTAGTTAACAGCCGCCGGTACAGGCTTTAATACGCTACCACGTTTATAGGAAATCAAAAATATCCAAATGGAGGAGCGGCCCGAGAAGGAGAGGGACGACGACGAAATGGATGTGTCCGACGACGACGAACCGGTACGGAAGAAGCAACGCATTGACGCGTGTTCCGAGGAAAACAACAGTTTGAAAGAGCAGAACGAGAGCTTGAAGTGTCAGGTGGAGGCTTACCAGAATGAGGTTAGCGTGCAATTAGATTGACCTATGTAACGCCCTCCCTACATTATATAGGTTAATCTCTCCCTTATCAGAATCCACAGCTACCCGTTGCTTCTGAGTCGCTACATTTTTTTCCACCTCCATTAGCCTTGATGCCTGTTTAATCGAAGTCGTTTCGTGCGTGGCCAGGTTCTGCTGTAAATTTGGCCCACGAATTTTTTAACCTTGACTTTGGCTTTCTCAAACGCCAGGCGATGTATTTAGGTGGAAGTGCTCAAGATGGAATACGGGAGAGGCGTGGAAGACAAGGAACGTCAGCTGAAGATGTTGCAACAAACGCTGCAAGGTATGCAGCAGCAACTGATGGAGACGAAGAAGAGACAGGCAGAAGAAGAGGCGAAGGTAAGGGAGCTGCAAGCGAAGCTGAAATCTGATCTCAAGCCGGACGTCATCACATTGGACGATGACGACGGTGACCATTCTGACTCTATAAGTATCTCGGAGGGTTCAGTGGTGAGCAGATGCGACGCTAAACTGATCGGCATCATATCGGCGTTCCTAAACGTGCATCCCTTCGGTGCCGGATTAGATTACATATGGTCGTACGTGAGCAAAATCGAGTCAAACTTGCGTCCGGCCGACATAGAATCGCTCATGAACCGGTTCCCGGCCGTGTTCAAGCAAGAACTGGTCGGGATCGGAGCGAACATCGAGAGGAAATGGCTTTTCAATGCTTTTAATAGCGGCTCGCGGTCCAGCAGTTCCGGAGTTTAGTGCTTGTGTATTTTTAGGTTTTTTTTTTTTCATTAAACAATAAAATGCCATAGTCGCACGGGAAGCTTTTCAATAATCTTTTGCGCTGATTTGGTTTTGGTCGGCGCCGCTTCGTACCTTTCGCCGGGGATTTTTGTATTTTTTTAGATAGTTGCACCAAGTTCTTGAGTGACCGTTTTTTCATTTATTTGATCTTTGCTGGCGTCGTCTATTTGTAAATTTCTGCGGGAGGATCGATCGTCTTTTGACGAGGAAATCGACAAATTCTCAATTGATCAGATCGAGGTTTAAAAGGACGCCCTCATCACTATCACGGCTAAAGTTACAGTCTGAACTTAGGCTAGAATTAACTGTACCAAATCGCGTACTACCTCGAAATTGAAATGTATTCGTCCCTAACTTTGGTAATTTTTGAAGGTCTGCGGGTTCGAAGGGTTGTGCAAATTCAAAGAGCCCTCCTCCAGCTCCTTGGAGATGCGAAAAACAAGCGAATTTTGCGAAAAATGTTTTAATATCGACAAACGACGGTCGGAAAACGATTATTTCCTTTTGGTTTCTTTTGGATTTGGTGGCGTCGCATCCGTCTCGGTCTCTTCGTTCTTGACCTCGACAGCGTTTTCGTCGTAGATCTCTTTCTCTTCGGGGGGTTCCGCGGCTTTCTTCTCCCGTTCGAACGTCTCGTAAAAGTCTGATTCGGCGTGCCTCACCAGGCTGTCGCCAAAAACCACTTCGGCGACGGCCTCCATATTTTCGTCCGTTTGCTCCTCGTCCAACACATCCGTCTGCTGTGGCTGCTTGGTCTTCTGTTTGAGGCGCAGTTCGCGCCCCCGCGCCTCCAGTATTTTTTCCCTCCGACTTTCCCGCTCGAACATCTAAGCACATGTAAAATCCCGTAGTAATCACAATTTTGAATTTTTCAAAATTACCCTTTCTTAAAAGGTATAATAAAAAAGTCAAACAACCAGAAGTTAACCTATAAGGTTAATAAGGAAGTTATCGGGTCGAATTAATTGCAATTAAGAAATCAAACGAATATTTCCCAAACGGATTTTATGCGCAATAATGAACTTACGGCCGTCAAAAGCAATTTGTCGTTCTTGTTCGACACTGCTAAGTTTTCGCTAAACTCTACCAGATAAGTGGTCCCGCGTTGATTACCTACAGCTACCAGTCTACCCATCTCGTGCGCGCGCAGACACTTTAGAGGCTCGTCGCACACCTTCACCCCCAGGCACGCGCGTTTTTGCTGCTGCAACACGTCCCACACGTCCAGGATCCCGTCGGTTCGGGTGGTAAAAAATACTGACAACCTGCGAAATCGAATTTAACCGTATACCGTGACGTCCAAGCTATTGCGAACACAGGCCAGTATTCAGGCAGGCGCATTGCGCACTCAACATTGTTCGGATTCAGTTGTACAGGGTGAGTCAACGATATCTCATTGTTTGCAAAAGTTATGAGAACATGGTAAAAACAAGAACTGTAAAGATTGTTAAGATGCACAATTTAAATCTATTTTACTTAACTTTTTTTTTAAATCGAACACCTTATTTTTAAATTTTGTCTTTATTTTTTTGTTAATAATAATATATACCTAAACCTAATAGTTTTTGGAATATTTCAAGTTCTCGAAAAAAATACTAGTTTTCACACTTGCAAAAAAAATTACATGTTTGATACTATGTTGTTGTTGATTCCAACTTGCTAACGTTTCGCCAATCATCTTGTTGGCTTCTTCAGAGCTTAACTGAAACTGGTTCGCATTTTACTCTGTACCTGCTTATATATTGTTTGAGGAGGGCGGAGCTAAATGAGGGGCATAAACATCGTCTAGGATGAATGATTCCCATATTTGCGACAGGTAATGAGCCGAGTCGCGGTTACGATTGTTAGGTTGCTTATAGATTTCTATAGATTCTCGGATTTTCCGTTGGTAGAAGAATTCTTTGAGCCTAGTTTATATTTTTCGTCTGGTCTCTCCAATGTATTCTTTCCCTTATATGCATGTGTCAACTCCTGGCCTCTCAAATGGAATTTTGTCTTTGACGGATCGAAGATGTTGAAAGATTTCTAGACAAATGGTAAATCTGATTTTGACGTTATATTAATTATAAACTTTTGTTATGTGGTCAGTGATGTTTTGGATGCAAGGAAGGACAACAGTGGCAAGTGTGAGATTGCTTTCGGACTCATTGCTGTTGGAAGGTTGAGTTGAAGTGTATTTTGTGATGGAACGCTTAGTATCTTTCATATGGAAATTATTAGATAAAAGAGCAAGGTAAGGTGTTTTAATTCGGGTACAGTGACTCGGGTTGAGATAGTTTTGCGGCTCTGTAAACAAGGGAGTTGATAACCGGATGGTGATGTGACAATGCAATAAGGTATCGGTCTGTTTGTGTAGGTTTTCTGGGTCATTATGTTGACCCAATGTTAGGTATGAGTTTCTATTAATATCTAAGAATGGGAGGTTATTATTAGTTTTTAATTCAATGGTAAAACGTATGTTAGGGTGTATAGAGTTTAAATGTCTAAGAAAATCTGCTATTGATTCTTGACCATGAGACCAAATAACAAAAGTATCATCGACGTAGCGTTTCCATATTTTTGGTTAGTTTCATAAATACATTCATGATGACTGGTAATAATGGAGAGCCCATAGCAGTTCCCGACGTATCAAACATTTGACCGGTACAAGAAAAATATGTTCCAGCATTTCTCAATTAAGGTGAGAAGGTTTGGTTCCAGATTTTCGGATTTTGATATATCTGAAATGATGTTTCAAATTTATTAATCCAGCCCAAAAATCATCGGTTACCAACTCTCTTGTTTACAGAGGCGTAAAACTATCTCAGCCCGAGACACTGTACCCCCAATTAAAAAATCTGTACCTCTGCTCTTCTCTCTAATAATTTGCACATTAAAGTTATTAAGCGTTCCATCATAAAATACACTTCACCACAACCTTGCAATAGCAATGGACTTTTGGACTCAAAAGCAATCCCACACTTGCCGCTGTTGTCCTTCCTTGCATCCAAAACATCACTGACCACATAACAAAAGTTTATAATTAATATAACGTCAAAATCAGATTTACCACTTGTCCAAAAATCTCTCAACATCTTCGATCCGTCAAAGAAAAAATTCTATTTGGGATACGATACATACAATACATTGGAGAGACCGGACGAATAATATCAACTAGGCTCAAAGAACATGAAAGAGCCTTAAGACTGAGACAAATGACCTCATCAACCCAACACAATTGTGAAACCGGACATTTTATTCGATAAAACTCAAATTCTCTCATATAATTCGAGAATCTATAAAAATCTATAAGCAACCTAACAATTTTAACCGCTTCTCAGGTCACCCGTCGCCAATATGGGAATCAGTCATCCAAGGTCATTTAGCTCGGACCCCCTCAAACAATATATAAGCAGGTACAGAGTAAAATGCGAGCCTTCAATGGTTCAAGAATAATGATTTTTTTTAACAAGAGAAAGGGCGATGGAGTAATGAAATATTTACTGCAGATTCATGAACACGCGCATATTTTGATTTTCCTTTTATTTTTTGGTATTTTAACGAAGGAATGTTCATTTACGTACCTGGTAGGACTCCAAACGCCATCGGTCAGGGTTGCCCTATGAAAGCCCGTCCATATGATGGCGCTCTCGCGGCAATCCTCCGACCAAATCTTCGCCGACCAGTCGCCGACCGTAAGGAAATTCTTGACGAACGCCGGATTCCGCTGCAGGGCGACCACCGGGCCCATATGGGCGTTGAACCTTACCGGCATCTTCTCCATCGCGGTTTTACCTTTCCTGTTGCACGAAACGACCACGCCTTGCTCAGTTCCCACCATGAACCTCGTCGGGATGGTCGTTTCGTATTCTAAGCAAGAGGCGCCCAAAGCGTTCGTCAACGATTGCTCGTCGTCTTTGCGATAGTCGAGTATCAGGGTCTCCGTCGCTTCAGACAGTTTCCTGGTGTCCCACCATTTGATCTGTCCGTCGGTCGACGAGCTGAAGAACTCTGTGCCGGATTTGGAGTTTATCCAGAGGACATCGCGCACCGGATCCCTAAAACTATTTTCGATCAGGCTAAGCTCGACGGGTTCGTATCCCTTCCTCGTGTCCCAAACAGCCACCTGACCGTTTATCTGACCGCTGACCAGCGAATGCGGATCTTTCGGGTTGTATTCCAAACACACGATCGGGTGTTCCGGCTTTAGAGTTAGCAATGGTCTGTTGGGGTTCTCTAATAAAACAGTGCGAGTAGTGCTTCAAACTGAATAAGGTTTTTAGTTTTGGTTAGTCGACAAAAAATAACATTCTAAGCATGCAGACTAATTCTGCAGCTTAAACACTAGATAATTCAAATTTTTTTGAAAAACGACGCCTATATATATATATATATATATATATATATATATATATATATATATATATATATATATATATATATATATATATATATATATATATATATATATATATATAATTCCTTTTTCATCACTAAAGTGAATGTGATGGTAATTTATTTAATATTATTCTTGCGTTACGATTGAAATTATTGCGCCGATGTGATTAAAGTAAAAATGAAAGAACAGATGCATGATTTGAGGTTTCGTCATCTGATCCAAACAAGATGAGCCCGGAAATGTATAGCTTGTCTAATTCTGATAATACAGAAATTATTGAACCGAGGATGAAAAAATATTGAGATGGGTTATCTAACATACGCATGCGCGATAATTTGCAATGTCCTTCTCAATGAGGCCTTTAACGGCTTTCACCCATCAACGTAGCCGCTGAGCGTTCGTCAATTCGAGAGGTTTCCGTTTAGATGTAGCATCTTTACGGCAGTATTATCTCAACATATGTATAGATCTCGTTAAACATAGGAAAACCAGTTACGTATGTGGAAATTGCGGTTTTGAAATAAGCAAACTGCAGGTTACTGGGTGAAATGCGCATGAGACGCATGCGTGGAAAATCATTCTCTAGGCTGCGGTGCATCAATTTTTACCGTAGTAGGGCCGCTATATTACCTAATAGCTGTATGGAACTAACTAATTTCATTCATCTCCGCCAGCATTATAGCTGCTAAGTAATTGCAATTTGTTTAATCTTGAAGAAAATTAAATATTTTCGCGCACACTTTGATCACATCTGATGACATAACCTTAAACATGAAGTAACAAATCAAAGCGAAAATAAAAAATCACATCAGAAGACATAACCTCAAATCAAATGTACTTATTCTTCGTATTGCGTTCATTTTATTCGGGGTTAAATCGATTGCCGTTACTTGGAGTCTATAGTGAGGAAAGTTGATGTAGAAGAATTAATTATTTTGTTCAGATCGTCATTGAGCCGTACCGACTTCCCAAATGTACGAAAATGTTGCTTCTTTCCCTACAACAGCTTGGAACTTAAGGTTGCAATACGATATGGCGAGCTTGGTCTGACCATCGGGCGACCAAGATATGTGATTGATGGGACGCGAAGGTGCACTTTGGTCGAGATAAACGTTAACTGTTCGTGCCGTACTTCGTTCCACTAACGGAGTCGCTTCCACATCCGAAAAGTACTGTTGATAAATGTTGATTGCGTTGTTTTGAAGGATACAATTTTCCATGCTCTAAAATCTCGATCTTATTATTAAATCATCCACCGAAAAACGCAAAGTGCGCTGCAGTCAATACTTTGAAGAGCTGCATCATGGTGTGGCTGAAATTTTCGTCTTTTTCAATTTTACGTCTGTATCTTTTGGTTTGCTCCTCATCGGCGGTGTTTATGTCTTTGGGCCAACCGCCTTCGAAATGGTTCATGGAGCTGGAGCTGTACTCCGCCCTCATAGTATTTAGATGATGTTCGGATTGTACAGGGGCCCATTGAGTGCTTCTGTGGACGGGATCTCTACAAGGAAACATTGGTTACAATGAACTGCTTTATTTTACCGGCTAATTACCTTAAGATATACTCTTTCGTCAACTTTTTGTTTGAGGGGTAATGGTCGATTAAATCGGGGCCCTTGTCTGAGAACAGACATTGTCTCCCAAATTCGCTTCGTTTCTTTTGATAACCGTATGTAATATCCATTTGTTATTTATGTTTGATCAATATGATTTTAGTATCCATAGAAATGACATAAGGAAAACAAACCTTTATTTTTTATTAAAAGCAATTTAATTAATACCACAGATAAATAAAATATGAAATAACTTATTTGACAACTTCAGGTGAATGATTTATCAAAGACAAGAACAGCTGTTTGTCCTTTGATTGCTTTGAATTGCCTACCACCTTTATATAATTTTCGAACTCCAATATACTTCTCTTCACCGCATCCGGAGTGTTCGAATGTAAGTGAGTAGAGAATGTCTTGGATTCGTTTTTCTTCCCTAAATTTTTATTGCTACGAAACTTTTCATTTCCCTCCTCGGAAATTATCAAAATTTGCTCAAGCAACTGGTATACTTGCTTCGTTTCCTTCAAACCTTTTTCCGATTGATTATATTCGGCAATAATATCGTCCATTTCTGACATCAACGGATTTCAAATTTAAAAACGTGCCAATCGCAGAATAATAAATTGGTCCATTCAATATCCATGTTCGTTCTTTTTAATCCTAATGGGAATACGACTGAAATCATTCGGCCAGCATTTAATAACAAATAACTCAAAATTCCCAATCTTATAGAAAGGGTGATCCAATATCCATCAAGCGTAGACAGAAAATGGCGACTGATTCTCTAAACGGGTACATCAAACCCCACAAAAGATAACCGAACTACCTCTAATGGGTACCAGCCTGAATTATACACCTAAAAGAAACAACAATCTACAGTATCTATGCCATGTTTTGATTAATAATAAACTATTTTCAACAAATATCGGCAATAGGCGATCGATTTTTGGAGACTTGCTCAACCCAATAAAGAAGACTTAAGCAAAGCAGGTGTGACGAATGATCTTGGTAACTGTGCTCCGTGGAATTAATAATCCTAGAAATTTTTTTTATTTTTTTAAAAATTACGCTTAACTTCGCCACAGCTTTATAAGGCAATTTGGCCAGCTTACGACCAGGTTTTAATGTTTTTAAACAACTTTATAACGATCACAACTTCATAGACTTCTGGCGGCATTTGAATGTAACCTCCGGCCAATCTAGTTGTTAGATCTAACGCCTTATCAACCGAGCCATCCTCGGTTCCGTCCTAGAACGCAAGTATATCAATTTAATTCAATAATACATTTTACATAATCTACTTCCCAATTCCGTCTAGGATTTTTGACATTTCGTTCACAGACATATACATATTAACTTAATTTTGTTGCGATCTACCTCAATTGTTTATGAATATATGAAAAATAAGAAGAATCACTGGGGTTTCGAGATGGATTCTGTCGTGAGCATTGCACATGGCGGATTAACCTCCGGTCGGTCCCGAGAGAATCCCTTGTGATCGTTCCCAAAATTCTGAAATCTGTTCCCACTGTATTGATCCAGTGTTTTTAGTGTTTAGTGGATGTTTTAAAGTTATAATCGTTGTCAGCCACATTGTTTTTTCCTGTTCACGCCGGTATGGAGGCCGGATTGGTCAAAGTCCTGTATTGGAAGCTGAGAACAAACGTTGGTACAGCTTTTTTGTTAGCTGTTGGTCTATGACCAAAAGAAAAAAATCCTCAAACGGAAGTCGGCAATGGGCGGATGGTTATAGCATTTTGCCCAACAGAATCTATGACACTGGTAATGAAAACCTATAGAATGAAAAACAAATATTGTTACGACGCAAAAGAAAGCTTAAAAAAAAAAAAGAAAGTTTTAAAACTATTGTAAACAAACAAGTCATAGAATGTGTGTTGATCTGTGGCCGAAATGGCAAGCGTCCTCGTTGGAAGTCGGAAATGGGCGAATAATCCTTGCAGCTCTGCCCAGTAGTCCAATCAAATTTATTCCTTTTTTTATCTCCCTCTTAATTTTGAGAATGTGTGAGTAATTTTTGGGTGGGTGAACCTCATCGATTAAAAATTGACAAAAATATCAAATATATCTTGAAAACTAAGACTAAAAAAATTCGCGTAGACTGACCAGAGTCCGCGAATTTGATAAAGGTAATGTTGGAATCAACAATTTTCACCTCAATTTAGTAAAAATTTTTTAGATGACTGAAACTCATAAATTTGGAACCCCAAATCCGATTACCTGTCACGCATGGAATAAAGACAGAACGCGTAAGCTTTTTATAGAAAAAAAATTGCTATAAATAAGACGATTTTAATTTCCAGAGGTCGGTTTTTCGCCCAACAATCAGGAAGTGGAAATTCACAGGAGAACCAACTCAGAGTGGAAGCTTTTGGATACTTTAAACCAACATGACTTGCGAGTGATGGGAATCGATTGGGCCCCCAACACCAATAGAATTGTAACTTGTGCCGCCGACCGCAATGCTTATGTTTGGTGCCAAGATAAAGACCACAAATGGAAACCTACCTTAGTACTTCTTCGCATCAACAGAGCAGCCACATGTGTCAAATGGTCTCCTAATGAGAACAAGTTTGCTGTCGGGTCTGGTGCCCGTTTAATCTCAGTTTGCTACTTTGAATCAGAAAATGACTGGTGGGTATCCAAACACATTAAGAAACCTATTAGATCTACCATTACTACTCTTGATTGGCACCCAAATAATGTGCTTTTGGCAGCCGGTAGCGCTGATTTTAAAGTCAGAGTTTTTTCTGCTTACATTAAAGATATAGAAAAGACTCCGGAGCCTACAGTTTGGGGTAGCAAAATGCCTCTGGGTCAAATAATGGGAGAGTTTGTTAATTCCCCAGCAGGAGGTGGCTGGGTGCATTGTGTTAGCTTCTCCCCTGATGGTAATAAGATTTGTTGGGTGTCTCATGATGCATCCATTAATGTAGGGGATCCTACAAAGGGTAACACTTTTATAAAACTCAAAACTGAATTTCTACCCTTCCTGAGTTGCATTTGGATCAGCAATAAGACTGTAGTTGCAGCAGGTCATAGCTGTGTTCCAGTTTTATACAATGTAAGAAATGATGAATTAGTCTTTGCCGGAAAGCTTGACACATCTCAAAAAAAAGAGTCTGGAGGACTGTCAGCGATGAGAATGTTTCACTCACTGGACAAGCAAGCTCGAAGTGAAACATCAGACACCAATCTGGATTCTATACACCAAAATGCAATTACATGTGTTTGCATATATTCAGGCACCAAATCAAAGGCCACAAAAATTAGTACTTCCGGCTTGGATGGTCAACTTGTGATTTGGGACATAAATAGTCTTGAGAGATCCATACAAGGGTTGAAAATTGAGTAATTTGTTGATTAAAAAATATATAACAAATAAAATTTCAAAAACAAGAATTATAATTTATTATAAATCTAAGAGCATTTTCCACAGCATGTATTTACACTATTTTCGTCAGGTTTGTGATTAGGAGTCCAGGGACCCAGACTAGCGTTAGCATAAAAGTCCATAGGATAACTTGACGCATCTTTCCACCGAGCGTCGCCTATAACCACGGCAAGCTCATAAGGTGTGAGGAAGGGTTTGGAAAATGCACTGCCCCAATCTATAGACAATCTCGGGCACGCAATTTGAACAAACGCCTCCAATTGACAAAACAAATCAATCTTTTTAGGGAAAATTTCTGAGAGCATAATAACTACTGCTGCTTTCCCGGAATCCCGGAGGCGTTTTCGTAAGTGCTCAACAACTTTTGGGCTTCCTTGGCGCCCTAATGTTCCCATGATTACACCAAATTTATTGGCAAACCTAGCGCGTTCTATAGTCACATTCCTATTACTCTTCATTAAAATATGATCATATTCTTCAATTGTAAATTTTTTACTGTAAGGATCATATTTGAAAGCTTTCACTTTAGGATTCGCTATCATAACAGCTTCTAAATGAAACCGTCCGTCTCCAAGGTAAATAACATTATCACAACACTTTAAAGTGGGCGCTGTACAACCTAGAATCTCTCCAGGAGACAGAGGTTTGAACTGGGGAATAGAAACATCGTAACCATATTCTTGCAATAACTTGGCAACGGTTTGAAGAGTGGTTACAAATTGTATGGTACTCACCAACCCAATTTTGCTAGCTTTGTCAAAGTTGCATTTAATGGTATCTATAAAATGTACTGGGTCTATTTTAATATCGACAAAAATATAAAGCACTTTGAGGCCACTCATTTGGTCTACAGGAACCAGACAGCTGTGTCCATAATGTATCAAGAGTTCAACACCCAAAGCTTTTGCGGTAATATCATCGATACAGCAAGCACCATATGTTACGTCCCCCATAATAATTGAATCTGCCCCCGTAAACTCCTTAATAATATCAGCCAAAGTTGTAGAAAACATTAGAAGACCCTCAGGCATCTGGAGAGCTATCATTTTGGCATTCATTTCCCTTATTTTCCATATTGTCTTGGGTAATTCAAAATTGTAGTTTTTTGGAAACGATGATGTTGCTGCCTGCAGCTTTGCATCCTTTAATATGCTCTCTGGAATTTTTGTAATTTTCGTCGCCTTAAAGACTTTTCTGACGGGATTTGCTTTTATTATCACTGCGTGTTCCGACATTCTTGATTACACAACTGGCGCACTTAATGTCTAAATTTTCAGTTGCTGCCGAGGTATTTACAATTCTGCCGACTTTTAAAACATATAAGGTTATGTTATGGCGAACGTGAGTAGTTCATCTGTACAATGGATACCATAGATCCGTGGAACCAAAAGCGAAAGGAATTTCCGTATATTTGAACTACCTTAAAAATGGAGATAATTGAAAGGAAAATAGCACTAATTTATTTAATTTTATACAACTGACTATCACAAATCTTCATAAATATATTTATTTACAGGGGAAGTTACAATTTTCTCGTTCTTGTGGTACCCGTGGCCTGTCTTACCTTTGCCTATTGAAACAAAAAATTAAGTTTGAAATACCTCTTAAATGCCATCTTTCAAAACAAATTATACAGTAAAGATAAGATCACAGCACAAGCACACAAAAGTTAGAGTGTCACATTGACCACAGAGAGACACTTCAAACTTTCAGTAAACAATTGAGCTACATAAAACAACAAGCTCAGCAAATTGTTGCTTGTTCTAGAATATCTCGAAAGTTTAAGTACCTATTCAAATTTAAAACTAGTCTAGGTAAAAAAACGCCTTTGGAAAGCAGGCATCTTACGCTGGATTAAAACGGCCAATTTCAGATATTTTGTCTCGATTATTCCAAACAGCGTAGAGGAGAGATGCGCCTAATCCTACTGCTCCACCCATGCCACATTTCTTCAAGCCAGCTAAAAAAAAATATTAAACAATGTATATCCAGTTAAACAGACAAGTACCTGTTGCTTTATATAAACAGCCTGTGGCTGTTGCCGCAACTATCGTGTTGAGATCATCATCAGCGCCCCTAGCCCATGAAAGTATAACTCCAAACGCTGAATAAATCACTGCTACAGATCCGAAACTATTAGCAGTAGCGCTACCCTGTTTCATGATGTGATTCAATAATCTACAAACAAATGCTAATAAACACTTTTGCAAAGATTCCAGATAATTCTACATACTGTGTTCTTCTAAGTTTTCCTGTTTGGCCCGCTAATGTAGTTGCTTTCAATCCGTTGTAAAGACCCGAAGCGCCCCCCAGTCCAGCACCAATCATACATGAGCCCCCAATTTGACCAAAAGCCAGTTCGAACCGACCCCTTTGTTTGCTACCGCCATCCAGGAAAATAAACTCAGGCTGCGTTTGAGGGATGTAGCCGGGATCGAAGTTTAAATATGGAGACGAAAAGGGCTTGAATTGACCTATAAGAAATTTACAAAGTGATCTTTTCTTTAGACAGGGTGGTTTAAATAAGTATCACCTGTTAACCCACCGGTACCGCCGTAATTTTGGGAATATATATCGTTGCTTCCGTTCAAAGCCATGCTTGCTAAATTTTAAGAAGACTATTGTAAAAGTTAACTTTTAATAACCAATAACTAATTTTGCATGTGTTATGTATCTTGTTTGAAAGGTTAGCTCACAGATCAGAAATGTCATGGATGGATGGTTATTTTTGTTATTCTATGAAATAGTCAATTTAGTATTCTTTGTCGTCAGTCGACTATTGGAACACATATTTTTACTGGATTTCCTTATTTTAAATGCCTTCTAAAACCGACAATTGTTTACAAATGGCAGATGATTTGAGGCCACATCAAGATGAACTCTTGTATTTGACAGAACTGGCTGGAATGTACATGGATAAGGAAATTTTCAGGTAAATCAGGTATTGATCAGTTTAGCGAGCGAATCCACAGAGCACGAAGTTTGATGTTCTCATAAACGGTTTCAGGAGCCTAATTCAACTCTTAAACATGGGTGTTAGCCCGGATGCTGTCTTCAATTTGCTCAAAATTATAAGAAGAAAAAAAGGGAAACATATAAAATCAAGATCGTCAGTGCTATGAGCGGATTGTACTAAATGCTTTCATTTGAATGTTATTTAAAATATTTGAAATAAACATATTTGTATTTGTGATTATCTTTTGCTAATATAATAAAACTTTGCTGGGTAATTGTTTAAAAATTAACCAAAATGAAAAATATTTAGAATTAAAAAAAACAAATTTTTAAAAAATTATGATGGGATAAAAGTTGTGTGTCAACTGTCAAAACTTGAGATTTGCGCGAAAACGAAAAAGTGTATATGTGAAATAACAAAGGATGACCCATACATTTTACAAAAAAAATTGTGTATATGCCCAGAAAAAAGTTTAGTTCAGGACTGGGAAAATGAAAAAAAGTGAGGTTTGGTCGCCATAATTAAATAAAATCGTCCATTTTTGTTTTAACCTAGAAACGATTTGAATAATATGTCAGTGTCTGAAGACGATGTTGAGTTGAGAGATTTGTTAGCTCAAACCTTAGAGAAAAATGGATGCATGGCAAAAATACGGGTAAAGTATTCCATATTTAATAATTGTCTTTATTGTTCTCAAAAATTTTCAGGCGCAGCTTAGAGCAAGCATATTTCTTGCCTTGGATGAAGATATCAAAGTAAGTATTGTAACATATTCCAGAAGCAACCTGACCTCGGTCTTCTTTTAGCTCAGCACACAGGAGCCACTACAAAATCGCGAAGTTCGTTCATATCTTGAAACACCTGAAGGCCAAGTGATGTTTTGCATTGTAAGGGAATTCCTGGAATTTTTTAACTTGCAAGAAACGGTAGCAGTTTATGAAGCAGAAACATACCATGGTAAAGTTTATAATTATGAGAGCCGTCAACAGATAATTCAAGATGTGGGCTTAGAAGAAGACAGTAAAGTTCCTCTTTTGCAACAATTGCTACGAATTGCTCAAATGAAAAATAATAATAAATGTAAAGTAAATAGTACGATTGTCAATGACTGTAGTTCAAATGGTCATGTGGATGAAATAGAAGATAGTAGCTCATTGGAAAGACCTCATCCGAATCAAAGACCAGATAAGTGTAACTCAAAATCATTGAGCTCCTTATCAGATTTGACATCAATGCAAATTAACAAAACTAGAGTAACTGATATTTTGCCTTCACTATATAGCAAAGAATTCAAGGAAAAATCGAGCCTCAAGGAGCTTGAGAAAATGTTTGACCAGGAGACTGAATATGAAGAAACTTTTAGCACCTACAATGATTTTGCTCTTAATTCTCCTAAAGAAATTGTTCAAAACAAAATGGATTCAGAGAAGTTGAGTGTTTATAAAAAGAAGGACGATTTGAGTTCAAATGCCTCAGAATTATCCGTCGGATCAGTTCCTGCTATAAATCAAGGCAGTGAATCGAACAAAAGCATTGAAGGCATCAGCCATGATTCTGATGGTGGAGCAACAAATGTTAGCTTATAATCCTTTTTGATTTGTAAACAAAGTGCCTTGAAAGTTGTTGTTTTACTAAATAAATCGTGCCATAGCATGTTTAACATTCCTATCATGTCCAGTACTTAAAGTGTGACAATTGTCTGTTATTTATTTAATTTTTCTACTTAACCTGTATGTATGTGTGCCTTACAGTTTGTGATTTATGGTAACACTATTTTTTAATAAAAGACTTAGACACAATTTTAATTTATTTGGAGACTAGTAAAATATTCAAAAATTGAAAGTGAAACTTGTATTTCGATCATCAAAACAATTATTCTGAATGGACGATCCGGCAAATAATCAAATGTGCCGAACAAGAATATATGTACAAATGAGCTCTACAGAAACTAACTGTACAAAATGCATCAATAAAACATTTGTCAACTGAATATAAAAAACTATCAGTGGTTCCTTTCCCTTTGAATTCTCATACTGTAGGCTTTAGACACGAGATTCCAAGAGTCCATATATCGGTCCATACACATAGCGATACATTTCTAAAATACAGAAAATGTAGAAAAATGTACAAACTCATTCATAATGCTACCTGTTCCGAACTATCTAGGGACGTGCCCGGTTTTGATATACACTTTTTGAAACATTTTTCTGTCATTTTCTATAAAAAAAAAGAGTTATTTAAAATTAAAGATTGGTCTCATTAATGTAATCACCGTGAGCAATTCCTGAGCATTTGCTACGGCGATCTGTTGTTTCACTTGATCCATGAGCTCGTCTTTTTGGGCCCCGCTTAAATTCGAAATACCTTCCATTTCGGTAATTTATTTTATTAATATTTTTAGTATATTGAAATGTGTAAAAGTAAAGGTTATGTCCAAAGAAAAATTTTAAAAGAAGTTCGAGTTATGTCACAGACCACAGACGGCAAATTCGTAATTCGAAATAGAAAGGTCACACAGAATAAACCGCATGGAGAGTCACCACTCTTATTAAGTTCGGTGGACACTATGCATTTCTACATGTATTTTTAGCATAAAGATTGCTATTAAATATGTATGTATTTTTAACCGGAAATTTTTTGATGACACCATGCAATTTTTTCTTGCAAAATTGTTTTGGAAATTTTGTTACAATACAAATACTTTTTAGCTAAACTTTACACAAAAATAGTTTTACCACGCATATAATAACTTGTGGCGATAAAAGGAAAATTCATAATCACAGTACTACAAACGAGAGATGAGGATGTTTGTTAGAAGTGCTGAATGAAATTCAATATATATTAATTATATTAATTTATGGTGCAATTCTCTTAGATTTAGGGCTAACTTAGGTTACATATAGAAATACATATTTGGAAGGCGAACCTTTCAACTGCAATTACTAGACTTACCATGAAGGAATGAGCGTTCTGCAGTTGCTTTTTGAATATTTTTTCTCATAAATATATATTTCGATTTTCAAAAGTCATCTTTCGCTTTGCGTCGATTTACACGTATAAATTCGGGAAAAAATAGCTGGTAATTTCTTTGGCCAAACTTGTTGTTAGACACTTGCAATATTTACACGAAAAAAGAGATGCAGAAACACATGTAGAAATTGCATCATGTCTACCGGGTTTCATGGTAAAATGTTGTTTTGTTAATAAAAATGCGATTTAATAAAATAGTTTTATTCATTTGGACTAGCATTCTTTACAAAATAAACGACTTTAGTTTTAAATTATGTACAATAAATATATCAACAAATATACTTTGGTTTGCATTTTTGGTAATAATAAGTGTATGGCGCTATCATTTACACGAGAAAAAAACAGAGCGCAATATTTACAGTTTTTACATAAAAAATAAGTTACCAGGAAGCCGAAATCAAGTGGCTACCAAAAGGGATACAAGTAATAAAATATTCCAGAACAGCGACGATATCAGTCTGTCGTTTCCGCCATTGCCTGAAATCAAAGAATAATGTTGTTTTTGTAACCAAAAACTTTGACCGCACGATTCCAAAAGCGTAGTGTTTGTTTTCTAAGTGTTTTGTGAAGGTGTTAAAGTTGTCGACCCTGTTTTTTTCCGTCCGCGCCGGTTAAACGCCGGATGGGCCCGGATGGCTCGCGGGGAGGCCGTTTTTAGCTATCGGTCAAATGTAGCTTCTATCCATTCTAGAGTTGTCAATCGCGGTTGATTCGGTCACTTTGATTCAATCACTTTATAGGATCGAATGACCGAATCCCGCTTGTTCTTAACGATTCGCTGGCCGGTCTGAAGTGACCGACTACAGGACGACCAATCGACCGACCGTACCAAAACAAATCGTTTGAATAGTTTAGATTTAAATGTATGACTGAGACAAGCCACGGATAAGGAATGGGAGTATTGTTATAATTATGCTATAATACTGAGTTGCGACGTCCATCGGTATACTTGCTTTGATATTGAATGAAATATCTATTTCCACACAGGTATTTTAATTTAGACAAATTAATGTATTACTGGTACAACCCAATACGTAGCACCTGTTTTGATAAAATCATGATGAAATAAAAAGCAGAACACAGTTAAATATTATGCTAATTCAAACAGCAAACAGAACATATAGACACAACAATAATTCAAATTCAAATGAATCTGAATCGATCGTCCGGACTGTTTGGGTTCAGTGACTAATGCCGCTTATGTTGGCAACAATAAGTATTGAAATGAGCGATTGATTGAAATGATTCGGTCATTTTTGAAATCGGTCACTGATTGATTCGGTTCTCGTAAAAAGAACAATTCACACATCACTAATCCATTCATTATCCGTTCCCCGATTCGTCCAGTCCCTTTTAATTAAGAAACTTTTCCAGGATATGAATAAGTCATTATTCACCGAGAAAATGGCCGAATGATTCCAGCAGTCGTGGCCAATAGAAGTAAAAGAAGAAAAAAAATAGTGTTTTGTATAATTGCTAGCTCAAGTGATAGAAGGCGGAATGCCTATAAATTTCGGAAATAGTGTTCGTCTTAAGTGGATGTATATGGACTTGTGATATGTGATTCCATTTTGTATATGTTAATAGGATTTCCGGATGTCTTATATTCACATTGGCAACCACGCCAGATAGGATGGGATACCGTTGCAGGAGCCGTTAGGTGAATCGGTCGTCATTTTATGGCTATTTATTTAGAAGCTGTTCCACTTTATGCATATGTTAACAAAAATGGAGGATGATAGATTAGTCCAGACCCTTTCTTTACGAAGGTATCCTTTAGGAATTTTTGTTTCGTTACTTGTCGTAAGCTGGCCGAATGACCTTATCTAGTCGTAATTAACAAACAAAACCTCTCTACTCTAGGGTCATTCAACATGGACAAGTTCACGTTAGTCGAGGACAGTCACACAAACTAATCATGCGTTTTTCAAACTAGAGTTAAAAACATTTTGTATCTATTGTTTCCAGTTTCACCAGACTAAAATACCTCGGGTAACGTTTTCAAAAACATTTGCGGTCGATTCTGTCGAGCTTAAGAATACATCGGGATAGTCCTCGGATAACGTGAACCCATCATCTAAAGAAATGTCCAATGTTCGATAGTACATGAACTGGAGTTCAACAAACCCACCTTTCAAGTGTTCAACAATTTTTATTTCCGTGTAGTTAGTTCCGGGTATGCTCAATTCGCATGCGAACTTCGTCGAACCCTCAGGTAAGAAGCTCGAGTTAAAAGACAGAGTTATGCTGGCGTTGTAAAACCCGCCCTCCAGATTTTCTGTCTTGTTGTACAGGAAGGGTTCCGGTAGCTCGATAGTAGTCCCGTTCCTGAAAAAAATTATAACTAGATTGTGTTATGTTACTTACCATATTTTCATACTTACGTCCCAAGTATGTACAAATCGAACATGGGCTTTGGAGATACCATAGCGACGTCACAATTGATAATCTCGTCGCCTTCCATGATGTAGATATCGAATGACGTGGCCGGTGCTGAAGTAAAACAGTCCATTAAAATAAAAAATGTTTTTTACAGATTATGTAGATCGTTGGAAATCGTAAACTTTTTTTCTGAAGAACTAATAATTATAGCTTCCAACAAATAACACCTTCCCTTATGTAATCTCACATATTCTAATCAGCTGCTTGCTACCCCTATATAGTATCAATTTACTATACCTCCAGGGTAAAATTTTTTGTACACCTTGACTATTTTTTAATAATTTTGCACAGGGTCGGTGACCTCAAGTAGACAAAATTCGAGATATAGCCTGTTTTAAAGTGTAGGAACTAAAGCTACTCATGCTGTATTGCTGGATTTAATTTTATTTGTAAATGTGAAACAAGAACTTATGAAGCAACCGTGAAATTTTTTATGAGAAGATCCATTTAACCAACCAATGGCCTTTTATAACAAAGACATGATTTAATATGTTATAATTATTGAAATAACGGTACACGGCAAGGCATAGTATGTATGTTTGTATCTGGACCAATGTGCCAAAACCATCGGCGGAGGCCCCAGAGGCTAACTTGGGCTCCTGTTGAAACTCCAAAGAAATACGACGAGTAGAAAAAATATACCCTTTCCGATGGAGAGGAGACGCATACAATTCCTGCAAAACAACTTGCTCTTGCCGTATGACCGCGAAGCAGACAGACCTAGCTCTAATCCAAGAACCTTTCTGCCCTTTGACGCACCAAGCCCACCACCGTCGCAGGAGCTATGTGACGTTGTACAGTGGTGTAACAGAAAAGGATGGATATTTGGGTGTGATGCTAATCTGCGCCACATCTGGCTCTCTTAGAATATGTTGCCTCCACCGCACTGAAGGTGCCCACACCACCCACGTACCATGTGCGGCAGTAATTACCGACTTGAAAATACTGCAGGATCCGTCATTGTTGGACCACAGAGAAAGAAAAGACTGGCGAATTGTAATTCTGTCAATCTGGTTTGAGTACCAGCTCATGTGGATATTGAGGGCAACGAAATGGCAGAAAGGCTGATTCGGGACGCGGCAACAACACCGTATCTCAGACCGGACCTTTCCGTTGGAATAGCAGAGAGCGTGCTGAATAAATGGTTTTGAAGGTAGTTCGTTCTGCACTGGGAGACTTTACCGGGACTGAGGCAGTGGAGGCTTCTAATTGCGGGACTGCTCTACGCCTCAGGGAGGGAAGACGTGCGGACATAATGGATCAAAAGGTCTGAATACAGCACCCTAGCCACAAAGGACAGGGTATATACCATAGACAGAATAGGTTTTTAAAATTTAACAGAAGAGCAATTTTAGAGTAACATAGTAAATATATTTTCTAATTGCTTGTTAATGACACCTAATTACATATAAACACAAAATAATTGGCCTTGATAAAATATATTTAAAATCATCTTTTTTCTTTACTTACTGATTGACCCTTAAATACCTTAAATGTGACTTTTTTGTATTGAAAAATAACAAGACTTTTTAATCATCTTTAAAGTATTTATGGGAGTATGTTTTTAAAACAATCATAAAATCTACTTCCAATTTTTGGTAAGAAGGTTTTAATTCAACAAAGGCAACTTTTGTAGTAATTTTTGATGTACCGATTTAAAGTAAATGTGCAATCTTTTCTAACAACAAAATTCCATTAGAAAAACGGAGGACAACTTCACAAATGTAAACAGTATATATAATACCTTACATCATACTTTATACAGATTCATTTTTACAGGACTAATCAGTATTAACATTCCTTAAACCTGTTTGGTTCTCGCATAACAGGACAAGATACTATTCTTTACTGGAATGTAATAGAAATAACGGGTGGTTAAATTGTAAGGGCCGATGTTGAATGTGAACCACACCTAAACGCCAAGTTTTTTTCCGAATTTTATTTGACATTTCTCTATTTCAGACTTACTCAATTTGAACCATGGAGAGATACACAATCCAACAACGTGTTAAAGTTATCCAGACTTATTATGAAAATGGGCGTTCAAATCAAAATGCGTATCGTGCACTTCGTGATTTTTTTGGTCAATTTGATCGTAAAAATGTGCGTACAATCGCAAAAATCGTGAAAAAATTCGAGCAAACCGGGTCTGTAGAAGATGTGGGAACACCAGTGCATGCTGGTACAGCTCGTACTGCAGAAAATATTGCTGCTGTTCGCGATAGTGTGGCTGAAGAGCCGTCCACCTCAACTCGTCGTCGTGCCCAACAATTGCACCTCTCACGCTCGTCGTTGATAAACATTATGCATAAAGACTTGCATTTACACGCTTACAAGGTGCAATTGGCTCAAGAACTAAAGCCTCTTGACCATTCCAAACGTCGTGAATGGGCAGAATGGTAGCAAGAAATGGCAACAGTGGATGATCAATTTTCGAAGAAAATCATCTTCAGTGATGAGGCACATTTTCACCTCAGTGGATTCGTCAATAAACAGAATTGTCGCATTTGGGCGAATGAGAATCCAAGAGTGATTGTCGAAAAACCAATGCACCCCCAAAGAGTGACTGTTTGGTGCGGTTTATGGGCTGGCGGCATCATCGGGCCGTATTTTTTCCAAAATGAGGCCGGTCAGGCAGTTACTGTGAATGGTGTTCGCTATCGTGAGATGATAACGAACTTTTTATGTCCCGAATTGGAAGATATGGATGTGGACGATATGTGGTTTCAGCAGGACGGTGCCACTTGCCACACAGCTAACGAAACAATGGCTCTTTTGCGCAACAAATTCAATGGTCGTGTTATCTCGCATAATGGCGATGTCAATTGGCCGCCAAGATCATGTGATTTGACACCGTTGGACCTTTTTCTTTGGGGTTATTTGAAAGAAAAGGTGTACGTCTATAAGCCAGCAACAATTCAAGAGCTAAAGGATGGGATAATTCGGCACATTAACGGCATAGAACCTCCATTATGCCTCAGGGTCATCGAAAATTTGGACCATCGGATGGAGGTGTGCCGCCGTGGTCGCGGCGCCCATTTGGCCGATATTTTATTCCATACATAATTGAGTAATACCAATATATCATAATAAAATAAAATTACAATAATTTCCTAAATAGTTGGTGTTTAATATTTAATACTCATTTTAGATAGAGTTAAAAATCAGTAAAACGTGGACTTAATACTGGTTGGCTCCGAGTTGCAGACTGACAGGCGAAAAAATAAAGCACACCTTAAACGAGTTACCGTCGGCACTTACAATAAACAATGAGCTGTTTCGTCTTCACGTGCTCCGATATGTCGCTGCTGACCTTGCAGGTATAGTTTCCCGATAAACTGGAGTCGACATCTTTGAGACGCAATGCTCTGTACATTGAATTGCGGTCCTTCGAGACCCGGTAGCTTGTGTCGATGCGGTCCTTCAGGTGTCCGCTGGCTGACGCGTGGTCAAGCGAGGTGATCCACTGGTAGATTTGCTCCTCCAAGCCGTTATAGAACCATTTGACGACGACGTCGTCTTCGTTTTGCGCGTCGAACTCACAGTCGAGGATCGCCTCGTCAGTGGAACCCTCTTCAATCGAGCCCGGCCCGCTTATTTCTTTGATAATTATCGACGTGCGCGCTGAGAATGAATAATTTGGATGAGTATTTTCGCAGACTTCGATGCCTTTTCATAAATTTTATCGTTTTTCCATGCACTCGTACCGAAAACGTTTCGTAGCATTTCATGGCCACCTCATGCGAAAATGTGAAAATGAAACTTTTGCTTTTATTTCGGTTGTCGAACATGATATATAGCGTGTTATTTTACTGACATCTTATAATCTAATTACTAGACATATACATAGAGGCCTAGCCTATGTTGATGTTATAAAACATTTAAACCTGCATGGGCGGCATTTGAAAACTCGTTTTCAACCAATAACACCTGGCGGCGTTTAACAAGCAACATGGCCGCTGACAGTTCTTTAATTCGACAGGTCTCGTTAAATGTTTTGGAAAAACAACGCAGCTTAGCGCGTTAAATTTAAAGGCAAGTGCAGAAAATTAGTCCCTTCTCTACAGAAGTATTATATTGACCTGATATGCATAAATTTTTATCGTAATGCGGATATGTGTGCTGTTACAACTCTAGTTATGTTTTGTTATGTCTGTCGATTTCAATTAATTGGTAACAAACAAGAAATGCTAGTAGAAAATAGTAAACAAATAGAATACACTGTGTAATAAAAATATACGATCTTCGGTCATGTATTTAAAAATACATAATTTAATTAAACCTTAGTTTTGGTTAGCTATAGTTAATTTTTTATGTCAATATTTTTTCCGCTTTCAATTTATGATATGAGCAAAGTTTGTTCCAAAAATTCTATTTAACAGTTTTTTTGATGGAGTTTGAAATCTTGTTAAGACAAGTGCTGAAAAAAAAATTGGTACCTGAATTTATGAGATTAGCAACGTTTGTGTTGAAAATTAATGCGAACTTTGTAATGCATGATACTAATAAGTCCACTGAAAAAGTTTTTTTTTCGAAATACAAAGCAGCGACTGTTATAACGAGTATTTTAGCCATTTGTTTCCCGAGCATTAAATTCATTCATCATATCTCATTTCAATAACACCCTGCACAATTTGAAAGGGATTTCTACTTGTCCGCAAAGCGCTGACTACGCCGCCTTTCATATACTGAATAACGACACTTGAACGGAGGCTTGAATGTAGTCGTAGACCATACACTATTTATTCTTTGTTAAAAACGGTTTGTCCTGCTCGTTATTATGTTTGTCCGCGACGACCGGGTTTTATTATTACGCGCCACGCATCAAAAATCACTGGCTGGCGTTCCAACCGGAAGTGAATTTTCTCTGACCGGATACGCTCGCACTGCCATATGCCCAGTTCGAAAAACAAGTGGTGTACGAAGCGGACAGGCATTTATTCCGCTACAACAATTTTTGCGCCAATAGGCAAGGCACTCGGTTTCCCACTACCCTTAAAAATGCAAGTTCTGAGGTAGCTAGCACAGATAAACCAAAGAAACAATGTAAAAAATGGTCGCAGAAAAAAACGTTATAGCTCAAAAATAGAATCGAACATGAGGTAAACATCCCACCTAGGATCGCCCCAACCGTACTACATTATATAGTATTATACCACATTTCAGTTTAGCGAACTCCAGATTGTTTTAAAAAAAAACATATGCAAAAATAAAAAAAAAAACAAATATATTCAAACGCGTCACAAAATCTGAATCGCTGAATAGTAATTAAAGAAAAATCCATAATAATAGGTACGTTTTAGAAATATTAATTGCGGATCTTTTTTGGTAAGGGGTTGTGACAGTTATTTTAATTTAAAAATATGAAACTTATTTAATGATTCCTGTAAATGGGCATTAAAAATTAGATTTAGTGCGCTTTACATATCTATATATTTTATTATTTTTGTTAAAACTATTTTCAATTTTGTTCGAATACTAGGGACAAGCGTTATATTGGGCGATCGTTGTTTTTTAAGTTATTGCGTTTATAAATTAAATTGAATTATGAATTATTATGGAAGTAAGCAAAGCTACGCATTTTTTAGTTACGGATGGAAGGAACAAATTTGTTACAACGCAAGGCATTTTATTACTTTATATTTTCTATAGGGAACTTTTTCAAAATTTTTGTAGGTTACTTTGAATAAAAAATTTTAGTAAGGGACAATTAAAAACGTTTGAAATATATATATTTTTTAGATAATGCATTCAAATTGTTTTAATTTTTTCATTTACATTGACTTCTTCATTATCTTCTTCGTCTACATAAATTTCGTTTATAATATTAAACAGAGGCATTATTAATAAAAATGGATGTTAAAATAAATACACAAGAAATTAAGTAGTCTTGTTCGGGAAACACAAACAATAACAAACAACCAAGAGCTATTTGACGTTTGTGTTTCACATCCTGCTCCAGAGGGCGTTCGGGTATAAATTTTACTCTATTAACTCTACGCTCACGTGACAAAAAACTACTCCTACTCCACTCTAGTTCTGTTATTATTAGCTGAACCCACCTATTTTCACGGTATGGCGTCATTTTCCAAAATGGAACTAGCATTCCGTTTATACGTTATAAGTCCGTGGTTTAAATATTACAATCGTTTTCGAAAATTGAACTGAGGTGGCTTTTATTTGATGGTCCATTAAATGGCTACCCGAACGGGATTCTTAGCAAGTCTTTAACGGTTACCTACCTACAGATGCCAGATTGAAAATATTTTAAAAATAACCACGTTTATTAACTGAACTAGTATACCAGATGTGAGTCGAATCATTACTGTATGTAATGATAGCGCGGGATAGATTTATTTTTGGACTCAAAAAAAGATGTGCAATCGCCATCCGATTACTGGAAAATCGCCAAAAATATTACGACACCCGCGTACGCATTTTGATATAGAGTTACAGATTCAGCGAACGAGCTCCTATTCTGAGTCATGCCATTTGCTTTGACCACTGCAAGCGTTTACTTATTAACCAGCGTAAGCAAATTTTAATCATCGATGACTTATGGCCTCCTTGAAGCAATAAAAGCAATAAAAAGTGAAGATCTGGTGTTCACCAACAAGCGGCCACTTTTAATTCTTTTAGTAAAAACCACGAAAAATATTTTCGCAGTGACGTCAAAAGACCGTAAACAAAAATCCAACCTCAAATATGGAATCAAGCTGGGTCTTTGTTCAGCAACAGGTTCATTGTCTAATACTGAAAAAAAGCATTCCTCCAAGGATCGAATGTGTCGGATGCTACGCGTGCCCCATTTCCGGCGGCACGCGCCGGCCCCACTTTTGCATCGTGGACGCCTACGAAAGTACGCGAGGCGACCGCTCGAGTGTAACCAAACGCCTTGCGGGCAACAGATGGTACCGGTTCCGGTAAATCACCCGGGCGGAACTCTTTGATTGGACATCGAACATGGTTACAAAACGCGCCTTTAGCTTTCGCTGTTAAACTGGGTAGAGAAGATGCACGTATAGTCAGTAATAAAATGCCAGACATGTCTATCTGATCAATGCAAGATGGCCGTCACTAACGATCATGATTATATTATTTGGGAGTAAGAGAGGCAGAACAGTTGTACTTGGCATTTATTAATTTTTAATTAGTACGTTAATACTCAGTGATATGGATTAGTGAATTTTTTATGTAACAATAGGTCTAAGGTCTAACGTTCGCTAAATTTGAAGTCGATAGATTTAAATTTCGGACACTTATCGTGTTTCATAGTGATATTCGAAAAACAGGAAAATCGCGAAAAAAAAATTGACGATCGCAGCCATTTCTTATAGGATCATGTGTATCGCGTGCTTATTAAAAGGAGCCAAATTTCAGTACCCTAACTCAAACTACTAGGAAGTTATTCGCATTTTCATGGAGCGCAGATAGAGAACAGAGAACCGAGAGATATTGAAAAAACTTTTTTTTTCCAAGCTGATCATTTCTGTACCAATGGGGCTCCCGTAGGACCTCCCGTTGCCGAGATAACTTTCATTGCCAAGTACGTATGCTTTCGAAAAATTCAATTTCAGCAAGAAGTGGTGGTGCCGTTATATCAAGTGTATTCTCTTTTTTCCAATATTCTATGGCATTAAATATACAATGGTAATGAGGCAATCTTAAAACTTGATGACCTATTTCAGCAATTATTTAGTTTGTTTAGTAATTTTTGACAATATTATCCATAATTTTTTTTCGAGTTTCGACAGCAGTTTTTCAAAAATGCGACCCTGTTTTGTAGTGGAAACTACTGTAATTATCCGGTAATTGGTGCTATCTCTGTAGAGTGTACGACACCGGGGCGTAATAGACAAAGGTAGAACACTGACAGTTAAAGAGGTTGCTGTATTGAATGATTTAGAAATTATTTCAAATGACTATCTCAATCTCAAATTGAATGATTTTGGGACCTAGGGTGTCAAAAGTTCCATTTGGATTTGGTTTTTCCATAAACAATTTTTGTGATGGTGTGTCGTGCAGTGAAAAATAAAATCTGCAACTTACATAGAATGGGAAATTTTTGAGACTCTTTTGACATTTGACATTGGCTATTAATAGATTAAACGCTCTGTTCCTCTGATTTGTTGACGTTGCATTAACTGGTCTTTCTTTTTTAAAACAATTTGTGTTTATCGCAAAGGTAAATGTTATCTAATTTTAAGACGGAAAAGGGCACTGGTGGAAATCAGACCCTTATAAGGAACATTGTTATGGGAAATATTTTTAACGATCGACCCTCCGATGATGTTCCGGGTATAGGACAGAGGTGGCTTTTACCTGATGAAAATCCGTTTATCAAAATAAATAAGAACTAAAGGTTCAGATTTTCATGAAATTATATACTTTGACATGACAATAGTTTCGACAACACGGTGTCTTAATCAAATGTAATATTTACAAACTACCTGCTACTATATATACCGAAAAATGACCATAAAACCTTAATTAATGTTGTGAGAATTTGAGTTCAATAAACGTGAGGTATTTAAATCTAATTTTGTTAATCTCCATGGCTTCCAATAAATTAAATTTTCTACTTTTTGTGGCTATATGTAAAATATCAAAATTGTCGTCAAAAATGTGTTTTTCCGTGTTTTAGTGTGTAGCATAATTAGAATCTAGACTATTGTTTTTAAACGCTCTTTTATGTTCGTTAATGCGTTTCTTGAAGGATCTACCTGTTTGTGCAATATAAATCTTAGGACAAGATCCGCATTTCAACCTGTAGCCACCTGATTTTTGGGATTTTGGACATTTCGTTTTATTGTCATGTTGACATGAGCTGACACAATGTTTTGAAAACTTTTTCACTAGGTTCTCCTATGTATGTAATTGTTTTAAATTGTTCGTGTTTTGTAATAGGTTTCGGATAAACAGAGTTTACTGTTGTCTGTATTTGTTTTTCATTTATAATTTTAGCTATAATGGACAGATTGTATCCGTTGTTCAGTGCAATTTGTTTAATGATATTAAGTTCTTTGTTGTAATTTTCTGTTGAGAGTGGCGTATTAAGAAGACTGTGTATAAAAGAGTGAAATGCAGCCATTTTGTGTGTATAAGGGTGATTTGAGCTGTTATGTATGACTGTGTCCGTGTGTGAAGGTTTATGATATATTGAAAAATCTAATTTGTTTTGCGCTTTCGTAATAGTTAAGTCTAAAAAATTAATAGTTATCCTATTCAATCTCGAAAGTGGATTTTATACGATTATGTAATGAGTTAATGTAATTTAAAAAAGAATTCAATTGTCTGTCCGTTCCAACAAAGCAAGCAAAGACATCATCCACGTATCTATACCACCATAAAAAACTTTTACTTAAAGGATGTTCTAGTATGATATTTTCCAAATTATCCATAAAAATCTCGGCTAACAAAGGACTAAGTGGGTTTCCCATAATCAAACCTTCTTTCGAGATATAAATCTGTCCATTAAATACAAAATAATTTTGGTCTAAAGATACTATTAAGCAATCTAATAAATCTTGTTTCACCAATGGGTTAACCTGTTTCCGAGTTAGGGTGAAATCTACTAAATCTATCACATCCATAGGTGGAATACTGGGAAATAAGTTTTGTACATCAAGATATCAAAATCCCGTCTAACGCAACACTATTGTCTTTCAATTTAAAGAACAATGTACCTGTTAAAAATTACATTTCTTAAGCCAGAATTTAATTATCAGTTGGAAATAGCCCCTTAGGGATCTTATTGTAGTATTTATATTTCTTAAAGCAATATAATCTTAAATCTTTTCAGCATTACATAAGTTTAGTTAGTTAAGTTTATAAACAAATACACTTCAATTTCTTCAATATTTGGTATTTTCAAAACTTAACGCGTTAGTATTAACGGGCGGTATTTGAGGCGACTTTATCAGTCAAACGTCATTTATCACGCGAGCACCCTCCAACCAAGTAGCAAAGTAAAGAATTGCCCGAAATAAGAAGCTATAATATTGTATCAAGCCTTGCGCGTGGCGCATGCGCAACAGCGATCTCGTACGGTATGTCGGATAACTGTGTGTCTTTAAGCGCTTACTGCCTTGCCAGCTCGCGTTGCGCGCTCGATTTTTCCGCTTTGGCGACATTAAAACAAGCGACAATCAAAACTTAAGTGAACCACAATGCATCATGCGGGCGAAGGCTCTGTTATTCAATTTAAATATCGGCTCTAGTACGTACGCGGTCCGTGTTTATGATAAGTTTGTTCTTACATGACTCACAAAACAAATCGAAATTGGAATTAAACAACATGTACCATTTAAACTGCATCAAGTAATAATGAATGCAGTTTTTAGGTGAGCATCCTATATAAAATGTGAAAATATGAAAGAAACATTTTCTTTTTCAAATTTAACGGTTTTTTTTTCAAATTTCATAAACCCCTTATTGCACGTCCCTGTTTTTTTTTCTTTATAAGTTACTACTTGATGCAGTTTAGAGGGTATCTGTTAATGCTTAATTTTAAAATAAAATAAAAACTTCACAAAATGGCCAGCGTTATAAAGAACTTTAAAAAACCCCCCTTTTGCAAATTTTTCGCCAAAAAGAGGAGGCATTTAAGAAAAAATAGACCAAGGGTAACTCTTGCTCAAAATCCAATATGGACAAATAATTGTCAAAGTTATAGCCAGTCAAAAAAGATAACATCCTGGGTGCCTCACTTCAACTGCCGTTCAGTTTAGCTATAAGTATTTTTCAAATCACTTACTCCGGATCGCATTTTTATACACCCAGTAGAAGAGTAATTCAAATTCCACTCTCGATATTAGGAATCTCGAAAACTATACGGTACTTGACAACGTCCTATAAACTTTGAAAGTTTCGAAAGTAGCGGAGGAATACAGAAAACTGCATACCCACACGCGCTCTATCACAATTTAAACACCGCGTAGTCATGCCAAAACGGAACAATAGTGGCCGATAGTTTTTGGAATCAACCCAAAAGAGGTTTCGAAAATAACTCGCCAATTTGTAATCCTCGAAAATAACGGTTCCGCACTGTTTCCTCACCTAAGCTCAAACAACAAACGAACACTAATGATACCACTAAATCACCGCCCATTTTGCATCACTCGAAAAGTTAAGAGCGGTTCGAAAATTCCGCGCCAAAAATGAGCCAAAGGAAGTGGAGCGAGATCGCCGCTCGACGTCCAACCAAAGACCACCGTCGACTACTAAGGACTATTTTAAAAAATGTTACGGCAGGCTTCATATCAAAACAAGCGAGGCGTATGAGCAGCTCTGCCGTCGCGGTGGCCCGGTACATGTGTGTATGTGTGTAACGGTGAAACTACCAGCCCGGAACACCACCAACCCACAAAAATCGACTTATCAAATTTTTAACGTTTAACCCGCCAAATTGTTTGGATACGCTGAAAAAAAAATTTACCGGTTACCGCGTATTAGGGAAGGGGGCGAGAAATTCGAAAAAAGAAAATTTAAATAAACCTTCAAAAGAAAATGTTGGAAAATATTCTTAAGTTTGAAACACAATTGTCATCTTGATCCTTAAAATCCCGTTTCTGCAAAATTTTCTTATATTACAGTTAAAATTTCTGAAAGTTCAAGATTTACATCTTTTCAATGCTTTTTCCTCTATGGCTGGTAAGCATTTTCAGGTATTCGGGTTCTAATTGATAAAATATGAATGAATTGACTTACTAAAAAGAAAATGTATTATTTGGGATACTAAATGATATTTAAAAACGAAAAACAATTTCGTTATTTATCTTTATTACTTTTTTTAAAACACCTTCGAAGTGCACAAAATTCGGCATCCTTACCCGTTTTCAAATATTAAGAATAAACAAATAACTCAAATGTTTTCCAAAATTTAACTATTTTTATTCCTTTATTCCTATCTTAGATTAGAATAAAGCTATCGAGATGCGGTTTTCACTGGGTAGTTTTCTTATTTGAGTATAAAATGTATATCAATCCACTTATTTTTTATATGTTGAAATAACAAATACGAATTTCTCTTATTTTAAATAAAACTGCTTTAGATATTTTGCTGAAACTTAGTAGTGGCCCACAATGCATCTAGTTTCCAAGTGAGCTAGAGGTAAGAATGACACTGACTATTTTTATAGAAAAAATGGTAAGCCACCGTTTTTTTCAAAAATAAAGTACATTCTTAAGATCCTGACTTATTTTTTAACAAAAATGATGTCTTGACTTTGCCTGAAGAAAGGTGATCAAAAAGCAATTTAATAATTAGAGTAATTAATAATAATTAACTACCATTAAATAATGTGAGGAAAAATAATAAACAAGGTGAGCAATACCTGCAACGATGCACTACAGGTAAATTCCCTTTGAAAAATTGCTGGAGCATTTCTGTTTAAAAGAGATAAAGCGATTACGGACCTGTACTGATATGATTTTTTTTTCTTAAAATCATCCAAGGAATCATGATCGGTATCTTATGAAACATGAAATGTTTTAACACTGACTCGAACTATGATTAATTAGGCCCGCTTGACCGATTTATTTAATTTTTTCTCTCATATTTCTACTACATTTCTCTAATACTTCGTTGCGTTAACGGGGTACAATTAACATAATCAGTCCACGCAATTATCATAGGAATTTGAGAAAACCGCGAAAAAAATCTTCTTTTGGTGATGTCATAAGACAGCAAAGAGTTTACTTAAAAATCAAAATATCAACACTACAAATAAATTAGACTTTTTTATTGTTATTGGTTTAGACTGTTTTGATTACTTGTCATTTATCCACTGTAAAAGGAGAAGAGGATTGGGCCAAAAAATTACGTTAGAATTTGGGTAACGTTATCTCTTGTTATAATTTAAGCAACAATTGTGGTTAACAAATGGAAATGATGCTGTTTTACTTATTAAAGGGGTTACTTGTTCAAAAAGTTTCGTTTTAAAATTGCAAAACCCCCAACGATAAAAGTGGTTATTGTTTACTGTGAAATAGAACAACAAATACGTTTCTCAATACCAAATACCTATAAATTGAATTAAACCCTTATAACACAGTGTATAAGCTGCTAATGATATTAAATTATTGAATTACACGCGGCGCATCTGAGCCCCATAATTAAATAATGTAATAACTTACCAACCTCCTATTGCTCCTTGAATACACTTTTATATTGGTAATCTGGACCAGAGCCTTCGGACGTCTAGATAGAGACGTCGAGAGTCAGAAACGGACTTCTCCCTCATGAGGTCTGATGCTATGCTCTAAAATAGAGTCGATTCTGCTAATATGTTCTGTAACTAGAATGTGTGTTACCTCAATCTCTTTGACAATTTTTGTACTATCCAAGTTACGAAAAGTTTCATCTCTAACGCGAAAATACTTTTTCCACCTAAGCAAGTCCACAGCATTACTTTTAATTATAATACTGTTTGTATTTCGGGAAAATGTGATGCTATGCTTATTGACCCCAGTAGAAAACCGAATGACAAAATCATTTTCAGGATTGTTCTTCAGGTCAGAAAATATTTCTAAACCTATTTTGTGGTAACAATTTTTCAAAAAGAGCTCGATAAAGCCGGAGTCATCAATGTCGGTCAACCAATTGCATTCTAACAAAAGTGGTTTGCGAATTTCAGCAATATTCGTGCCAGTGTTATGACTCTTTGTAAGCTCTAGCATTTTTTTCGGCAGCGACATTCCAGTCTTTCTTTTGAAAATTTCCGAGTGGTAAGAGATGTCAATGAGAACAGTTTCCAAATTAATATGTAATATATGATCATTGGATGGTAAAAACAAAGTCACAACTATTTCGCATTCCACAATATTTTCATCAACTGGTAAAACTTCCAAAAGGGGGAAGCTTTTATTGGTTAAACTAATAGATTTACTAAACGCGCCACTGGAACTGTTAAGTGTTACATTCAAGTACCAATCAAAATTTCGAATCTTTCTTTGCAAAGCGTTGACAATCAATACCTCAACCAAATAAAACTTGCAATTTTCGCAGCGGACAAACTCGGATATATTGGAGTTTAGTTCATCATTGTACAAGTGAAAAAGCTCTACAATATCCGTAAAAACCTTGACATTGACGTGGCACATTTTGAGAGCTGGTTTGGCTTCACATAAACGGACAATCACCAATTTGTTAGTTTCATGGTCGATTTCGCGTCTTAATTCGGTTGTTTTTTGATGCTCCTCTTGTATTTGATTTATTATAGATTCGTATTTTAGTAGCTGATCTTTAGTCAAGAATTCCATCTGCAAAAACCCGAAAGATACTTACAAATTTAACAATCGTTAAAGTTAATTTTTGAGATTTGTTGCGATCTACCCGAAACCTAACCTATATATCCTAAACATATAGCTGTGATATAAAAGAAAAAAAGATTCGTTTAAGCGTTCGCCTCAAAGTGAAGTAATTACCACGTAAATTTTCTGTCCTCTTTTCGTAGTTCCGATATTAATCCTTAATAATCTGCACTAATAATTACACGAATCCAAAATAAGAAACAACGCGGTTTTATACAATGTACCAAGGATAAAAGTGGTTGGTTTCGATAGACGAAACACATCAATGAAAGTAGTTCAACTAACCAGGCAGTGCCACCAGCGAGTGAACCTCGAATTAAGTGCATTAAATGGACACAGTCGACGGGATCTATTTTCCGATTCTCTTTGATTTGCAGAACAGCCGCTAGAAGCAGTTGTTGAGTGTTGCGTAGCTGCTTGCACAAGCATTCTTCCGTTTCCAATTTCCGACGAGTTTCGTGAAGTTGCAAGGTGATTTCGGAGCTTTGCGGGGGACAAATTTCGATAAGATTTACATCAGTTTTACAGCGACAAATGTTACTTTTGAATTTGCTGGGATGCCAAGCGGGCTTCAAGATCAGCCATTTTCTTGACGGTATCCGAAATAACACTTTCACGTTCGATCAGCTCGCGTTCGAGAAAAGTAATTTGATCCTGTGTATCGATTATCAAAGTTAGTAGTGATTCGGTTCCGTTCCGCAGTGTGTTAAAGTCTGAGATATAAGAAAGTGACTAACTGATACGAATTAAGGAAAGATCCGGGCAAGCTGTAAGAATAAAATATGACCGAACAGGTCCGTACTTTGCTTAGAATTTAATGATTTGGGGTTTTGTTAGGAAAGATATTAAACAATATTTATTTATTTATTTATGTATGTATTTATTTTTAAATATAAAGTAAAATTACAAATTATTTAAATTACTTAAAATTATTCACATAATACATCAGTATTACTATATCTATTATCGCCTGTTCTAATTATTATTTGTTCTATATTATTTGCAATATGGATATACGATTGTTCTGCTTTTTCTATATGTTTGACAGAATTTGCCCAACTTGTGGAGGGATGTTAAAAACTTCGGTTTCTATAAGTTTGAGGCCATTGGAATTACGACGAATGGCAGATTTCAGTTGGTGCCAAACATGTTCAATGGGATTAAATATACAGTGGTAAGGTGGGAGCCTTAAAACTGTATGTCCCAGATTTTTTGCGTAATTATCACATAAGTATTCCTTTTGTAGGTTCAAGTTTTGTAGAACGTCAATTAATTGCTTTTTGGTATAACCTTCGTGAAATTAAATGTCGTTATTATACATGAAGTTTTGGATTGTTGCTTTTGTATCACATGAGGAAGGGGTTTTAGTCAACTGTGTACTGTGATTGCATTGTCCATTACAATGAGGCTATTGGGAGGAATGTTTGGAACTAGTTTGTTTTTAAACCAACTTTCAAATAAATCAGTAGTCGTGTCTTCATGGTAATCTAGAGAAGAATCTTTAATATTTTTCGCAGACAGAGAAAGTCCATTTGGAATCCAACCATCTTTACAGTCAGCATGCAAAATAGTTATTCTTCTACCTCTTTTTGTTGGCGCGTTTGTTTTACACTTATCAGTTGAATCAACCCAACCCTTTTCCGGGGTATCATAAGTGTCGAACCAGATTTCATCCAAGTAAATAATTGACCTTTGTTGTTGTCTGTAAATCCTAATTTTTTCTAGATATTCCAGTCGCCATTTCAGAATTCTAAAAGATTCCATTAAAACTTGCCTTTTGTCAATTTTTTTAAATCTATAACTCATGTGTTGAATACACTTCCATAATGTAGTTCAGCCACATTTAACACCGGTTTCATCTTTTTCAAGCCTCCTTATTAAGATATGTAATGTAGGCACGCTTTGTTCCTCGTATAACTGGTAAATTTTACGCCGTATTATATCTTGATCACTTTCATGTACACTCGAGAAAATGTCAGCATCGCTTCTCTTTTTCCTCGCTGAAATGGAATTATTCACAATTTTCCATACAGTTGATGTGGGAATTTTCGTCATTGTGGTCGTTTCTTCTAAAGATGCTTGCTTGCTGGCACCACGTTCAATGAGAGTCAAATAAACATTGTTTATAACTTCATTAGTCTCAATAGAATAAAGAATGAGATACACGAGACTCGCACATATTTTGCATAATTCGCACACGATTCAACACACGCTGTATTACACACGAAATAAGAATGATTACTAATAAACTTAAAATAAGTAGTATACCAAACCAAAGAATATTAAACACAGGTAGGTATAAAATAATTTTCTATTACGGACCACAATTTTATCTGAATTTAAATTCCGAAACTTTAGGTAATAATCTTGTCGCATTGTATGTTAATGACCACCCTTGGATAATCCCATTCAAAAGCAATTGGTCACTTTCTTATATCTATGAACAGACCATACCCGTTTTTGCGTCAACTCTTGTGTCAAAGCAACGTTTTCCTTCGATCCGAAGAACTCGAGAGCCTCACTTTTTCTGCCGCAAAGGTATGAATATAATTACGCATGTGTGCGCGCACTCTGCGTCTAAGTATACCTAACAAGACCCGACAAGTGTTCCTTATAACACCCGCAATCTTTTGTCGTTTGTTTCAACACGGCGTTTAAATGATCCCGCATTGCGTCGATTTCCTTGTTATGGGTTTCTTCTGCATCGCTTAGCTTTTCTTCCAGTTGACGTTTGGCGCGTTTCAACACAACTAGTTCCCTAAATTTTATACTTACGCCATCGATCCGAAAGTGTGGTTATATAAATCTAAATATTACGTTTCCATTGATACAACGTCTTGTTTCAGGGAGTTTAATGTCGCAGCTTCCTTTTTCTGTTCGGCGACAATCTAAAAAGACCCAATATCTTTTCTGGTTGCTTATCTGCAATACCCTACGTCACAACATACCCTATACAAGTTGTCCAACTCCGTGGCGTACGTGTTTATAATAGCTCTCGACTCTTTCAATTCGCTTTTGTACATTTCTTCCTTGTCTCTGGAACTTTTCACGCTGTTTTTGAAATCTGTGGATGTTTCGCCTTTTATTTGCCCCCAGCTCGCACAAACACCAACCGTCGACAACTTTCTCCATCAGTTTGTTCAAATAATCCGCCTCATTTGTCAATCGTTCAATTTCTTTACTTAATGATTCTTTTTCTGCGCAGTGTTCTCTGGCACAGTTTTCAATTCTTGAATTTTTACCCTTTTCCTCTTCTAAGCTCTGTTGCAGTTCTTGTGATTTCTCGACAAGCAGTTTGATTTTATTATCGGCTTCCTTTTTCTCTTGCCTTAACTTCACAACAATGGAGAATTGTGTTTCGGGACATTAAAGGTGCTTATGTATATATACCTGATCGATCAGTTTTCCCAATTGGTTAACGTTGTTGTCATATTTAAGTATCTGTTGGTCTAGCTTCGTCTTCAGTTGGTCTTTGAGAGCGTCCAAAGTTTCGCACGTTTTCCTCATCTCAGCGGCACCCTCTTGTCCGTGCTTCAGGGCGGATTTAAGATTCTCAATGATATCTTCTTGTTCTCGATTTTTTTTCTTAGCTTCTTCAAGCTGAAACGGTAGTGAGTTCAAACGTATTAGAAATCGCGACAGCGGCCGCTGCTTTACTTCGGACCCCATATCGTTCTTCTCTTTTACCAGGACTTCCTTTTCTTCCGCTAAAATCTTCAGGTCCCTTAGTAATATCCTGATCGTGGCCCTTTCTTTCCTTTGGGTTTCTTCGATTTTTTCGACCTGAAAAAGGTACGCGCGCACAACTTTCAACTTTAATTAAAATCTTTAAGTTAAGTTAGCTAATCCACTTTTAGTGCGTACAATTAATATTACTATTATCGAGACGATTGATTATATAAAAGTTAAGATGAACATAAGATATAACGACTTCTAAGCTAGTTTGATTTTAGCATCCTCATATGTTAATGTTACTTGCGAGTTGGCCGATTTCACGGCATCTCCTTTAGACCTATCCAGTTCTGCAGACTTCCTGACTTCGTTGTCTAAAACCTGGCTAAGTTGTTCTTTGACGCGGCAGGCCTCATCCAGTTCCGAGCACAGTGAACGTTTCTCTTCCGCGCTACGAATCTGGGCCTGATTCAGTTTGTGCACGCTAGCTCTGAGTCGGGAGATCTCGCCCTCCTTGTGCATGATTTCCTCTTTCAGTTTGTCCCCCTGCTGCTTGTTGAATTCCGCTATCATCTAAAAAGTACCGCGTCAGAGGTGTACGCTTTCGCGTTTTATACAGACTCCCAATTTGCTCGCTTTCTCGGTAACGGTCATTAAGTCGTCTTTCAACCTCTTTGTTCTAGTCAATTCGCGTTTTAAGTGGCAGATGACGGTCAAAAAAACGTTCTTCTCCTCCAGATATTTCGATCGTTCGATTTGTAACGCTGAAAATGGTTTTTTTGAAAAACGCCGGCGCAAAATCGTCGATAAAAATTAATCCAAATAAAACTGTTGTGCACTAAAAACCGACGAGATGCTCGTGTAGCCAGGCTTGGATAATAGTTTTTTGGAATTCTTTAATTGCGCCAAAAATTTAGGTCTTTTTCAGGATGTAAATCTGAGATCTTACTTGTTATATCAGTATATAATGGTATTATATTACATTGTTTATTTTGTATTTGTAAGTGTTAATACAAAAAACAAAATACGTGTTGTAGATTTATATGTAGGTCTCAGGCAGATCGGTTGCTTAAGATTTGAAAACAAACATATTTTTATAATGCTCTCCCAGTATAATTTTTTGCAATGTACTATAAGTCCACTTAGAATAGGGTATAGAAATGTATTATTAATTATGTAAATATTTTTCTTTCTGTTCTAATGTATTGATGTATTATATATGAATGCATATGCTTATTAATGATGCTTATTGTATTAGTATTATCATACTGACACGTGACAAGATGGTGGCCCGTTTCCAAATTACGTTCCAACATTTGATTTTCGGTTTTCAGTTTACCCAGCTCTGAATTTTCTCTTTCCAACATGGCGCAGCGTAATCGTAGGAGTTTTATTTCAGCCTTTTCGTCCTGTGGTTCTTCCGCCATGTGGTCGGTCCCAAACCCGCGTAAAAGTTTGGTTTCTTCCAATTTTGCTATCTTCGACACCAAAGGAGATTTAAGTATTTCATCCCAGCGTTTGCTGCACCACCTTACGGTCAATTTATCCTGTTCGTTTTTAGACTTCAACTCTTCCATTTGGCGTTTTATCGCTTTAAGATCATCCTCTAATGATTTACACTTTTGTTCGTAGAAAACGGTTTGGTTCTGAGACGTGCTCAGATTGTGTTCAAGTCTCGCTTTTTCCTCCCCTACGTTGTAACTGTAAAATGCGAATCCCCATTTGAATAGAGCGTGGTATACGGCTGAGCGGTAGTTTACAAAAACCAAGAAGATATCCCGTCATCAGATACGTTTTTGTTGGTCCTCATCGACGTCCCTCGTCCGACGATATTCCACAGCGTTTCGCGCATATTCCTTTTCGAGGGCTGAAAAATTATGAAGATCCCTACCGCGTACGTCCGGGGAAACTTACTCGTTCAGCTGGCACCGAAGAAGTACTGACGCAGCTCAGATTGTGAACCGACACATCGGAAATGACGACCTTTGGTTTTTTCCGCAACGATCCTCGCACTATCGCCGAAAGAATGTTAGAAGACTTGCGTAGTTTAATGCTGGAAGAGCTAGACGCGACCGCTGGAGGTGTTGAAGCTTTGAGATCTGATTCGTCCTTATCTTTAACTGACTGACAAGATATGGCGTTATCGTGGGTCTTTGGGCTATGGAAAAACTTAGCACCTCATTTAGAAAATCTGATTCAGCCATTTTTCTCTGGAATTTACCCGCGTCACAATGATAGACAAAAGGATGTCATAATTTAGCCTGACATTTCGGCTAGTAGTGGAGTATTTATTTGGGAATGATATACAAGGCAGTTATCGTTTACAAAAAATATAAATGTCTATTATCACTCCGGAAGTGTCCTCAGCGCGCGTCCGTTTCCGGAAGTCTCGAATACCGGATCCGTCTCGAACGCAATGCTTTTCGCCGGCGTGAAGTGCTCGAAAAACAAAATTTCGTTTTCGCCCTTGTGCAAGAGCGGTCCAGGAAGGTACGCCGTCCTCTGAGGCCCAACTTCGAAGTACCTTGCCAAGACGAACCCGTTTACCGCAACGAACCCTTTGCTCCAGCCAGCAAGATTAATGTAAGTATCCCTTGACGTTAGATCCTCGACCTCGAGCACCCCTCTGTATAACGCAGGCCCTTTCGCGAACGTAGGACTCCTCCAACCACGTAACGATCCGGTCCATTTCTTTTTAAACTCCAACGGGATGATTTGCCAGGAGCTGAGGGGCTGCTGGTTGATTAGGACGTCGCCTTGCCAGAGCCCTTTGTGCTGATTGAACTGATAGAGTTTGCCGTAGTTGACGCGGCCAAAATTTTCGACTACCAAGTCCAATGTGGCGTTTTTATAAGCGATGCTTCCCAATCCGAGGCTCGAGTCTTTCTTGCGCCAGAATCCGAAACCGTCGAGGTCTTCCACGGACTCGTACACTTTGGAAACCAGCTTTCCATTAATGAGCACCATCACGGTGTCGCACACATGACCCTCAATCGTGAGAGTCGAACCTGCGCTGATGTCTATTCCCTTTTTCCTGTAAACGACGTACCCGTAGCTCTGTCCACTGCCGTTGTTGATATCCAGCAGTTCCATCGGTAGAGGCCTGTGGTTTTCGATCTGATACACGTTTTGTGCTATTAGTTCGTCGAGGGATAGTTCCCCTGTTATTTGCACCTCTGGGTAGGCCACCCTATCGACCAGATCGGGCGGCGCGGGCTGCCTCAAATAAAGCTCGTTGTATCTTTGCGTCAGCGTTTGCAACGTCAGATATTTCTCCGTGTAGTCGCCGTTCTCGGATATGGGAGCGTCGTAGTCGTAGCTAGTGGTGTCCGGCTGGAAACCTAAGAGTCGAATTGGTTTTGGTACGGGGAATTGATGGGTAGTTATTACCAACCTGCGTTTCGATCTCCTCCTCCCAATATATTTCCTCCGTTCATGAATCCCCAGTTCGTACCGCCGTGCATCATGTATAAGTTAAAGGATGAGTTCAAGCTCAGAATCTCTTCGAGCACGCTGCCGAACTTTTGGGCGCTACGCTCGTGGTGGATTTCGGTGTAATGGTCGAACCATCCGGTCCAGTACTCGGTGACCATCAGCGGGCGGTTTGGTTGGTGGGCTTTCAGAAGTGCTAGCTCGGCGGAGGCGTCCTCTTGGAAATTGGCGGTGGCTAAGACTTCAGGTATTGTTCCTGTAACGAAAACTTCCATGTCGAACATATCGCTCGTGCGTAGAACGGTGGGTATACCTTCGAAACCATTGCTGGGTGTGTCGGACGTGAACAAAAGTTCGACGACGCCGTTGTCTTGGAGCGTTTTCTTTAACGCCTCGAGGTAGGCCTTGTCGATGGGTTTTCCCGGCTCTTTGACATTACCATACTCGTTTTCTATTTGGAACGCGATGATGGGCCCCCCTTGTGTGAATTGTAATGGTACCACCTCGGCCAGTAGCCTTATAAAATATCTATTCACGTAGTGCATGTACTTCGAGTCCGACGTTCGTATTTTTAGATCTTTAACTCGCAGAAGCCAGCTGGGCAGTCTGAAATTCGATGATATATGGTAAGAGGGTAGGTAGGTATATATCTATCCCAGTGAACTTCATCAAAACTGGCAACGGCTTGGTAGAATCTTTACAAAACAAAAGCCATTATTATTGTTGCTCGTTTTATAATTTGCTATATTTACTAATATATTCTTCCTGAAACTATTTACACATTATTGTAGCAAAATAGTAATTATATTATATTTTTAATTTATAAAGCAAAATCTTCGTCGAAAAATAGTCACAATTTAGTTTCAAAGAATGAAATGACTACGAACAAATCATTAATAAACGATTTATTTTTTAAAATTTGTTCTTTTTATCTGCCTATTAACGATTGCATAAGATAAAAGAAAACAATACCCATATTCCATATTACACTGTTATTATTAATAATAGTTATTAGTAGTATGTGTCAATTCGCGAGACTTGCCTACTATCCCGATTTTTAAAATATTTGTGTCATTACTGACGTGCTAAACCACTCTTATCCCCTCTACATTGTAAAGCCCATTCTAACCCGAAAAGTTTGGCTTGTCATCCATGATTTAAGTGGGACTTTATCGACGTTGACTGTGGGTTTTATTTGGATTACGCTTGCGTTTTATTTATTTCGCTTACTCACCCTCCGAACTCCCATTCGGCACAAATGTAGGGTCCTGGTCTAAGTATCACCAACAAATCTTCGTCCTGAGCCAGCTTCAGGAACCCTACTAAGTCGGCGAACGCGCTTAATTCGCCGTCGAGGTTTTGGCCGAACTCGAACTTGCCGTCTTCGGGCTCGTGCAAGTTCCACGGCACGTACGTCTCGACACAATTCAACCCTGCGGCGCGGTACTTTCTTAAACGGTCCCTCCAGTGCTCGGGATGAACGCGAAAGTAGTGCAGCGCACCGCTAAATATCGAGACTTTTTTGCCGTTTAACACGAATTGGGTCTGGGAATCGTTCAGACCGCTCTCGATGCCGTCCGCCGTGTAATATTGGTACAGAGTCGGTAAAATATCGTCGGTCGCCATGTCGAACAGCTGACTAACACGACGCTCGTGACCGAGACGCGCCGGAGAGGATTGAAAGCGCCTACTTTATAAAAATACAGCTGGCTGCCCGATAAGCGGAATGAGTGGGGAGCGATTGTGGCATGTTGTAGGCCGAAAGGAGACAAACGAGACACACTAACCACAGGATGTTGTTTATTTTTTACGATAAGCATTGTTAGTTATAGGATATTGTACCGGGTGTTCCGCTTAGAATGACTCCCGGTTGCATATCGAGTAACTGTATGACCGGCAGAATACAAAGATGCAAGGAAAAATTGATTCTAGTTCTTAGACCGACCGCTAGATGGCGTAGCTTCGATGCCGAACAAAACAGGACTTTTACGAATATTGCACGGTAAGGGGATTAGAAATAAACATTATAGTCAAAAAAATTCTCTTTTTTATTTTCATTTTGCAATATTTGATAAAATAAACTGTTAAACTGGGTTTCTATTTAAATGTCAATAACTCAGCATTTCGTTATCGGAATTAAACGAGCTAGGTCTCATTTAAAAGAACGCTCCTTACTCTTTACTCCATATATTAATATGTATTTTACTGTAGACGCTCCCTCTTATAAATGCAACAATATCTATGCATGCATAATTTTAGCTTATAGTTGATAATACCTAGTGGAAAGCCTAAAAAGTCAGTAAAAACAACAACATGATATCTTAAAAACCGAACCGAAAATAGTAATAATTCCGAAAAAATGAGTTCTTAACTACCGTATTTTTAAAATAGGCTATGTTGATCATAACTATTCTAAGCAACTACGAGGGAGAAACATTTTACTTTGATAACGATTATACCAGAATACTAGTTCATAGACTTTTTATGCGAACTTTTCATCAAAAAGAGGCAAATTGACAAAGCTTCGACTTGTTTTATTGGAAAACATAAAACGCTTTGAAAAATCGGCGACTTGATACATTCTGTCGTCAACGAAAAATGTTCGAGGAATATAAACTGATCGTAAGGGAGCGTCATCTGTCGGGACAGCTTCGAACCACGGAGGTTCAGGACCGGCTTGGGAGAAAAATGAAAAGTGCGTACGAATAAAATTAAAACTTTTATTGTAATATTAAATGACATAGGAGCTAAAATTTTTATTTTACATATCTACAAGATGATATACAGTTACATTATGAAATTTTACTTAACGATAGCCTGACGGTTTTACAATTAATTACCTCTAGATAAACAATTTTCGTAATAGGGATTTATATAAAAACACGACTTCCGAATTTTAATTTGGCGGCCAGATTTTGTTTAGGTAGTACAGTGGTAATAAATGGACGAATTTTTTGGATTTTCGCGCGACGAATGTGAATTTTTTGGCACTCGCACGAAATTCAGACGCGGCACAAGTAGACATATCAATGAGCATTATAAATCCTTACACTAACAAAACTAAAAAAAAGGAAATCTACAAATCAGCCGATTGTAAACGGGGGAAACTATGTGCGTTGGAAGTGCAAAAAAGGCGAATACAAAATTTGCGTGAACGTGACGATAATTAATGTATTGTAAAAATGCAAATAATAAAAAAAACAATTCGATATGTGACTACGCCCTATTTACAACAATTTGCCGCGTATAAAAGTCAAACCCCCCAAAAAGTGACGTATCACCCTGTATAAAAACGCACATACACTTTTAATTAGACCTAAGAAATGCAAATGTCTTGCTTGCGTCACACGAAATGTCTCAGTTAATGTTTGGAATATTACAGGGTGTAACAGGCAGCCGACCCACCCTACCGCGAAATTCAAAAGCAGGCAACGAAAAAAATTGAGGTTAGAGTTCATCAGCGATTCGTTGTGCGCCTTGTCGCGTATTACAGTAGATCGTTTTTATCCACTTCCTCCAATTGGTTGTTGTTCCTGTTCCTCTTCATTGCGGCGTAGATCGAGGCGGCTTTGTAATTGATCGGACCATAGTTCGATTTGTAGTCGACGTCTGCGTAGACGAGATCGCACGGGTCGGGTCTGTACGGCTGCAAAAAGCACGAGAAAGAAATTACACGAATAAATATAGGCTGCCGGGTGGTCGTCGATTGTATTGATTTCGCGCTCTCGGTGGCAGTTTTAATTCGAATATGCGAATCCGGACTCGGAATTGGGCAACTGGCTTTAAGCAATGCGGTCCATGCGACGTAGAAAAGAGAAGAGAAAGTGTGTAGGGCATTGCTTGGGAGTTCAATAAAAACGGGAAATTTGTATACAACTATAATCGCTAAAATATTGACTAAAATTGGTAAACTACATGTCCCGATAATTACCTTAAAAGATATAGGTATCGCTACCACCGGTTGCGTGTACCCCGTTAGTCTAAAACAGAATTCAGAATCATATTAGGTACACAGTGAATTGTGTGTCAGTGATGTTTTTGTTGTCGAATGTACGTTTAAGGAAGTTCTACTATTCTAAGAGAATAAAATGAAAAATTAAACAAATTCCGTTGCGAGTTATATATGCGTTTCCATCTATATTTGTTCCAGCTGGGATAGACAGAAGACATAGAAATTTGTTCGTTTATTGATCAAAATAATGGCCACTGAAAAACGAAAAACTATCTCATATTTTACAGTTTAAAAGAAAATAACAATTTTATTTATTACACAGGTAAATTGAAAGTGGGGTTATCATATAGTTTAATAAATATGCCTAAAGTTTTGCATATAATTAGGATTTGTTCCACAATAATTCAAATCCTATTATTTTTTATTTTCATTTGGATGTGTGCAACGTATATAAACCTATTATTTGTTTCATTTACATTACAGTTTAACTGCACCATTATTATTTATTATTCAGTTTTATGATATACTTCCTTCCTATAACTGCTTATAAACCACTATCGCGAACTAACCACTAATAGAAGTTTCGCCGTGTTTATAAAACGTTAGTATCATAAATGTGGGTACGGATTTTGTAATATTGAATCATTTATGATTCAGCAAAGGGCTGCATTATTATCACTTTTCTCTGTAATTTTAAGATAACGGTTGTTATTTTCCGCCATCTGCCGCCAGAAAATGGGTTGGCCCTGTAGCTAATGATGGCGCTGGTGAAAACAGTATTTACTGCATAAAGTATTAGCGTTATAGAAATTCCCAAATGTCATTTTTAAGTTTTGTTTATTTTATTAATTGTATTGTTCGTTGACCTAAACCACAGAATTTTTCGCCGCGCAAAAGACCATGGAATTAAGGCATTTATAAAATGAAACGTGAGTTAAAAATAACTTTTTGGGAGTCTTGCAACAGTAGTAGTGCTCTTCTATTTACTATTCTTAGACCAAATGTAAATTATAGTAAGTCACGAAAAACAACAACAATAAAAAAAATACAAAGAATAAAAATGGTAAGATCCAATTTATAGAGAGAAATACTATTTCAACAGATACGCGAACATACAATATACATCAATCATTTACTGCGTTATAAAAAAAAATCTTCAACACTGTAAAAGCAAGTTTTAAGAAAGTGTTTCGTTATAATTTTTAAAATTTTCTTAATTATTAACCCATAACCAATTCAAAGGCAACGAATTAGCCCCGTTGTTTTAGAAAGTTTATGTTGTGGTCTGTGTCTGTAAAAAGTGTAAATTTCGATTAAAACTCCCTTCTTTATTAGATTTCTCTATGGTTTATTCCTGTGTAGATTAGAAAATATATGTATGTGTATAAAAAAAAATTGTCGCTCGGCTGAGAAGTTGGATTTCAATCGCTTTTGGAAAGCATGGAATGGTTACTGGAAAGGTAATTTTAATTTTTCGTAATATTTCTCTCTTGTATTATACGACTGTACTCCGTAGGAGTCAGAGTGAGTAATTTCTTGTAATTACCAAATTAAACTAGATAACGACCGCGTTAAAAATTAGTTTTAATTTCATACTAACCAAAAGAAAGCCATACAAACCTCGATAGATCCTTAATTAGTGTGCCACAGGGATCGTGCGTTAAACGTCGATCTCTTGGCCGATATCGTTAAATTTTAGCGTCGCGTATTCAGTCTTGGGTTTGTGCTTTTTGCTTTTCGAGGAGCTGGTCGAGCTAGAATCGTGCGAGCTTTTCCGGCTCGACGGCATATCCAAGTCCGCGTATTGGACGACGCCGTTTTGTTTAATGGCGGGCGGGACAACGACCCTGCCCGTCGCCGCTATCATCGGCTGTGGGTACTGCAGCAGTACCGAGCTCTGTACCTTCTCCTGGAACTCGACGTTCTCTTGGTAATCGTTCGGTCGCATCAGTACTAGCGGACCTTTGGTCTTTTGTTTCGGTCTCTCGCGTTTACGTCGCGAACACGTGCTCCGTTGACTAGCGAGGCTGGTACTGCTCGGGTAATCTCTGAGGTACCCGTTACGCATGAGGTTCTCCTCGTGGATATTTTTTATCGGCTGGAAGTAGCTTTCCGCCGTTTGGAACTTGAAACTGTGGCACTTCTGCAGCGGGATTTGAAAGTGTCTTTTTTGCTTCGACGATTTGCTCGAGAACGATTTGCTTTTGGCCAGCTGGTCTTGGAACAGGGCCTTCGGGATCAGTTTCGTATGTTTTTGGTGGGGAATCGTGGCCGAGTATTGGGGCGGGCACGCGGGTTTCTTGCAATGGCTGGCTGTTAGCGTGTAAAAAGCGTGCTGAAATAAAACCTGGTTAGTTTTGGGTTAGCTGCCGGTTAGGTTCGCGCAACCGGCCGAGGCGCAAGTGCTCGCAAGTGCTACTTTTTGGTCAAAAATTTATTGCTGTTAACTCCAGTTTCTAATGCAGAGAAGCGAAATCTGACGTCTGGGACTCATTTGTCATAAAAATCCTAGTGGTAACAACCACAATCGAGCATTTTGAAAAATCGTAATTTTTAATAATAAAATGGGACGTCCTGTATATTTTTGATTAATAGAACTTAAAATTAACTTTCCAAAAACAACTTGAAATTTTGCTACAGTCTTTTTCAAAAAAATCAGTTTCGAATTTTGAATTAGTAAGTAGGATTTAGACGAAGCGACCGAAATTAAGAAAACAAATGTTTACTGCCAATTGTCAAATTGTGATTTTGGCTCCCAGGAACCTGCTGGAAAGGCGGCCAAGGTCTGGTAATGTGTAGTTTGTTTTTTGTTTTTCTTTTAAAGTTTTTGCAACGTCAGTTCTGTTGGTGTGCTTAAATTTCGTGACGCCGTAGGACTAATTTTCTACAACCACTATTTTTTGCAACTCGCTAGCCCTATTTGGTTTGCAGTTTTTTATCATTTTCGCCTTAAATTGACTATTACTAATTATATTATATTACGTATATGTCTTTACGCCGTTGTAGAAATAGCTAGCGAAATAAACTTTCATATTTCGTTTATTTGAACGACTAAACAAAAATGCAAACATTAATGTATTTCGAAGGCGAATAATCAGTGATTCAATAATATACAGGGTGGCCCATATAAAACATTTAAGAGTTCGCCATAACAAAAAAGTTTTAACGAAATTTTAAAAAATTCTAAAAACACGTCAACAATATGTTTTTTTCTATCGAACACTGTTGAAATAATTTAAAGATTAACATGTCTTTTCATTATTTGGTAAGTTTTTAAAAATTAATTTTACATATTTCGAGGAGAACCGAAAGCAAACTTAGATTTATAAATATTTAATAATAATTTATCTCGATTTGTAAACACATAAAGACAAACTTGATACAAAAACAAAGGCGATGAGTTCAAATGTTTTTAAAATAATATTTGCAGCTATGGATTTTCAGCTTGCTAGCAAACAAAACACCTCTTTTTGCGCAAAAGAAAAAATATCCCCAGCCAGGGAAGAATAACCACAAACCTGAATAGCTGTTTAATTTTTCGGACCGATTTTAAGTACCTCAGTAAGCAAGTTTGAGAAATTACTTTAGGTACTAGATTTTATATTGTCGCTAAATGAATTTTAATTTTTAATTTATTAACACTCTCTTGTCATTGATAAAATTCTATGAGGATCGTTTTTGATGCTTTTAAGTAGGCAGAGAGAGTAGGAGAACGAACTATCATTTTTTGAAAAGTAAACAACCATCACATTACATTCACGGAGTTCTTTGAACTGAAATACGTCATCGGTGAACGCTGCGAATATGTCAATAGCGTCAAATTGATTTATAATCAAGATAAAAAATATGCGACCCTGAATTCCCTGAGTTATAACGGTTCAAATATTTGACACAATTCAAATAAAATTTCTATTATCCTTTTTGACCAAAAACTTATGCATTTAGACCGGAGCGCGACTATAAGAACGGTACTGCCACAGCCAAAGCAAACAAAAAAAAAACAAACCTGTGCCACAGGATTTCTATCGTTAGCCACTGTACCGGTTTCGTTTTCTTTATTCTCGTCTTTTTGCGACTTATCCGCCGCTTGCACCGGAGAGGCTTTTCTCTTCGCCAAGATTTGAAGCGATAGTGCCCCTTTGGGGCTCTCCACTTTCGGCTTAATGAAATTCGGACTTACTTTTAGTACGGGCGAGTTCTTTATAGCCTGCGCCGCAATGGTTGGTACTACCTTTTTCGCTCGATCCGTTTCCGCGGTTCTTTCATTCGATTCTACCACTTCCACGGTACTGACATGGATCTGAGCTTCCGTTACGGATACGGTACCGCCTTCCTCGCTACCGTTGGAACTGTCAGGCGAGTTTCCCGAGGGAACGTTCCCCTGCAGCGAATTGCAAATGTTCGCGTATATAATCTCCGGTTTCCGGTGCTTCCTGCACCTGGGGGCCGGTTTCGGCGTAGCCTCCTCCAAAATCTGTATACTGTCCGTCAGATTTTGAAAATCCTTCGCTGTACTCTTCGATAGCGGGCTCAGGCATTTTTTTGGCAACGCGTAAACGATCGGTCGCTTTTTGGCGTGTTTTTTGCACCTCATCGAGTAAAAGGTGGGCGAATAGCATTTGTGCTTTTCCGTTTTGAGCGAGCCGAATTTTCGTTCGGACAAGTTAACCCTTTTGGTTTTCGGTAGCGCTTTCGCTTCGTCTGTCCTTATCGCCGGTTCTTGCGTTCTCATAGGAGGAGAAACCCTAAAGTTGGAGGGACGAATAATAGACGGTCGGGATGGAGTGGGAGGCCAGTACGCGTGGTAGCGGGGATAATTGAAGGGTGGCGAGTTGATGAACGGGTTGCTGAGGTTTCTCGCTAGAGGAAGGTTAAATGGATGTAGAAATCGTGGGGTGTAGTATCCGGGATTGGTTTGAAACCCGTGGAAAGATTGGTTCCTTCTGATCCTCAGCGGCTCCAAGTCCGGCATCTTCGGTGGAGGTTTTTGGTCGGTTTGGACGGCACGCTTTGCACATTGTTGAAACGGCGCGATAACGGAAATGGGCTGCAAAAACGAGTCGCGGGGCGAGGGGAACACATGCAAAAATTAAAACCACAAAAGCGGACAAAACGGAAGGTTCGCGTCTGCGTGTACGGACGGTTTACCTTGTTGGGGGGGTTCTGCATGCCGTGGAAGGGGAGGTTCTCATAGAAGCCTTTGTCGTTGGGGTCGTGGGCCGCGTGGGGGTGGTCCTGCATATTTCCAACCGGTGCCGCGACCCCCGTCCTTATTTTATCTCCGGTAGAAGATTGGTTTAGAGGCGGCGCTGTGCGGAAAAAAGAAAAAACAGTTTTACAAGGTCCCGTCCGATAATTCGTCGGGTTCCGTTCTAATTTGTTTGAGTAAAAAAAGAAAATTTCGATGCTAAATGGCTAGGAACTGCGCGAAAGCAAAAAAATGGTCCTAACATATATTTACTTATTTATTTATCTACAGGCGAAGCCCGAAAATAATAACAATAAAATTTCCAACTAAATTTCACTAAAATTCACTAAATAAAACAAAAAAAAATGCCGATCAGTAACAAGTTGATCAGGTTAAAGAGATACAGAGAGAACACGATGTACAAAACTGTTATTTGTTTTAAATAAATTAGTATTTTTAAGAACATGACGATAAAACGGGGTACGTGCTCTAGAGCGTCGAGCGGTCCGAATTTCCGGAAAAATTGGAATTTGGAATATTGAAATGTTTTTCGGTAAAATTTGATGTTGTCGGTACGATGTATTTCTAATAATTTTTTTATTTCCACGTAACGTTTCAATTTTCGTTGATTCCGTATCTGCCACCAGATTTTTTACGCCACTGCTAAAGAACAGCACTACTTGTGGGTATGTAATTCGTAAGATTAATGTAAAATAATAATGGTACCTATTTCTAAGACGATGGTTGGAAGGAAAGATTCAGTAAGACAATACCCCAAACTACAAATTTCAGAAAACATTTTAGACCCTAGAAAGGAACTAGAACATCCTAGTTGGTTAATGCGTATCAAAAAATTACTATACTATTTTATCCTGCCACTCTAGGAGTTTCAACCATGTTTGGTTTGATTGCAAAATAACGCAAATTTTAAGTTGTGCCTAAAATGAAAAACACACGCCATAGAAAATAACAACATTTAAATTACTGTAGATTTTTTTAGTATACTGCTCATATTAAAAAATAAACTCAATTATTTCTGAGTTTCATAGTAAAATGCAGTACAAGGTACCCTAAAATGCCTAGCTTCTATTTGCTTCTATTTCAGATGTTTTATTTTCTTCGCAGGGAGGTTTTGTAATGGCTCAAAAATCTTGCATTATTCATTTTCACGAGTTGGTACGGCTTTTTATATTAGCGAATGAGAACAGTTATTTTTCCAGATAGTTTCAAAATTTAAGTTAACTGATAATTTCTTCTAAGATTAGTTGAGATAAGATTTCATACATTTGTTGGACAATTGGACATATATATATATATATATATATATATATATATATATATATATATATATATATATATATATATATATATATATATATATATATATATATATATATATATATATATATATATATATATATATATATATATATATATATATATATATATATATATATATATATATATATATATATATAGATGACACTATATTCCGGAATATCATCCGTTCGCTCGTTGAACTCCGATTGGAATCCTGCATCCGACTGGAATCCTGCAGACGTTTCGCCAAAATCTCACTTGGCATCTTCAATGCTCGCGCTTCGAAAACACTTCGAACACTACAGAATTCCAGTCGGATGCAGGATTTGCAGGATTCCAGTCGGAGTTCAACGAGCGAACGGATGATATCCCGGAATATAGTGTCATCACATTTTTCCATCCGTGAATCAATACGTGAGAATATATATATATATATATATATATATATATATATATATATATATATATATATATATATATATATATATATATATATATATATATATATATATATATATATATATATAATATGTATTAAGTATATTATTTACCCAATATACTAGTTTATTTCTGGTTCTGGTTTTAATTTTTTTTTGTTTGTGAGTACCGACGTTTTGCTATAAAAAATGTTTATTTATTCTTAGCAATAACTACTACTAGTAGAGAATTTGGGTACAATGAGCATGCATAAGTCCAGAGATGGAATTCTAAACACATACGTTCTATTCTCCTAAGAAACGTATTTAAATCAGATTAAATATTTATCAGCTAAGCGGTCTGAGAAATAATATTATTCACTTGGATTGGTAAATTTTTAATGATTTATGCATTTTCGGTTAAGATAATTTTGTTCTATTCGAAAATATTGCTTTTAGTTTCTTGTTCGCACCTTCGAAACGGTCAAACGTGCGATTTTTAGGAATGTTCGATATTCTTCAAATAGGAAAAGTAAAAACAATGTTTTCCAGCCCTACAAAATAAAAACTCACGATCATCTCTATTTTTTTTAACTTTCACGTCGGACTTACCATCTCCCGGTTTTTTCCGTTTTCGTGGGTTGACGGTGGCGGACCTGGCGCTCGGTGGCGATGTCGCCATCTTTTTAAACGTCACAACTAACATGCAAAAACATCAGAAAAGGGCGACCGGCGCGTCCGAACGAAAGCAGAAAGGAAAAAAAAACACAATTTACCTCCTCCTGCGCCCGCCTTGATGCCCAAAGTGGCTGCTTCATCCCCTCCCAGTCCTAAGACTGCGCGGAGCCTTTTTATTCGCGCGTAAACCTTACTTTTGTTTCTGCGCAACCTCAAGTAGGCGCTGGTCTTCGTCGTATTACGCGGGCTCGAACTCGGAGGGCTCAATCTACTGATACTGACGTTGTTCATTTTGTTCACCTGTACCAGTAGGCCGGGTTTCAGCGGCCATTTCGATCCGTCCAACGGCGACGAGTCTTGATCCGGGCTACGTTTGTGTCGGGGGCAAAATCGGGAAAATTACAGAAACAAGCGACAAAACTAAGGCCAGTCCGGTTAGGGCGCCACGTGACCAACATGACGGATGTACAAAAGGAAGGATGAATTTCCGTTTGTCGATCAAGTCGAGGGTTGGTTGTTTGTGTTTGCCAACGAAATGTTTTGAAGATCAACAATCGGGAAACTTCGAATCGATGATTGGAATTAATATTAAATTTTTAACCTTCGGATATGTTTATCGAGGGTCGTGTTGGGGCACGTGTACGCTGGTGATCGGAAAACGCGTTTATACCAACCTTATCACAGATAACAGTCAAAGACCACGACCGACATGCACAGATGTACTCTAGTATAGCGAAAGTTAAAAAAAAAAGATAAAAGGCCCAAACGTCATGCTCGCTGATTGGGTCAGAACTACGTGTATCATTTTCTAACGTTCTCATATAAAAAAGCTTTATTGATAATTATGTATAGTAATAGTAACTACTTTTTTTTTTCTTTGAATAAATTTTGTCTAGCGCAAAACCATCTGGTCAAGTAAATATTCTGGTAAGTTTAATAGTAATGGCGAATATTTATTCTGATTTTATAGCTATTATGACATTTTTGCACAGAAGGGAACAACGACTCTCAGCGCAAGCCCCTAAGCTGTCCTTTCAGATGTTTTATTTCTAAACATCGGCTTCCAAATACTTAATTCGCTTTGTTTTCGGATCTGGGGCATATTCGGACAAAATATTGGAAAAATATGCCGGATCTAAACTGAAAACTGTCCTATTGACGAACTGTCAGCGGTCATAGTGGTTGCTTAAAAGCTAGGTTTGAAATGACAGATCATATTGGCTGGAATGATGCCCGTTAATGTCACAAAAAAAAGTTGATTTCGAAAGTAATATTGCGGAGAGAATCCTGAATGCATTGGGAACTCATGTGTAAAATGTTCGCGAAGGAGGCTTATTATTTCGATCTCATTCGGAACGCGTTCAGCAGATATTGCATATTGCATAAAATGCATAAAAAAGATATTTGTAGAGTAGAAACATATTTTATTTGCTTTAAATAAAGACAATAATAGTAAAATTTTTAAAACTCTAAAAAAAATTATGCAACAGGTAATATTGAAATGGTAAAATCACAAATCGTGCAAATTACTTTTTTGTTTAAGTCATTTTAAAGCAAATGTTTCACAATTAATTGGGATGGGTATGTTAGTGATTTTTATTTGGCAAATTCGCATCTAAACATCCCGAATGAATTCGATGACATGCGCTATCACTTTATATTCTGAATGGATTCAGATTCGACTCCGCGAAAATAGCTATTATTATAATAGGCAGAGCCTCGCTATATCTAGTAGCTATATAATTCGGATAGAAGCACTTAATGTCAAAGTATAAGCGAGGTATTTGTGTGGAGGTTTGAATGGGTGCGCTAGGTATTGTCAGATTTCCAATATTTCCAAAGCTTCAACAAGCAAGATAATATTACTAAATTATTATACAGGGTGTTACTTAATAAGTGTCCGATATTTTACAGGATTTCTCAAGCATTTTTAAGGCAAAAAATTGCTATAAACCTTTTGTCTAATATCATACTCGAGGTATATGGTGTGAAAATTCAAAGTTCTTTGATTTCTGAACGAAAATTGGTGCATGATAGCTTTTTGACATGAGAAATTTCCATTTGTATTACCTAATTTAGTTCTTATTTAGGGGACGCTACCTATATGTCTCTTTCACCATATGCAAAGCTCATTATATTTTACGGAAAAAATGGCTTCAATCACTTTTATCTGAAAATGCCTTCTTATTACAAATCGTTTCTGAAATATTTTGGTTTTAAGTAATCGATGTTTTTAATAAAGTAATATAATGTAAAATAACTTTTTTTTATCAACATTTTCGATTTTCTTATTTTAAAATTAAGCTTAAAATTTAAATTAAATGGATGAATACTAAAAAGAACGAAACGAAAACCTGAATCAAATCACAATAAATTTTATAAATGTTCGAGTCCACCTATATGCACGTACATTAGCACGAACATTAGCGTTGGAAAATTTCCTGGAGTGTTTTGAATGGTTCTACAATAGTCTGTTATTCGATTCCTTAATTCTTTCACATGTTGAATAGGTAAAGTAAGGTTTTTCGATGTCCTCAAAGGCAATTTCCCAAATTTCTTTCAGAAATCGGCTTTCAAGTATAGAACTTCCTGCTTTAAAAATACTAGATTAATTACACTGTGAAATATTGAACACTTATTAAATAAAACATTATATATTGAATGTAAATAATAGTAATAATAATAGTAAAATAATTTAAGTTCAAATAATCGGAAAGAACTGCAGTTTTGTAAATTTTACTTTGAATTTTCAAATTAAACGGAATTCGTATTTCGTATTTCGGCTTAAGACGGTCGCGTTTCACACGTAATTCAGCCCCATCGAAATTAGGAAAAGTGTAAGGGTGATAAAAAAGGTACCTTGGTTCCCCAAGTAAGTAATTCTACCGCAAGGCACCAAGGGCAAGCCGAGCACGTCCGGGCTTTGCGAGCAAAGAAACCTAAAGATGGGCGAGGGGTTAGTACTTAGTACAATCTCGCTGGCGACATTACGCTAGCGTCGCAAGGATTGTTCAGAGCGCCACGTGGCAAAGTACGCTTTGCCGCGTGACACGCCTCGCATCCCTACGCTACACGTGTGTATGTGTGTGTGTGCAATACTAATTTGCGATAAAGTGAAACCGCAATAATGGCAGTGCGTGTCGGAGAAATATGTACAAAACGAAAGGAAAAAGAGAAACGGAACAAAAAAAAAAGAGAATCTAGCAAATGAACATCGAACGTCATTCGTCTTACCTCTCGAACATATCCGGTTTTGACGAATCATAAGAAACGCTCAAATAGGCAAAAACTGAAAAAGCTCGCCCGCAACCAAAGAAAAACTGTGCGTTTATCACAAATTCTATTGCACTCCGGGCTAACGTGTCTTGATTTACTATATACAGGGTTGTTCGCTCTATACGGCATACTGTGGCAAAAATATTTCACAACAGTGCTAAATATTTTTTTAAAATGAAACCCCCTGTCTGTTACAGCATTGTTGGATTTCAAGGTGAAAATAAAAGCAGGTTTCACTAATGTTTATGATATTGAAATAACTTATAAAATTATAATTAAGAACGATTAAAGTTATGTGCGCGAAATTTGCTTCGAAACAATAATACTAATGAATTTGATAAACGACACATTACTCACTAGTTTGATTTAGCACGAGCGAAGCGAAGAAGTTGATCAACGTATTGGTTATACTTTTACCACGATTATTACTTTTTTGGTACAAAACACCGAATATATTTGTGCTGTTCTGCCAAACAAGTACCGAACAGCTATTGGTGGCAGAAAAATTATAGTATTCCAAGACGTTGCTAAATTCCCTCAGCCACTCGTTTATTACGCCCTCGCTCTGCCAAAACGAACTCGTGACCGCGTTGATCACATTTATTATATAATAATGTATTATATTATTATTATATATATTATTATATTATTAGCAAAACCAAACCAACTTAGCGGCTTCTGTAAATTAGCTGATATTGCTAAATATCACCAGTAATTTAGATGCAGTAAACACCAAATGTCACAAACCATAATTTTCTAGTTATGTTAAAATAATCCAATTGATTACCAAAAATTATTCATTAGTACTCATATGGCGTTCAATATAAATGAATCAAGTTGTGATCAGTTACGTTCCTTCGTAGATCCGAATACTTACATTTTTGGATACTCTTGGTAGGACGGGACAATTTTTGTAATTGGAAAATTAAATTATTGTTACATTTTAAAATCTAATTATTTAAAAAACTTTTAAGTTTAGGTATCATAAACCTTATTGAAACTCACGCTTAGTTTAACCGCAGAATAAAAAAAATGCTGCGATAAACGGAGGGTTCTATTAAAAATACTTTAATATATTTATCACCTTTGGGACAACATGTAGAATGTGAATGTAACTTTAAAAAGTAACCAAAAAAGGCGCCCACTGTACTTTGGCCACACTATCACGTTCTGTATACCGTCACCTTTAGGCGCGTAAATCTTAAGAAATAAGATATATTTCGACTTACTTCTCCCTTTCCTCCATCTCCAGCGGGTTATTGTCTGAGCGATAAACGAAAACAGAAGAACAAAACGCAAGTTAGTACCCGATAATAAAGCGACAAATCACGTATAAGTACAGATATATTGTTTACATAAAACTAATCGTCATTCCTAAAAAGTGTAGTATCGATATTTGTATTGCGAGTAGGCGGGGTAATTCAGTAAGGAGTGCAGCAACTCACATTTGGTGTTCGCCCGTTTCCTCCTGCACAACACTATGATCACTATGCATATTATGATCACGCATATTATGATCGCCACGATCGACGCGATGATGATGATCAAATTCTCGTGGTTCAAACGTTTCCACCACGGCAAGATTCCTGAAACAAACGTCATGACATGCACTCTAAGTCGTTGTTTAGATATTGAGTTGAGAAAGTCTTTAAATTCACCAATAATTGGGCACCACTTGGCGTCCCTATCGTCTCTCTATCCCACCCTTGGTGAACCTACCGTCCACAGACATCTCGCACGGCTGCTTGTCGCTGAACCCCACCGAATTGTTGGCGAAGCACTGGTACGTTCTCCTGGTATCCACCGACGAATCCAGCACGAGGAAGCTCTTTAGTCCGTCGGTCTCGATGTTCGAGTTTACCACGTAGGTCTCGTTGCCTTCCTTCGCTTTCCAGGTAAACACCACCTGTTGCGGATTGGCCACCACCGTGCACAACAGCGCGGGGTTTCCACCCCTGTCCGTGCGCGTTATAGTACATTCCGGAGCGTCTGTAACCGGAAAAATAAATAAATCCCGCGGGACGTAAACCCGAACGAAGACTTTACATTTGACGTTGAAATAGACGATCGCTTGCTGCAGCCCGTGTTTATTGAATGCTTCGCAGATGTAGCTGCCCGACTCTTTCCTATCCATAGAGCCCAGTCGAAGGACGTCACTGGTTTCGATCGGTTCGGAGGTGGTGTTTTTCTTCCACTTGTACTCCAGAGTGGGCAGACCTTTGCCGTGGCACTTCACAGGACTCGGTGCTTGTCCCTCGATGACGTTCACTACCGTGGACGACACCTTCACGTCCTCGGGGGGATCTGAAATATACGCACGTGCACCCGTTCGTCGATCGCGGTCCTTGATTTACTCACAGTCGACGGCGATTTCGATCATGGATTCGACCCCCGGTCCGCTGTCGTTCGACTCGCTTTGGCAGCTGTAGTTCGCATTGGGGGCGGTTTTGTTCAACTTTCCGCCCGGCCACGCCGTCATGTTCCATATCTGACGACGCCAATTCGATAATTAAAAGTTCGACAACCGCCGCCCACGCGCAACTCACCAAAGTCGATTCAATGGACTCGAAAAAGTTCTTCTGGCGATCTGGTGGATGTATGATGATCCGGTTGTCGTAAAGGGGATCGTTGGCCGCGTTGATGATCCTCCCGTCCTTTCTCCAAACGATGTTGCACAAGGGGAAGCATTCCACCCGACAAGTCAGGTTGATGTGCTGCGACGAGTAAAGTATACCTTGGTAGGGTTTGAGCCGGTCGAAAAGGGCTGGCGGAGCGGTGACATTGATGAACTTGGTTGCCGGCTCGCTCTCGCCACCATCGTTGACGGCAATGCAGGTGAAATTGCTGCGCGTCTCGAGTCCCACCGGCGAAATTTTGTAGACGGAACTGTTTACCTCGGTCAGTTGGTGGGATCCCCTGTACCACTTGTAGGTCACGTTGTCCGGTCGTCCGTAGGAGTTTACTTTGCATTCCAAAGTGACCATACCGCCCTTGACCACTTTATCTTTTGGCGTAGAGATTAATCGGGCTGGACTCGGCGGATCTAAAGAGTCGCGTGCAGTATATAGACACTCGTTTATCGGTGCCACACTTACAGTAGACAATCAACTCTACGGGCTCAGACAACGGACCCCAACCGGCAGTGTTTTCACCTTGGCACGTATAGTTGCCGGCGAATGACTCGTCGACGCGTTCCAAGCTCAAAATGCTGGGGTCGAGGCCGCAGAAAGGCCCACCGGATTCGTCTTTGGCGGTGTAATTGCACTCTGGAAATTCCTTCATCAGTTCGCCGTCCAAAAACCATCTGACTTTTAATAAGGTCGATGGATTGCCGGACGTAACGTTACACTCGAGCAGGACGTTGATCTTGTCCTGAGCTTTGACCGGGGCGGGCGGGTCCATGAGGATCTCAACATCCGGAGGATCTATAATTACGTGACGAGAAGAGCGAACGGGTGTTCAATTTTATGCTACTAACATTGAACGTTAAGGAAAATGCTGTCTTCGGATTGGTCAGACCCGACCTCGTTTTTGAGCCAGCAGCTGTAGTCGCCCATGTCCTCTCTGGTGACGTTGTATATGATTAAAGGCGGGTTCTCGATCGTCCCGCCTTGGTACTTGGACGAATCGGAGAGTGTGAGGTTTTTACCGTCCTTGGACCTGCAAATGGACGGTACTACTAATCCCCGCAATTCGCGCTGCAGTTTGAGGTACTTACCATAACGCCCCCTTCAGTTCTTGGGGATTCGCCTTGTAGCTGCATATGAGCAAAGTGCCGTTACCGTTACGAGAGTTTTCTGTCGACTCTGTCACGGTTATGTTCTTCGGTCGTACCGAAATAACGGGCGGGTCTAAAAAGTCGCGCTTAGCTCTCGAGTCCTGTTAAGTAAAGTAGCGCTTACATCTGACTTCCAGTATCAGCAGCCTATGCATTTCAGGTTCGTGTCGCTTCTTGATGACTTCGTTCTCGGCGTAGCAGTGGATCTTGATGCCGTTCTCCCAGTGACTCGCTTGGAACACCAACTGACTTTTGGTTGTGTAAGTACCGTCCCTCTGCGAAAGTCGAGCGGGTATCAGAAAAAAAATCACCCTCTTAGGACCGGACGCTACTAAAGCTTGCAAGGAGCCGTGCGGGTGGACCCCTTACGCCAAATGCCGCTCCGAAACGATCGAGAAAGGTAACGCGTGTGACGAAAAACTCCTCAACACACAAACCGGGAAAGCGGAGCGGCGGGGAGGTTAAAAAATATATGCAACTTTACATACGAAAGGCGCGGTTCCTCCAGTTTTTTTCTTTAATTTATTACGACTGAGGGGGTACTTAACCCCTCCGCGCCGTATGTCACCGTCCTTTTATATCCTATTAAGCCCCCTTCGCGTTTCTTAAGCAGGTCGGCGCCGGCGGAAGGGGAGCCGTGAGGCCTCATTCGCACGGGGTCGCTAAGAGCGCGTAAATTTTTAAACAAAAAGCAGCAGTTAGCACACGTGACCTCGGGGGGTAATTTTAAAAAGCCTAATTAATAATACCTACCAATTTCTGATCAATTTTGACGGCATCGACTTCGTTTTACAATTTCATAGGTAAGACGTTTTAAAAATCGCATGGGGCAATAGTGGCGAAAAGTACTATATCTGATAAACATTTAAAAAATGTTCTCAATTATACAGGGTGTTATTGAATACATTGAATACCGATATTTCACAGGGTGATTTATTCAGTTTTTTAAAGGTAAATATGTAAATAGATATTCACGGTGTCAAGCTATAATTTTTATTTTCGCTTTTTGATAAATGAAATGAAAAAAGAGAAAAAGTGCAACAGTTGTAATAAACAAAAAAAAATCAATAGGCCTAGTAAGTTTATTTACTTGTCATGTTGTTGTTGTCATGTAGAAAATACAAACATAATATATTACACAGTTGAGTGGTAATATGAGTGAGAAGTAGTATATTATGCAACAAGTGCGGTGAACGGCATTTGATTCACCGGTTTATTTGACACGAGCGGAGCGAGTGTTTAATATACGAGTGACTTAAAAACTTTACCGAACGTGTTGCATACTATACTTTTTCTACGACCGTTAGTTTGTAGGTACATTTTCTCAAAACAACACGAATACATTCACTGACATGACCGTCAGAATTAACAAACGTCAACATTCCAGGCGTGGGAAATATCAACGAAAACATTCGATTGCTCGCAAACCCGTGCGGAAAAATCCCGGAAATGTCCGAAGTGCCTTGGATCCGTGGGAAACGAAACTAACGTGGTAAAGTGATGCTTTCCGCATGCTAGATCGCTGTGTAATTAGGTATTTTACAGACGGGAGTATATATTTTTCTATTCCCTTCTGTAAAATATCTAATTATAAACCGATCTAGCGTGCGGAAAACGTCACTTTACCACAGTTTCTTGTCCCGCGGATCCGAGCCCCTTCGGCTATTGCCGGGATATTACCGCACGGGTTTGAGAGCAATCATATGTTTCGCAGATTGTCCGGCACGGTCGAATTTCAAGGTTTGTCAATTCTGACGGTCATGTCAGTGAATATATTCGTGTTGTTTTGCGCTGCGCTCCGCTCGTGCCAAATAAACTCGTGACTCAAATACCGTTTACCACACTTGTTGCATAATACACTATTGCTTCACTTTTTTGAAAACACAAGCATCGATTGCTTCAAACCAACTGTGTATACTTTGTATATATAGATATTTTTGGATATTACGATTCCTCCAAAATATATATGTATATCATACATTTTTTATGCATTTTAATGTTTAATAAATACTTATTTATTTGATAAAGAGAGAGTCTTGCCAACTTGGCGAATTTTGAACTATTTTTTCTAAGAATTTTTAAATATAACATCCTGTATCAACTTTATCATATTTAGCTATTGCCCCTCTACAACTTTTGTTCAGCTTTTGAATAGCATCTTTTCGGTAGGGTAAATTTAATACAAATAGTAGGCATAGAAAACTCAACGAGCAGAGAGGTTGATGATAGGGACACGAAATGCAATTCATTAGCGCGTTTGAATAGGCAAGAAAAAAACGAGACGTTTGCCGTTAAAAAAATCTGAAGTGCGTCCTCCACTCGCTCCCACCCCGCTTTTTAGACAAGACGCGTAAAAGGGCTAACAACCCCGCGATACCGCTAACTAACGCAGGTTTTTTTTCTCGAACAGGCCACTTACGAGCGAGCGGTGCAAATAAGCGGGTAACGCGTATCCCTGGCATCCTGATGGAGTTTTTTCAGTGGCGGCTCGCGGTTAAACAAATTGTGGAAATTACGTGAACCGAACCAAAAAAAAAACGAAAAGTATATTGGGACTTATTTTAGAAGGCCAACATTAATAAATAATAAAATAAGACAATATTGAAAATATTTAGTTATTTGTAGTAACGCGTTATGCCCTTATGGAAAACTCTGTCATTATTGAACATACAAAGATGCCGTTTGCACATTACTTTACTTTTTTTAGACTTAAAAAATTTTATAATCAGATTTTGCATTTGAATTTTAAAAATCGAATTGGCGATAATTGAGTTAAATAGAGTTTTGTAAATACTTTCACAGGAAATTTACAATTTGCAGATATTACGACGCTGATATGTTTTTTATTATTTTGTGTTGTCCCTATTATAAAGCAAGCAAATATTAATAGAGCAAACTAGAAAGTGATGTTTTGTGACAATTCATTCGTATAAAAAAATTGTAATAAATAATAATTTCATTATAAAGATATCACAAATGTAATAGGGCTGTATAATCAAAATTCAAAAAATAATATTTTTGGAAGTTAAAACATAAACATAAAAAATTTAATCGAATCGTTACAGGAAAACTCGAAAACCGATATAAACTATGCACGAAGAAAATATCCGCGCGTATTTAAAATTCCGAATCTAATGATGGTCTTTAGACTAATTTTGTCTCATTGGGGCATGTATTAGGAAGTTTAGCTTCATCACAACTCTCTATCTATAGAGCAGTATAGAAAAATCTAAGAACGTACCTAAAACTATTCTTTCGTCCTACAAGTGCCTTAAAATTATTTTTATAAATTGAAATATAGTCGATTTATTTGCTACATACCCATGCCGATGATCGTTGAACATTTTATATTCATCTATCTATTGCAATCTCAAATATTTCAATTACAGTATAACTGACCGACCCTATTGCGAATAATGTAGTTCAATCATTTTCGTCGTATTTTTTCTTTAATTTCTTTACAGTAATCACCGATCCAGTTTCATTTAACTTTATTAATAATTTTCGTAATCCTGTTTTTGACACATTTGTATTAAGATATTTTTCATGAAAAACATCTATAACGTATTGATAAAACACATTTCCAATTCCGTAACTTTGTATTAAAGAAATACGCGCTTTCTTTAGTTAATATTTCGATGATCAAACGAACTTACCTGGTAAGTGAAGTTCGATCGTAATTATATGTTACACCTCTTCGTAGAAATCAATATACGTAGTCCCCATTCTAGCCGCTAGGTGGCACCACAGCTTTAAAGCAGAGCCAAAAAACTGTGGAATAACTTACCATGCACGGTATATTCGCCATCTATGGTCTTAACCTCATTCTATTTTAAAGCCCGTTTTTAATAAATTTGCCAAAGGGCATTTTAGTACTGTTCAGAACAGTACATTGGGCGGGAATGGGTGATTTATACGAAGAGGTGTAACATATAATTACGATCGAACTTCACTTACCAGGTAGCTTCGTTTGATCATCGAATTATATGTTACACCTCTTCTATGAAATCAATATACGTAGACTTTCAAAGGCAACTCAGCAAATTAACAAATTTAACAAAATTATAACAATAAAACGATTTTATTCGGCTATATAAGGAAATCCAAACCTTATGAAGTTTATGAAAGCCTCGAGTACAAATATAAAATAAATGGCTGTCCGAGAAAACAAACATTCTGAAAAATTCTATGTTGCAAATGTCGCATTAACAAAGAAACCTGCACCTGCTGTACAAATAGGTCTATTATAAAAAAGGGTTGAAAACACCGACGCCGAATAAGAATGAACATGTGCCATCAAAGCACAAAAAGAGGAATGAGGTTAAGACCATAGATGGCGAATATACCGTGCATGGTAAGTTATTCCACAGTTTTTTGGCTCTGCTTTAAAGCTGTGGTGCCACCTAGCGACTAGAAGGGGGACTACGTATATTGATTTCATAGAAGAGGTGTAACATATAATCCCGAAAAGCTTTTACTAGAACAGACTATTAACAGATGTAAATAAAATGAAAACAAACTTAAAGGTGTACAACAAATGCAATTTAATTTTTTTGTAAATTCATATTTAATTCAAAATCATAATTATTTTTTATTTTGAAATGGGTATTTGGTTTTTATGCTAATATATTAATAACTCTGCTTTATAACATTTTCATATTTTTCTAATTTATGAACACTGGTATATGTAATTAAATATTTTTTTATCGTGAGTTCATTTTCTCAACAAGCAGAACTTTTTATAAAGAACGACTTTTGATCTTAAAATGAATAATACAATATTGTTATTCCTTCGGTCATAGATTACCGCTTAAGCGGTTACATTTACCGAATAACATTGAGATATGCCAAATTTTTAAAATCTCCAATTTTTTAATTTTCAAATCTCAAAAAAGTAGACCAGTGATGTGGTGCGTCTCTGTATTTTCGATAACAACAGAATGTTCCATATTTTTTTGGGGAAAGTGGTGGGCATCGAAAAGGCCGCCACTGACTTTTCTGTTTCGCTCCACCGTCGCGTCGTCCCGCTGTAGACAGTAATTAAAGTCGAGTGGGCATCAGCTCGTATATTTGACGAATGGTTGCAAACAAAAACCACGTCACGAGTGCCTCGATCGCGGCCGCTGCCACCGCAACCAGAAACTTAACGCGTGCACATTATTTTAAGAGGGGGTAGGGGGTAGAAAAAAGGTCGTGCGTGAGCGCGACGCTGCCGCAGCTATGTAGCTTCTAAAGCACGCATGCGCGCATGCAACAACACCACTTACTTCATCGTAAATAACTTTCGTCGTTATCTGAGACTGAAACACAAAATTACAAAATAGTGATGGCGATGAGTCCATTGCGAAATCGAAACGTTTAATTCACTGGGCAACAAATCTCAAAATTAATACATTTTTAAATGAGACATCTTGTCTTAGAATAACGGACTTGCCCTTGACACTTCAATTACTTCGATATACGAATCGCGCTAATCCCAAGTTGCAAAACTAAAAAAAAAGTTCTTGCGCATCCAGTATTTATAAAATAGCGGTATCAATAATGGACTAAAACGGAACTTGAAATTATTCTCAATTATACAGGGTGTTGAAATGCACACCATTCACACTGCATTTTTTAAACAAGACCCTATGGTGAATGCAAGCTTTTTTTACTACTCAGAATAATAATTAACATACCCATTTGAGTTATTAATGCATTAATTAGTCTATATTACTTTAGAAGTCTCTAATAAAATGAGTTCAACAAGAAAGTAAGTTTTGTCTGTTAGCTATTGGACAAAAAATTGGTATCAACCTTCCCGTCATGTGAAGATTAAACAGAAACAGAGTATTGATACATAATATGTATAATAACTACAGAAAGCAGTTCGAAAAGATAAGGTATTTGAAGTTTCCAAACTTAAAAGTAAAAATTATCTAGAAATTAATGAATGGATGGAATTTTCTCAACTTTTATTCTCGTTGTGTTTTTATTATCGTCAAATAAGATGTGCTCCAACTCTGCAAAAAACGTACACCTTAGTTATTCAAAAGAATCAGCAATAAATTTGAAGATTACATTTTAATCCGATCTCTGCACCGATTTAAAAATCTTTTGGACACGTTGAGAATAAGTTTAGATGTAAATACTACTAGAAATTTAGATACCTATTTCATTAGTTTTGTAGCCGCAGTTACCCTGATATTTACCACCACGCTAGCAGAGACAAAGTGCATAAAATGTTGAGCGTTCGGAAGACTAAGGAAAAAGTCGAACATACAGTTTTGATTCGCGAGGCCGCCAACAACGCAGCTTGTAAATGTTTTACCGTTCGGAAGACCAAAACGAATAGCAAAACAATATTTTCGCAGGCGCATTAAAATATTTCAAAATTGCAATCTTAAAACGTTAATTGTAGCACGATTTTGAAACTTATTTTTAAACAACTGGATAAAAATTATTCCAGATTAAGACTTATTAATTATTTATTTATTAAATACAAATTAATACGAATTATCAAGAATCCGCGTATAAAATTAACCCATTACTCGGTCCACCCAAGATTAAGCCAAGTTACAATTTTATCTCGCTGCTGTGCCATTGGTTTGTAATTAGGATGGATTTATTGTTGATACGGTGGCAAAGTAAATGTTATTAAAGCCGCTTTCACTAGTACTGCTAAGTACTTTACATTAGAAATTGCTGTTTTAAAAAAAATCAAAATATGGATTAAAACGTTTAATTAGCGTCAGATATATAATTATCAGATAAAATTATTGCCCACGTAGTATAGGGCTAAATAAAATTTTCATCGTGGCCAGACGAAGTTTGTCATATTCTACTTACTTTCTATAAAAGTTAGGATTATCAAGCAGGGGATATAATTAAAATTTTCTACGGGGTATACACAGCGTCTAAACAAATAAAATAATATGGATACGTTTTGTCATATGTTTAACGAAAGACAGCGCTTGTCCAAAGTAACCTTATATTACCTGATAAAATATTTGGAGTTGCAAAAACAATTCGTCGTGTCTCTCCGTTTCGATCGAACGCTTGGAATATAATAAAATTAACGGGGTCCGTCTTTGTCTTTGAAAGCGAAGCGCCACTCGAAAACGGTTTTTCCTCATTTTTAATGGCGAATTGATTCGTATTGCGCGGCAAGGCGCTTTTTCCACCTAACCGATTTGAAGTTGGGAGTTTAATTAATATCCGCGGGCGACAGGATCCATTATAGCGACCTCGGCCGGAGATAAGACAAAGAAAAACGTCCGCGTTTCGGTCGAGCCATATCCGTTTTAAAACCGTCTGCCTCTCTCTATCGATCGAACGCGGGCATACATATAGAGCTCTTCTATTAATTTAATGGATATTTATTATCTCCTCCGGCGCGATTGGATACGAAAGCGACAGTGATACGGCGCCGTAGATAGCAGTTTTACGTTCTGTTCTGATAGCGTAGGTGGCTGTGTGTGCGCGTGTAACACGTGAATAAAATATGAGTTCTTTAAACATTTTTAATTGATTGTACTTGTATCCTTGCGTTTCCCTTTTCCTTTGTTAAAATTCCTTAATGAAATTACTACAAGAATAATTTAAGAAATTAAATTTGTTAATTATTTTTGCCCTTCTTTTTGCAATAATAGGTTAGCGCCAAAATTTCCTGGCCTGACATAGATGCAGTTCCAGTATCGCGATAAAACTTTCTCTTCTTTTAAATATATATCTTAGTAGGCTGTGAAAAAAAAATTGAAGTCTTGCGTGAAATAGTTTTTTATTGACAGCATTTTAAACAAGACATGACCGAAAAAATGTCGCAAATAACGCAAATTGAGTATACAGCAGTCATAAAGTTTTTGACAAAAGAAGGGTTAGCACCTAAAATTATTAAAGAAAGACTGGATGATGTACGGCCAAAGTTCTCCTTCGTATTCTGTAGTGAAAGAATGGGCAAAACGTTTTCGAATGGGGCAGGAGTCCGTTGAAGATGATTTAAGAACTGGTCGACCAATGGAGGTCATAGGTCATAACGGAAGATATTGTTGCGATTGTGGAATAGATGGTATTGAGTGATCGACATTTAAAGGTCAAGGAAATCTCAGAAATTACTAAGCTTTCTGATACAAGTGTTCGTCGAATCCTGCATGATCATTTAGATATGCATAAGGTTAGTGCAAGATGGGTTCCTAAAAACCTTTCGGCTATTCGAAAACAACGCCGTGTCGAGTGTGCGCGGTTTTTTTTTGGAACTCTGTGGGTCGGAACCGAAGCCTGTGATAGAAACTATTGTGACGGGAGATGAAGCTATGGTTGTCTATTATGACCCTCTATCGAAAAACAAAAAAGGTGATGGTCACGATCTTTTAGGATTGTGAAGGAATTTTTTTGATAGATTCTAAAGAAATTAATACCACTGTCAATGGTAAATATTACGCAACATTATTAGATAAATTGCGAGACTGCATACGTGTAAAACGTCGAGGAAAACTGACCAGAGGCGTGTGTCTTGTGCACGATAATGCACTTGTCCATACTGCTGGTGTTGCACAAGCTGCCATTTTAGAGTGTGGGTTCCAACAGATAGATCATCCTTTCTATAGTCCAGATATGGCCCCCAGCGACTATTATTTGTTTGGATATTTGAAAAAGAACTTACGTGGACGGCGGTTTAACGACGAAGTTGAGTTAAAAGAGGCTGTTTTAGATCATTTTGCAGACAAACCAAAAGCATATATTTTTAAAGGGATTGAGTTGTTAATAAAGAGATTTAATAAGTGTATTGAAGTTAAGGGGATTAAATTAAAAAATAATCAAAAATTGTTGCTCTACTTTGTTTCTTTCATATTCAGGCCGTGAAATTTTCGCACTGCCCTCGTACATTCTGCGAAAATTCTGATATTTTATGGCAATTTAATAATTTATTTCCTATTTACTTATTTTGTTTTAATTTAACTCATATCTTTCTTCATGTATTTTTGTTTTCTCACTCATTTTTGACGATATATATGTTGTGACATACGTTTTTTGGGTTGTCACTATTGTTTCATTCATTTAATGGTACTTTTTTAAGTTTTCGTTTGCCTTGTATAAGCTCTATCTGCTATTTGAGAGCAAATACCTATGTAACTATTTCATAATATTATTCACTATTATTTTTTGTTAAATATCTCTGAATTTTTTTTTTTGCCAGAGGGGAATCAGAATACGAATCCAAAGAATTAAGAATTTACTATATTTTCTTAAAAGTATTTTTAAGGCGGTAGTAGTGGATTTCACATGGACTGACCACTTCAATGCTAAATCCGGTGTCTGCTTATATGAAGTCTGCTTGGGGGGTGCGTCGGTTTTCCGATTACATGTCCACGTACAGCCTTTTAGTACACTTCGTATCGGTTTTATGGGCGATAAAAGCGGACTCTTGAATATTTCGCCGATGAGGACCGCAGTAAAACGAAATTAAATTCAACTTACACCCTTACCTATTCCCATTCTGTCTCGACCTTTCACATTATTGAGGTGCATGTGGCCTTAAGGAGGGCAGTGATTATAGACGAAAGTGTTAAGATGTTTTTTTTGTCCGATCTGTAGGAACGGGCGAAGTGAAAATTTATTAGTAATTCAGACAAAAAATATACAAGGTGTTACAAACTTCAGTGCATAGAGGTTTTATCAGTCAAAAATAAGTTTTTTTTATATAAGCATGACAAAGATTTTTTGCAAAACGATTCACTTGCTATTTGCATGATGGGGCTGTTCCTCATTGTACTATGTTTTAACATCTTAAAAGCATGATATAGGGTCCTCAATCGAAATTTGACGCATTATTGTATAAGTATAAGTAGCACTATCCCGAAACACTCCGAATTTTAGAGACGAAGAATGGAGGGTTATAATATGGATAAGACATTTTCAGCAATTTGGATTATATTATTCGCTATTTGTTTCGTCCAGGCGTATAAGGATGTCTACCAACGCATCAGTGAATTAAACATTTTGGCGATTTAAGATATCAGGAATATCTTCACGACCTCTGGGTTACTTACGTTATCCTCAGGGCTGCTCTGAACTAAAGACTGATCGGTAATCGGTACCGATCCGTTTGTCCATCGTACCGTGGCGGCGGGCTTTGCTCCGTGGACGTCACAAATGAGCAAGACATTCGTACCTTGAACTACGTGGTTTTTCACCCCCGACAGCTCCATCTTCGTCGGAGGCACTGCAAAAGGTGCAATAGAAACATGAAGCACATGACGTTTCGTTTAGACTAACCGTGGACGTCTGCGGTGATCCAAGAAATTATAGGCTCGTCAAGTGCCTCGCTCTCCACCCTACACTCGAATCGGGCGTTTAAGTCGCCCCTGCCGAGGGTAAGCTGCAGTTTGGATCGACCTGTGCCTACTCCGTCGCCCATTGCGTTGGCCGTGTATTGCGCTGCAACAATGATATTTTTTATTTCAGTTTGCATAAAAAAATGATTTTCGTTGATGATGAAAGGTTGAGGGGTCAGTGATAGACCCCAGCATTTATACATCAAATGATGTACGCATTGTGATTAGAAAACAACTTCTTATGTCTAATCGTATCGGTAACTAGCAGATAGATATCAAATTGCGCAGAGAATCGCAATTGCTTCAGAACACAACGTTGCACTCTACATTTTTGTCGTGGATTGGACGCATTAATGCAGCCAAGAAAAAGTTTTGGAGGGGCAAATTTTATTACCTTTTATATACGCTACGGCTAGAGGGCGTCAAACATTTATAGTTTTTTGATGTTTCTTTAAAATTCCAAAAATTTCAACAGAAATACAAAGTAGATCAAATCTGCAAGAAAAATTTTTCTAACTGCGTATCGATAACCTAACGCGTTCAAGTAACAAATGTTTCATTATGACAGATAATTATTAAGCTATTTAAAAGAATTACATAATTCCAATAAAATATTTCGGTTTAATGCATCATACGTGGAAAAAGTCTTCCATCACAATCAAGACAATGTGGGTACCGCGCCAGATACTCTCTTTGAAAATACTCGTTAGAGATGCCTATCGTATCAGGGACGTCTTTTTTTGTAAAATGCATTTTTAATTACACAATAATACCCAAAACATTTATTATTTTTAAAAAATTATGATGACTTTTTCGAATAAATTCGATTCAGATTTTTTTTTCTAAAACCCCAAATTATTCAAAAGAAATTGTGCAAGATATGAAAGATACGAGATTTGAAAAACAAGCGGATTCACGTAAAGCTTCTTCATTACGTAATTCATAAGAAAAGTATCGCAAATTATTGGGGGCTGTTGGCTTATTACGGGAAACTAATTTGAGAACCGAAAAACAAAGTGGCGAAACCGCAATGTTTCACTTTTTGGATTGGATGAGCCACCCTTGGCGAATACGTTTTAATATTGTCGTCGCGCTGTCCGACTTTAACCATCATCATCTCGGAGGACTTCAACTAGAAAAAGCGACGTCGAGCCGCTCATTTCATTTAATTAGAAATCTCCGGAGATTTTGCCGCTTTTTCCAACGAACGGTTCAGACGCGGACGACACTTTTATATATACGCGCCGTTTTTATTTTTATTCGTCTCCGAAAGTCTTTATTTCGCTGCCACCGCGTTACATTTTAACGTTGCGACATCGGCAGTTATTGTTTTTGCTCGTCGGAAATGCCTGCGTCTTCGTATATGCTGGATATAAGGGCGGTTCTTCGCGTTGACAAGCGAAACCTTTTGTCCGATGGGTTGTGATTTATTTTGCCCCGGGATTTATCTGTATCCGGCGCCTTTCCGTCATTGTCGCCGAATAAAACGGTTGCGGCTTATATAAAAAATTCTCATTACGCCAGACTGCAGGTACCCCTTTGACAGTAAAAAACACTAACAAGATATCCGTTAGCGTTAGTCCATGGTCTATGACGTGTATCTAACATGCTTAAATTAACTGAACTTCGGTTCTCCCAATCGTATAGCTCACAGTTTGGGATTTACAAACTCATCCGGGATAATATTTTGTCTATGCGGTATTTCCGTCTAGCTTGTCGAATATAACTAGTTAAACTACAAAGGAAAAATGCAAATGCAAAAGAAGCTTGAAACGAAGCTATAGGCATGTTGCAACTTGTACCAAAATGTTACTAATTTTTTCTATATAGATTCCTTTTAGTACCTAAAGGTTCATTAATTATTAAGACTTTTATTTAATTGAAGTGGCTCTTTGATAGGCCATTTGATGAACTTTTTATATGGTTATCTATCCTTTTTTGTTTAGTCCAGAAGTTCCTAAACCGCGTGAGGTAACGGAACAGATTCTCTGACAATACTATTTAATAATATATACGATACTGGAAAAATACCAATTGACTGGCTAAGATCAACTTTTGTAAGTATGAACAAAGAAAAAGGAACCATGAAATATCAAGCTTAATGAGTCTAAGATTTTCCAGATATCCCAGTTCTGCTTCTGGAATGGCCTCGGGGCGAAGGAGTCATTTTATGTGCCGAAATTTCATCCGGAACGTCTCCTGTGCATGGTTAACTTTGGGGAGGGTTTTAAAAAAGTGAAGCATGACGATGAGGTATAGGTGCCAAGAAGTTCTGTACAGTTACTATTGGTAGTAGACGTGATCCGGGTAGAAGAAGAACTTCTTGGCCCAAGAACGTGTAGTAGTTAATAGGACAATGATAATAAAATCGATAATGATCATGTCACTGCAAAAAGAAGAAGCGACGAGTTAGTAGTCTAGCATACGAAATTCTCATGCGTTAGGTGGCACCTACAAATGTTGGAAGGGCTGTATTATGTTTTGGATCGTTATCAAATTATTGTATATTAAACCGTCAAACCGAGATTGGTTTCAACTACATGAAATTCCGATCACCTGGGATGCACGACTCAACGCAATGAATTTCTCTTTAAAATAGTAGCAGTATTTCGTTCACGTACGGAAATAGTTTAGAATGCAACTATGTTATTTGTCGTGTATATTCTAATATAAAAGACTCCGCTATAAAGAATATTATTCGCGCTTTAAAACTCCCGAGAACTCTTATCTTGTTTGAAGTCGCCGACGAAATCATACAACACAGTGATTTTCAAAAGATGTTCTCGAAAGCGGTTTTCTCTATGGATCCTTTCTTCTTCCAGTTCGTATACGCGTGTATCATTTCGGGGTTACTTTTACACGATTGTAGGTACAGAAATTGCGTGATTAGTGCGATAATAATATAACAATTAAAAAGATAAATAATTATAATAAAATATCAAAAAATCGACAGGCGGATGTCCATATACAGGCAGTCAACGGTTTTCAGGCCACAGGTCAAACGTATTATAATAAAAAAAATCCAAACCGAATTTTTATAGTTACGGTCTACTGATTCCTAGTACGAATCCTAACCGATTGTTTCCGAGAGAAAAAAATCGCACCGAACGAAAGTTGATTGCTACCACGGGACGGGGATGTAACCGTAATCGATAGGAGGATGGTTTTTCCCTCCGTGACGATGGGACGGTTTTTGTATTGCCGGTGCCTTAACGACTGGTAGCTAGAAGACGACGCTATCCGACAGGGGACGCAATTAAGGGAATTGGACGATAAACGCTGTATATTCCCGGATACCGTTATCGGGAACGCCGTGGGTATCGTATCTTATTCGGTATGAAATTTAACAGACCAGGGCGTCCCGGCTTACGTCAGTGGCGTACGCGAGCTAACTTGAATAAAGAACGTCGAAAACCCGGACTAGATTTTTACACCAAATAGAAAGATAAAAAATGAGAAAAAATAGACCAACGAGATGCAAACTACTTAATCGTACTTTTCAACTAAAACACCTTCTTTATGTTTTGGTTAGTTCTGGCACTAATATTTGTCATTTCAGAATAATTCGCAAATAAATGTACCACCAAACTCTTGCGTTCGGTAACCGATGTCGCATCAAAAGCCGTATTAGAGTCACGTAAAAAAAGCACCTTTTAAAAAGGCCTCGGCAATGGGGTTAGCTTCGAATTGATGACTTCATTTCGCCGATTTCATTACGGCGAATAACGCCGTTCCGGGGCGTCGGGGTACGGGACGGGGGTTAAAGACGCCTTCACCCGACGAGAAAAATCTAGCCGATTATATTTTCCAAAGCGAGAAACAAGATAAATCCGAATTTAAGCCGCACGGCTATACGCAGGAGAACGTAGTAATACGTAGCCGATTTTTTTTTGCTCTGTGGCGTTCGAGAAACGAGCGTTTAAGGATGAAATATAGAAGGGGGAAGGAAAAAGTGTAGTGTAGTGGTGGAGTAAGTCGTGGTAAAAGAGGCCACCAAATAATACTACTAATGAGATTTTGAGCAATAGCTCCCATATACGACTACGAAAATTGATACTCCATAATTCCCGGAATTCATGTTTATAATCCGTATAGAACCTATTAAACAGTAGCAAAATGTGAGCCGAAACCCGTAACGAGCGGTCATTTCTGTAGTTGCAACGTGAACAGAAAGTTCCTCGATATTTGAAGTAATTCATATTTTATTCAAATAACAGAGACGATTCAAAGTTCCGATTTAATGAAAACCGGCGCATTTGGAAATACTCTCGAGGACGTACGGTCGTCGTTCGTTTCCGCCACTGAAAACTCGGTTGATTACTCGCGGGATGAAGGATTTCATAATTTCGAAGCTTACGACAGGCACGTCTTTATTTTACCGAGACGCGATACGGCAGAAAGAAATTTGCACAATCAACAGGCCCCAATGCAAAGGTAAAGTCTGTTCATAGATATAAGAAAGTGACTAACTGATACGAATTAAGGAAAGACCCGGACAAGCTGTAAGAATGAAATATGGCCGAACAGGTCCGTAATTCGCTTAGAATTTAATTATTTGGGGTTTTGTGAAATAATTAACAAACCCATTTGAATTATTAATGGATTAATTAACCTATCTTACTTTAAAAGCCTCTAATAAAATGAGTTCAACAAGAAAGTAAGTTTTGTCCTCTAGCTATTGGACAAAAGCAAATTATTTTTGCAGTTTTGTCGGAATGCTATCCTTCCCCTCATGAGAAGATTAAACAGAAACAGGGTATTGATGCATAATATGTATAATAACTACAGAAAGCAGGTCGAAAAGATAAGGTATTTGAAGTTTCCAAGCTTAAAAATGAAAATTATCTAGAAATTAATGGATCGATGGATTTTTCCCAACTTTTATTCTCGTTCTGTTTTTATTATCGTCAAATAAAATGTGCTCCAACTCTGTGAAAAACGTACACGTTCGTTATTCAAAAGAATCAGCAATAATTTTAAAGCTTACATTTTATTCCGATCTCTGCACCGATTTAAAAATCTTTTGGACACGTTTAGAATGAGTTTAGATGTAGATACTACTAGAAGTTCAGATACTAATTGCATTAGCTGTGTAGCCACAGT